TTGTTGCTCTTAAGGAGGCTGGATTCATCTTTGAATAAACTGATACTGTCGTCAACAGGCAGTTACAGCAAGTCTGGTTTGCTCATCCTAAGCAAATTCAGTATGCTCAACGCTTTATAATAGATTGGACTTTATTTGTTGATGGTACCTTTTAAACGAACGCTCTGAATCTTGTACTTATTGTTACTGCTAGTATAACCAACTATAACTCAACGTTTATAAGCTTATTGTCATTCGCTCGCTCAGAATCACAGCTCTCCTTTGACTTCATCTTTGATAGCCTTAAAAAGCACGTTTTTACGCCTCTGATACCTACACCACGCGTTGTTATTAGTGATTAAGCTGCTGGAATAAGAGCATCAATACTAATATCTCTTCCAAATATGATTCTCTAGTTCTGCGACTAACACGTGGATGTGTTGCGCCTATCAGCGATCGGCAAAGATCATCCATCGTGGCGATAATCTAAGCGAAATACCTGATCGAAATCCAACACCAATGCATCCCACCTCTATGCCGAAACTACGATCTATTAAGACCAGACGAAATTAAGTATCTGCACGATTTCTGGGGCCCTAAAGAGACGCAATTTCTACGAATCCATACGCATAAGTATCCGAATTTGGGCGCTTATTCGAATTAACATTCTGAGAGTCTTTATCCAAGTACTACAGATATCCTTAATAAGCAACTGAGTATGGAGGAGGCTAGTCGTTGACTTGATAAGATGATACAGTTAAAATTAAAGTAGCTATTTAAGGAGGAGGCTCAAAATAGAGGTAGGTTACCCTGTACGCTTAATTCGAAAGCATTTATTCTTTTAGCAGATACTATATCGTTTTTCGCTATTTCGAAGATATCCCCTGAATAGGAGGCTACAAAAGAGGAGATAAATAACGGCTCTTTACGCCTTACGCCCTTCTGCTCTGAATGTGAGTTACTTGTTCGTTTTGGCCTCCCTTGCAAGCACTATCTTGCGCAGCCATTTGAAGATGGGGCTCTTATCCCTCGATCCTTAGTACACCCTCATTAGTAGATTAATAGTAAGCCTATTCATATCGCCAAATAAACACTCGTCTCCTCTACGAAATTCTGCTTCCTACTCGCAGCACCCTTATATCTCTCCTAATAGGAATCAGATTACAGGGCTTGGTCTGCAAATCCTTGAGGCTAGGGAGGCTCTTACTGGCTACGCTCGTACGCGTTATGATCGAGCAGCTACAAACGCACAGAAAGGCCTTATTGATTTTGCTGATGAGCTTAAGAAGGATGACCTTAATACTTGAATGCCTGATGCTGTTAAGAGGTCAGGATGAAATAGGCAATTCAAGAGTCATGATAGGATTAATAAGTGACTTATGACAGAAGCTGAGGCAGCAGAGCGTGACGCCAATGATAGAGAGCAGGTTGCTGCTCAGGAGGCACACCAGGAGGCTAATATAGCCCTTGAAGCTTCATTGATAACAGGGCTAATACCCCTCGCAGGGCCTCCTGCTCCTGCTTATTCTCCTCCTCCTCCTCCTCCGTCTACAGCTCCTGTTAACGTGGAGAGCGTCCTTAATACCCCTCCTCGTGGATCTGCTGCCGGCGCTGTCACCATCGCCACCACCACCACAACGGTTGATCGGTCCTTCCCAACTCCTGACGATGAAGAAAAAGAAGAAGAGGAAGAAGAAGCTCTAGATGAGGCATTTATACCCCCTCTCTCAACGGCGCCAGCAGTGATGACGCAATCGAGAGCTGGCCGCAAGAGAGCGCCCACAATGAAAGCATTAGAGGCCGAAAAGGCGCCAAAACGGGGTACAGGGCAGGGCAAGGGCAGGGGCAGGGGCAGAGCAGGCAGAGAGGCAGAGCGATAGAGCTATTTCTGCAACACCACGTTTTGTATATCCATTTCCTTATAGGGAAGTCATATCAGTATTAATAAAAATAGTGTACATTTCTGTGCGAAATCTTCATGTTATTCAAATGGTCATGATGGGCAAATCTACTAGTAATTTGTATGACGTAAAACCCGCCAAGACCCAAACGCCGAATGCACCGCTCGCCGAATATACCGCCGCGAATGCACCGCTCCCAACACATCCCGCAACAAAGACAGTCGTGCTTGTATGTGACGGCGTGAAGTTGGCCATCACATATAACCTGAGCGGGGCCTTGCGGAGGGTTCGCCATACCCACGGTACGAGGCTTCTTTGGGCTGATGCAATATGCATCGATCAAATAATGTCCACGAACGAAGCACTCAACTCGCCTTGATGAGATCTATTTTCAAGGTGCTGTCAGGGTACTTGTATGGCTGGGACCAGCAGAGGATGAGGATGAGACTCGCTCCGTCTTTACCCTTCTGGAGCGGCTCTGGGACCAGGCTGACAAGAATGATGCGAACGGTTCAAAGACTTTGACACACTCGAGTATACAAGAACTTCTCAACGGATTCTTACAACGGCGCATAGAGCTTCAACCTGGTGCGATACCTGCGACCTCATCTCCTATGTGGGTGTATCTTGCTCGTTTCCATGCCCAGCCTTGGTTCACCCGTGTTTGGGTGAGATGGCTGCCTTTGAAATCAATCTCTGTGTCGGTTTCTCATTTTCAATAGATCATACAAGAAGTCGCTGTTTCGTCATCAGCATTGATGATGTGTGGTAGAGCTGAGAGCGACTGGCACAAAGTCGGATTCAGTTCACTAGTGCTTTATGCACATATTCTTCAGGATTATCCTGTGATGATAGGCGAAAATCCGGCCTTCTGGGGGTTCTATAGCCATATCGCTAATTGTGCGACAATGTGGAACTGGTCACTGTCTAACATCACCGGGCGTTCAACAAATAGACTCTGCGACCTGCTCGAGGACGCAAGAGATTTTGAGGCAACCGATCCGAGAGACAAGGTGTTTGCCTTATTAGGTCTACCATACGCGTCCGCTACCCTTGCAGATTTCAGAAGTGATCCCCTGTTATTGGTGCCAGACTATACCAGGTCTCATGACCAGGTCTACCGAGATGTGACTAGAAAACCTATTAAAGAGATGAGGTCTCTGGATGTTCTGTCTAGCGTTAATCATGACGAGGACGCTCTATCCAAGTCACCTTCTTGGGTACCGCGCTGGAATCGAAAGAGATATAGCTCAGCATTGGAACTATGTACGATTCGCCCCTTTTACCAAGCATGTTCAGACTTGCCAACCTCGCTTTACGAGTCTGCCCACGAAGACATCTTGAGTCTACGGGGACTAATTTTCGATACCGTAACTAGTGTTGGGCATATCATCAACACAATGGAGTATAGCCTCAACGAAAGAGCTTCAGACCCAACGCTGGCTGTACATTCCTGGATAGATGATATGAGCACGACCGAGACATATCCCATAGGCGAACCTCTTGATGCCGTATACAGCATAACTCTCGTTGCAAACTCACGAGATGGCTTTGTGCCTGCTGATGAGAACCTCACGCAGCATCTAGCTGATTTTTACGCCTACCTTATTGGATACTTTCAGCTGACCTTGCCAGATAGACCAATTGATACTGCTCTGCGTGAAGCAGCCAAGTCCGGTAATGGATCTCGATTTTCGGTGGCCGATCCCCTTGTGTGCGACTTTCGAAGACTCTTTACCACCTCCAAGGGTTATATTGGTTTGGGACCTAGCGCGTTGCGAGAGGGTGATCTGGTTTGTGTGCTGTTTGGGGGCATTGTCCCCTTTACGTTGAGACAAGAAGATGGTGTGTATCGGCTGGTTGGCGAATCCTACGTTCATGGCTTGATGCACCGTGAAGCTATCCAAGAAATGATAGATGGTCAACTGTCGGAGATGACCTTCGATATTCATTGAGAATAGATGTGCTTATGTAGGAATTCCTCATACTACCACGACAAGTCTGGTTCTAGTCATGACCTGGATGCGCCACCTCTGAGTTCACGTAGGCTTAGACCGGAGATCCGACTCCTTTGTAGGCGGTCTCCCTTTGCGTGATAAGAGAAATTAGGAGTCTGGGAGCACGGAGATCGATGGTCATATGGGATCTGGGCAACATGAAGCTACTGCTTGCTAGCAGAGAGAGGCCCTCTTAAGATAATGCTAGGGGAGCCATCAAAGTGCGATTAGACTAAGTCTAACCGTGAGACTGCTTGGAATGTTAGTCGTCCATGGTATTTTGCTGAAAATATGGTCGTAGCATGATGAAAATATACTTTTCTTATCATATTAGTATGGTCGTCATTTGACAAGATAGCTGCCATTTCCATTAATAGCACTTAGTTCATATCTTTGGCTACCCTTCTCCTGGTAAGTGGTAGTGAATTAACATCTAAGACAATGGCTATGCCGTGCTCTGGGCTGCCATTTGCCCCTTGCCAAGCCCGGGGCACTGCTCATCTTTGCTTGAAGGCGGGACGTTTCACAACTGAACCTGGGGAAGTGGGAGCGCACGCCCCGTCCGGGAAGAACGAAGTACACTTTCCACTGGCTAGAAGTCAATCATCGCAATCAGCATCACTATAATCTGACGCCACGACGTCAATACTTGATCGGCGGTGATGAGCATCATCCCTTCCAGCAAGCAAGGTTCCTATCACATTGTTCCGCGCAACATTGTACAAGAATGGCCGCAATCGAGTTCGGAAGGAGGCGGATCTTCATTTTAATCGCGTCAATCGGAGTTTTGATTCTTCTCTTCAACGTTTTGTCACTGACAGGGGATGACGTGTCCTCGCAAGTATCCAGGCTCCATCTCCCCGGCCGCCCTCGACCACCGATCGCTGCACCAGAAGAACCTTCGATACATCCCTCCCAAGGAGAAGAAGAACAAGAAGAACAGGAAAACCCACCAGAGCTTGACGTCGACATACCAGATTCGCACCCGATCTATGGGCTAAGACTGGAGGCAGACCAGAGATGGCGCGAATACGAGAGCGGAAGGTCTTTGACATTCAGGCAAACCGTGGAGAAGTATCGCCGCAGTCATGGACGACACCCTCCGCCAGGCTTCGAGAATTGGTATAAGTTCGCTCGAAAGAAAATGGTATTCAACATCGACGACTTCGAGCAGATTATGGATGACCTTAGACCGTTTTGGGCTATTGAACCGAAGACGATACGACAGTATGCAGCGCATATGTGGGAGAATCCTGACCATGGTATTGCCGGAATACACGTCCGAGATCATAAAGTTGTGAACCTCACCAACCGCAGCTGGAGGTCAGAGACTATGCAAACGGTTATCGAAAAATTTGTGGAATTCCTACCTGACATGGACATCGCCATGAACCGCTTGGATCAGCCGCGGGTGGTAGTGCCGTGGGATGACATGCAGAGCTTACTGGCTAAAGAGTACGAGACAAGGGCGCTGCCGGCCGAAGTGATGGATAGCTTCACGAAGCAGCAAGATTATCTTCTCAACACCACGGTCCAAAAGCCTGAGGACGACACTTCTGAGCGCATCGATGCTGAATGGTTCCCGCGGCCTGGTAAACAGTACATGGAATTGGCCTCGCTGGCCTGCCCACCTGATTCACCGGCTCGATCGAATGTGTCGGTGGCACGGGCAGATGCAATGTACAAGCATGATCTAGGAGGATTAATCACTAACTTCACTCGTGCAACCGATCTTTGCACAGTAGGTCCTGCCATTCAAGACCTACACGGACTTCTATACTCGGCATCTAGCATCGTCGCCTCCAAGAAACTGTTACCTGTGTTTGGCGAATGCAAAGTTAACATCAATTCGGACATCCTTTTCCCAGCGAACATGTACTACAAACACGACGACCGGTACGATTACTCAGACTCAGAGGACCTTGCGTGGGAAGACAAGAGCGATACCATGATATGGCGAGGAGTGACATCTGGAGGGGTCCAGACCACGGAAAACTGGAGTACCATGCACCGGCAGAGGCTTGTTCAATTGCTCAACGGTACCTACATGTCGACGACTGGTAAAGAAGTGTCTGTGATATCCGAGACACCACAATCCTCAAGAGCTCCAACTTTAAACAAGACTTATGAGAATTTCCATCGGTTTCAGCCTAGCTTGTTTGCGGAGCAGCATACGGATGTCGGATTCGTCGAAGCATGGGGTTGTGTCCCTGGTGACTGTGCGTTTTACAACGATGTCTTCACATTCAAGCCTCAGACCAGTCTTACTTCACAGTTTCGAGACAAATATCTGATCGATGTGGATGGTCATTCTTTCTCTGGACGATGGCATGCATTCCTTGAGAGCAAAAGCCTTGGGTTCAAAGCAACAATCTTTCGGGAATGGCATGACAGTCGCTTGTTCGCATGGAGACATTTCATCCCTGTCGACAATCGTTATGACGATCTCTACTCGCTACTACTGTACTTCATTGGTTATGGTAAGCCAGGGATACAAAGGACGGAAGGAGACGACTACGCCAATGGAGACGTATATATGGCAAGTCATGACGCCGAGGGCAAGAAGATTGCAAGACAGGGAAGGGAATGGGCGAAGAAGGTTCTGAGGAGGGAGGATATTGAAGTTTACATGTTTCGTCTCCTGCTCGAATATGGCAGGATTATTGATGACAATCGGGACCGTATTGGCTACTCGGAGGATGGTTCAAAACTTGACAAGTTCGAAGACGAGGCCGAAGAGGGTTCAGGCAGCAGATGGGGCCTTGGAAAGATCTTTGGGACGAAGCCGCCAAAAGCAGCCTAGGATATCAATTCGGAGTTGTGAGCATGTATGGAACTCATGTTGCTCCTAGGGATCTTATGGGCAAAAAAAGTCTCAATGTCACGGGCGTTGGACGAGAGAGTCTTACCAACTTGAGTGGCATCCGGGAGCATGCCACCTAGCCCTCATGGTTCGGCGGCATAATATGACCAGCACACAGTCAGCAACCTGGAAATAAGACATTCTGGCAAGCATTGCAGATACGCCAAGACCTGGACTACCGCACGCCAGTCGAGCTGTCAGCAGGCATCAAAGTACAAATATCTGCTCCTGTGGTTCAACCGCACAATTTTATATTGTTATCTTTTGACCACTATCTACTGTGGCCTGATCGACCATCAACCGAACTGCATTTGACATCACTTTCTACCTTACGTCCTTTCTAGCCTGTTGGCATCATGTACACGATGTCATGCCGAAAAAAGGAAGACGTCACTTCTGAGGTTGCCAGTCACATCTGGCTCATTTGCTTCACCTCGGAATTTCAAGTCAACATTTGCCTTTTGGTGCTCAGTGAGTCAGTGTGGCCTGATACCAGGTCTCATCTCTCACTCACCGTGAAGTCGGCACTGGCAGCACGAACCTTGGTCTGAAGCAGCATACAGTAGTTTTGGCTCATTTTGAGCTCACGGTAGTATCTCTACCTTTCACCTCGACAAAGATTTCAGCTTTGAACATGAAGAGTGGCATGAGACAACTCACTTTTGGTACACTCCATACTCACTTAGTGATGGTATCAATCACATGTCTAAGTCAATTTCGCCGGTCTTCAGGTGCACCACGGAATTCAGAGTACTGCAGCCGCACTTGATACGTGAGACAAGATGCAGTACCCATAAGGTGATGTTACTAAGCTTGCACAATCAATGGATCAATCAGTGTACTTGGTCGCTTGCGAAAGCTGAAAGAAATTTCAGTATTGATGGTTGCGACCCCCAGCCCTATCTAAGAATAGAACATAACGGAGTGCTCTCTTCTCGACAGACTTCGCTCGCGCAGCACTTTTCCTCGTCGAATATATCGAATATATATTCGGCGATCCTAGTTCCAGTCTTTCCTTCTTCTCTCATATCATTGTACACTCAAAAGGCGCATATTTATTTCCTACGCCGAATCTATTTCCCGGAACTCTTGTGCATTTAACTTCTCGTGCGATTCATTCTAACGCCCTGCCGCGATGGGCGCAAACGACAACGCTGGTCGAATACCTAAACAGGCTTTTCTCGTGAGTGCATGCATTCCTGTATCTTTTTCCAACGTCAATATCCGACTGATCATTGAGGTATCCATTCTGCTCCTTTTCGCCTTTGGCCTGATCAGCGCCTTAGCTCGCTTTTATATTCGAATTCGCCTGCAGAAGCATTTCTCAATCGATGATGGCTTCTTATTCCTTGCCATTTGCTCCATGGTCACCGCGAACGTGATAATGTTCACTTTTATCGACACTATCTATATATTGGAAGCGTTGACGTTTGGCGTTCCTAATATTGACTTACCATCAAATTGGATTGAACGAGCGTTTGCCTTTCACAAAATGTCCACCGTCGGTCTTATGCTGGTACTGCTCACCACCGTCTGGATCAAGCTCAGTTTTTTGTTTTTATTCAAGAGTTTAATCGATCGACTTCGATATTTCATGATATACTGGTGGATCGTCATCGTCCTTACTCTTACGATTGCGCTATATTGCTTTGCGGTGCACATTATCGTATGCCCACATTTCTACAAAATGGAATATTGTAAGTCTTGTCTTGAGAAACCATAATATACGAGTTAACATGTCATCCAGTGCAATGTGGAGTGGGATCAGCTAGGTAGAGAACATTTTCTCTGGGGATGTCGGCAATGATTTTGGATGTTATCGTTGATTTACTAAGTAATTATTTCTTGTTTTCTACCCTGGTTGTTGGGACAAGACTGAACTGAACCTCTAGTTCTGTTCATACCCATTCGCATTATCTGGCAAGTTCGTATCCGATGGACTCAAAAGGCGGCCTTGACACTCTCTTTGTGCCTCACGATCATGATAATTATCATTGCTATAATTCGATCCTCGGGCGTACGTGTCAAAGACAAGATAGACCCCGTGTGGGCACTGTATTGGCAGTACATAACGGCAGAGGTTGGAATTATCATGGCTGCGCTTACCGCCTTTCGGCAACTCTTTGTGGCTCACAGCAACGAGAAAGGGCAACAATCATTGGAATTGTTTCAGAAATGGAACTCCAGAAGCAAACAGCTTATCCGTCGCATGCTAACCCCATCAACCTGGCGAACAAAGACCATGAGTGTAAATACAACTGGTAAGGGAGACAGGGACCAAAGCTATATACTCCCTCCGGTCCCTCGGGGAATCATGACCGGTATTCGGACTTTTGTCAACGGGCAAGGGAGATCTAAATTGGATGCCTCATGGATCAGCGAAAGCACTTGCATGGATCCAAAAGAGGAGGATGCTTGGACATTACCTTCCAAAGCCTAAGAGCGACCCGCCGAACTCTACTGCATTCTCAAGTGGACGACGACTATAAACAGGTAGCAAGGCTGTTCTAGCTTTCACTGATGCTTACAATGGAACGCTACGGATAGGTGCCATCGCATCCCGCTAGAAATTGGACAGGAAGGACGATCAATGGACGACATACCGAAGACATGATGAGTCATGGAGAACCGCCTACCCTTTTAGCTCGGAATCCGTATCTCGATTGCCGGGCCTGACTCTCCCAAGGCAATCTCTCTTCACAGCGCCAAAACTGACGAGTAGACATTTGTAGTGAAGAATAGATAGGGCCAAATCGGCATTGTTATAAAGCAACTAAACTTTTCTATGTTAATGATGGAATGCCTGTGTAGTGCTTGTAAGATAAAACCTAGGTTCACAAGCAAGATGATGGTTGGGACAGTTGCGTTCTCCTACTCTACTTCACCTGGTTCACAGTTTTCGGAACTCCCCATAGCAATACGTCAGACGGTATGAGCGCTCATTGGTTGGAATTTCCACAAGTCACCCCTGCTTTTCGCCTGCTTTTGATTGGGGTATTTCTCCTGCAATTTCGCAGCTAACTTCGCTATACCGTACGGGCGAATTTGTACGTATATCTGGGTGCGCTACCCCATTTTGAGAGAGAACAGAGCCATTTCTCCTACCTGCTTGACACCATATGTCCCTTCCACGCCTAGCAGCCCCACTGTCAGCTTGCTTTGTACATTCTCATATCATGAAGAGCTTCTGTCATAAATGCTTCAATAAGAGTCATATTAAAGGAGAATAAGACAGTTGTACCTAATTACTCTAACTATCTTTAGCTAATCTAACTTAATCTATTATAAATCTTAGCTAGAATATTTGCTTATAGAACTATTTTTTATTTAAATAAGAGAAGAGTTTTGTTTAGCATCTGGAATACTAACAAAATTGTCTGATATTAGTAGTAGGGTAGCATGATGTAATAAAATGTGTGTGTCTTGTAGGGTCCCAGCACCCTGTAATCCTTTCCTGTGTCTAAGACAGGGTGTAATTCTACAATATTCTAGTACACTTTTTGGTCACACAAGTAGTTGTGCTGTGCAGACCAGTTAGTCATATTAATTGCTCTACCTGTAGCTGTTAGAGGTGCTCCGTACTCCTGCCGTTGGGCCAAAAGAACAGAATGATGCGGCTCAGCCGGATCATGAAGCACAACCACTTATATAGCATCTTGGCATTCCCACAGTAGCCCTACTGTTTGATGCGGATGTAGTAGGGTATTTGTGGTAGGTAAGGCTGGATTGGTGCCTGTTCTAAGTTCAGCCCTGCACTACGTAGTACTACTGCAGCAGGCTCATAACCAGGTTCCACCAATCAATGATCATGGCGATCCTACCACGAATACCGGCGGAGAAAACCCAAGAGGCTGAGTTACATGAGTACTTTTTAGGACACCGCAAGCCTCTTCAGGGTTGGGTACCTTTCTACCCTAGCCAATTAAAATGTTCAAAGAGCGCAGTTGGGTGCCTCTTGAACGAGGTGAAGTCTGGGGAAGCTTACGTATGACGTAGCATCCCTTCTCGATTCGGTTTTCAAAAGTGTCAAGGAACACGGCGAAAGAAGCAACTACACAGAGGAGCACTCACCATAACTCTGTACGGCACTCTTACGGTTCGTTATCCATCGAGCGATAGTTCACACCACTCAATGTTGCGCCAATCAGTAGCACAATGGCTGAACCGGTCCAAATCATTGCCAGCTGCATCGGCGTAGCTGACTTCGCGTTGAAGTCCTATCGCGGCCTTTACCGATTCGTTAGCGATATCAAGAATGCTGACAACACCGCCAAAGGGCTATGTTGTAAGGTTCAACGTTTACGGAAGACCCTTTACAACGTCCATTTAGTTCTACTCGCGAGAGAGAACCAGCTCCTCGAGACACGGCCTGCAGGTCCAGAAGAAGAATGCATCCTTTCCAACATTCGAGACTCGCTCAAACAGTGGCGGCACACTCTACAGAAATTCAAGCGCGAGATAAAGGGCCTGAACGCACCGCTAGAAGGAGATCGAAGACCTACCTGGGTGGATAAAACTCTCCTGCAGCTCAAACTCCAGCGAAAAGCTCCCACCATTGCGAAGTTCGAGAAGTCGATCGACGAGCACATAGAAGAGCTGTCGCTCTCATTACATTGTCTAGCCATGTAAGACTACAACAACTTGCGCAGAAGGTAGCAAGAAAAGGTACTAATTGCAAATATTTCAGATTCGTTCAGACAGAGCCACATGTACATGGCCCCACCTTGCGCCAAAAGCTCCAACAAGTCGAACCACAACACAACGGCACTCGCAACCGTCACGATTTAAGTAAAAGTCGGGATGGCTCTGAAGTTAAAAACAGGCACGCACAGATAATGGAGAGATGCATCACTACAGCACGAACGGTGGTGGAAAGAGTCTCTCCTCGTGACAGACCGTCAGTAGAACGGCAGACTAGCATTCCTGAACAAGACGGCACCATTGTCGGTCTACCACGTGGGAGTCATGAGCAAGACCGTGAGGACGAAAACTCTGATGAGCCTGGGGTCAGGATTTCCGAAATTGGCGAAGTCACGGTTACGGCCCCCTCAATTGGCTCCAACGAGAGGCAGATCCCAGATTTCGATCCACAACTCGATATCACTCCCCAAGAATTCTTGGATGCACTGATTGAGAAGTATAGGAGCCAGGTCGAGTTGGAGCTAAAGGACAAGTGCTACGACCAAGCACAGGTTCACCAGCGTAGATTGATTGACCGCTTTGACGAACGTAAGACAGCCTACGGGGTTCAGTATGAATGGGCAAAGATGCAGGAAAAGCTTGCCGACATCCTGGAGCGTTGTGGGAAGATCGATGAAGCAATAGAGATCAACCACCTCCTTTTACAAGGGGTTCGAGATGTGACAGGGCAATATCCACGGCAGACCGACATCGACCAAGCGCAATTGAGCCCGCCAAAAGCATTAGAACAGTCGAGACACTACTACAAAATAGCCAAACTCCGGATCATGCAGTATGCAGAACATGGAGACCCCAGAACGATACAGCTCTCAGAGGTGTTCGGTAGACGATCGTTCAAGCTGAGACTGGGATTACGCGAGGAACATGAGTCGGAGTTCTTGGAGTCTGCAGAATTTCTGGCCAACATATATCAGCTTCAAGGCAACCAGGTCGAAGCTGATACCTATCGTGATTTCTACTTGAGGTCGCCTCCAACAAGCCCAGCTTCATCGGCCCCAGCCTCGCCCGTATCTCCGCTAGCTCAGCAAATCTCACTTGATGGGCACAGACTGAATGGTGATATTAACGGGCACGAATCTAGCGTCACTCCATCATTCGATGCTAGCGTTCTTACCTCTCTCTTCTCTGCTGTTGCAAAGGGGGATGACAACGAGGTTGCGGGGCTACTAAGGTGTGGCATGGACGTGGATTCAAGAGACCATCAGAACAGGACGCCGTTGATGCACGCGATTGAGCGGCGACGGATCGGGATGGTAAAATTCCTGTGCAGCAAAGGAGCCAAAGTGGATGCAAAAGACAACAGCGGTTGGACAGCTCTGCATCATGCCATTGTTTACTGGGACGGGGATTCGATAGCACGGATCCTTCTTGAGGACTACCGGGCCGACTGCAACGCAGTGTGCCGCCTTCAAAAGACTCCACTGCATTACACCGTTGGCCGGAATAACCTGTCCTCCGCGAGGATTCTGCTGGCTCATGGTGCAAACATACAGGCCAAAGACAGCTACCAAAGAACACCTTTGTCGTTTGCCGAGAGCGAGGGCAGGGGTCGCCTGGCCAAGATACTCCGGGACTACGAAGCGAATATGAATCGGTAAGTGGATTCCACAATGTCCTGAACCTGGAAATAGGAAAGAAAGTTGCCTGACTCATAATTTGGTCGGCTAGGGGATCTTCCGAGGAATCTTCGTCGCTCAGCCTGCAGAGCTGCTCTAGCGCAGATACAGGTACGTTATCATGCACTTCAAACTCGACAACACCGTCGTTCTTCAGCCGGCTTGCACGGAACAGGACTACATGATACTCCTGGGGACGAAAATGATTGCTTCTAGATCAGGCTACGATACCATTGGTCTGGTCGTTCAATTCATGGCCGCTTGTTCATTACATGACGATTGCTTAACATTTGTTGGATTCTGTATGCGCAACAAGGCTAGAAAGTGACTTGAGCAGGTTGAACAGGTTGAACAGGTAGAGTTTGTGTCTGATTTTGTGAATGAGGAAAGTGCTCCACCTTCCAATCGATCGCTTCGAGCCGCTTGCGGAAGTACCATCCTGACCATAGTAGGAGTGCAATCAGAAGACCTAAGACAGATCCAATGACAATAGCCGCTATGCTGCCTACCCCCAGCTTGTTAGACGAACATGGGGATAGATGTACCGGATTCGGAGTTACGTCGCGTTGAATCTGTCGAGCGAGCTTAAATCGCTTCGCATCGTAGTCGACGGCAAGATAGACCTTATGTTGAAAGCCACACTGTCAGTATAGCGTACCTTTCCAAGGACTGTTTGTTCTTCGAGAGTTACCTGTGACAAGAAAACTTTGCCCAACACCGCCGCTTGTAGGGGCGCTGAATTGAAATAGACGTTGGCCTCGGTGATGTTGTTGTTCAAAACTCTTGTACCATTCGCTGCGATACCTCTCAGTGGGTGCTGCAGCTCAGCGTTTGGAATTTCGACTTCAAAGTCGTTGTTCAGCGAGATCAAGAGACTACCGTTGAATCCGGTAGAGCTCGGGTAGAGCAATCCCGGCTCGGGAACAAGTAGCTCTGGATCTTCAGTGGTGTCGCTCGTCCACTGGGTATGCTGCTTGAAGAGGTCGAGTGCGAAGGTTGGAAGTCGGAAGAGATTGTCATATCTTAGAGAAGGGATCTTTTTCAGCGAGCCCATATTACCAGACCCATATATATTTCTACTTACGGCTCGATGCAAGCATCAATGTCCGAACCCTCGTCGCTTAAAGTGATGTCATCCCCGTCTGCGGGACGTAATATGAGCTTCCGGATCTTCACCTGGAGAGGACAAACCCGGTTTGAAATGTCTTCGAGTAGTGGGTAGTCCATCGGATACTCGGTAAAATGGCTGCTGATGCTGGCCATATCATAGCCACCAAGGACCAAGCTTCCTTCGCGGGGTTGAGCAGTGGATTGCGATCCTGCATTGAGGCCAAAGACTCGTGCAGCGATTAGGCCGGCATCGACGAGCGATTGAAGAAAAACGGAGCTGAGGCCTAGCCCGAGCTCGCTGGTAGTGTGGTTCTGGCCCTCCGTCACTATAGCCACAGGCATTTCAATCGAGGCATCGGAGAGCAGGTTCAGAGTGGTTTTCCCAGCCTGTTGGAATGGTTGCGACGGAGCCATGATCATGCGCCAACCGTCATCTGGAACAAGGGACGAAGTGGCAATGGGGATGAAGGACGATCCCATCGCCGCAACGTCGAGGAGCCCACCGCGGCGCGAGCGACATTGATCCAGGGTGCTATTAGGTCTGTTGTCGGGACGGCAAACATCAACACCCATTAGTATCGAATTATTGAGAGCGGTAGATGGTACCAAACACAGCTCCTGCCCTGACGACCTGACTGCAAGGAGAGTGCCCCATGAATCCACGGTCGGCGTGTTGGCACGCGCGATGGTACAGTTGGAGAGAGGTAACCAGATGGGCTTGGGGCACGCTGCCTCCGCCCTCCAGTAATGAGGAATGAAGCCGATGACGCAGAAAAAAGCGATACAGAAGAAGCGGAAAGAGGCCATGGATGAAGCCACCTGAAAATTGCCAATCGGGGACACAGGTTGTAGACCTACCTGTAAAATGGGTTGAAGAGGGAAAATTTCCTTGTCCATTATCGCAGCTCAACCCACCGTCTACTTGATGATTTCAGGCTGGGTCATCCAAGCCACAAAAAGGATGGCCTGATCAGTTTTGGCGGTGGCCTTTCCAAGATATATGCAGGGGGTTGCAAGTGGCATTACGATCTTCTTTGGGGGAGTGGGGGAGTGAAAGATACTACTACGTAAGGTAATTATTATCCCATAAGATTTTTTTCGGAGAGGCCCCCATTTGGTTAGTCAGCATTGCCATCTTTGCTCGGGCGCTTTGCCTCAGTTCCTCAGACATGCTTGTGGCTAAGCTACTTACTAAGATAATGTGCGCCAGCACGTCTGAGCGGTAGAATGAATGTTGGTTCATGGTGAAAGTCTGTATAATAGATGTTGACGATGTTCGATATACGATACACGGTGCAATTGACACAGGAGATCAAGAGTGCTGACACGCAAGGCAGCCACTACACTAATTTGGTCCCCCAAGAATAAATCCTGTACAAAGCAAGCTTCACGCTGGTGAGGTATTTGTGACATGTGCGTAAAGCGAAGCGGCAAATAGGTGAGTATGTATCGCGCGACGCCAAAGCTCTTAACTGGTACACGACCTTGAAAAAGACGCCTGCCGTCCATGACCGATAAGCTCCGACAAAGATCGGCTCTTGACTTCGGCCGCTACCCATGCTACTGTGGCTCTCTGATAATGAAGTAAGATCCAGAAAAGGCTCACGCTGAGATATACTACAATAATTGCTGCAAACACGGTCCAAGTCTTCGCCGAGCCTGATCCAAGAATATCCAAGTTCATGCCAAATACTGATGTGGCGAAAGTCAACGGAATAAAGATGAAGGCAAGCTGCGTCAATCTCTTCACCCTAGCATTCTGTCCAAGGCTCATTCGGGATTCTTGAAGAGATACCATAGATGCCCTATAGCCCATTTTCTGTGTTAGTACATTGAGTTGCTGCTCGAAAATCTGTAAGCTGCGCTCATAGTCGACGAGCAGAAGTTTCCATTCCACAGATGAGCTTTTAGATGTAAAGGTCTGCAAAGCTGACAGATTAAGTCTGAGCGACTTCACCGTGCTCAGTTGCTCGTCGTAACGCGTTTCCAGGTTAAATTCTGCATGATACTCCACCTTTCCAGCCCACACGTCCATGAGAGCACTGATACTAAGAAGCGCGATCCTCGCGCATGGTAAAATACACTCAACTGGATTTACATCGCACTGCAGCACCTCGGCTGTATTGAGTTGCTTAAGTGCCCGGACGAAAAGGGTATTACCATCGCTCACGAACGAGTTCTCTATTGACGATGGAGACGGCATAGCAGACCCTAGTGAGTTCAACCGAGAAAGCAAGAGGCTCTCGTAGGGTTGGAATTGATAGTTTCTTGAAAAGACAATGACTAAGGTAGCTGTCAGCCACCAGCATTCTCCTTATTGGAATAGGTCCCTTAATACACATACCTGTGTCTGCCTTTGCGACGCCATTCGGTGTATGCAAGTATGGCGAAATGAGTGACCAATGATATTGGAGGTGGAAGTATGTACGACTGGGGAGTGCCGACGGCAACGGAGCGGGAGTGGTTGGGAAGAAAAAACTGTCGATACCATAGTCTGAACCCAAATGCCACATGAAGACTTCTGGATGGACTCTGAAGTTTAATCCTACTGTATCGAGGACTTCTTTGTTCAAGCCAGTGTACTCGCCAGTGTGTGGGTCTCTCCACTAACTGATGATAATTATTCGGGTCTGTGTCGTTGGTGGGCGCTGCTCCAAGTCTGTGAGACATTTTCCAGCTTCGTCGTTATCAGTTCTGTCTGCATCGATAGAATAACCTCGTGTCATAAATGCATTACCGATGCAATCCATGATTGTTACTTCACCCACCCTCGGGACGTGAGTCGCATGGGCGTGGTTGCGTTTGGTCCTGACAAGCGGCGACGCATCATTGAGGAAGTAACTGAGATCTTGGTAGATCTCATGGGACATAGATAGCTCTGAAACGTAGTCCCTGTAACTCATAAATGGGAATGTATTATCTGACATTTTAGGCGTTGAGTCACGGCTAGCCCCTCCCAGATTAGCACTTCTACCTATACGTCCGGTCCATCGCACTTACGCCTGCGTCGGAAAACAAGCTTCGCATCTAAGAAAGGACAAAAGATCAGTATCGTCAAGAAAGCACAAGTCCTGAGGCTTGATCTCCGTACCCGTGAGAATAACACTCTTTATATCTGAAGCTGAATCTTCGCTTGGGATTTGCTGTTGTTCCAAAGGTTGAGATTCCTTAGATGACTTGATCTTATTTGAGTAATCCTCACGATTCATACTAGCGTTGAATTAACAATACTTCAACTAGGAATAAGAAATCTTATGCCCGACTATCAGGGTATTAATTACCGGCTTATCTCTGAGGAGCCAGATTCGAACGCCAGATTCAGAATTTTCAGATTCGGCGTGTCGGCGTTTCGGCTGCCTTGGCAATGTAAATGTGACCGCACCATAGTAATTTGTATGTAGTGTTCCTGAAGAGTTTCTCACCACTGCCATTTGTGTAATTTGATGCCACTGTTGCTTCCAAATAGGTATTGATATAGAGAACTTGGTGTTGAGTTTCTGCAATGGCCCTACTCTGGCAAGCAAAGCCCGGGTGCCCTGTTCATCTGCGGGATACGGTTGAGCGCTTCGTCAACGATAGAGACCCTGCCTGGCGCCTCCCCCCTACTCGTAAAGGAGAGGTATTCGACTCATTCGATCAGTGCCAGGAGCGTTTAAACGTATTCGCAATGGTTGAGGGTTTCGCAGTAACTATTCGAGGCGCCGGAGACCCTCGAAATCCGTGTAAGCGCTTTCGGTGTATTCATCACGGAGATGAGACTCGAAATGATAGAGATCTTGAGCATCGCGTTGAAAAGGACTCTGAGGGCAAGATAATCAGTAATCGACAGCGAGATGCTACACATACCAAGCAAAAAGGGTGTAGCTGGTACGTATTCTGTTCCTTCAAGGATATAGGCAAGCGAGGCTCTGGCGTCAAGGGCTATTGCCTCGTTGCTCCAGAACTATCTCATTCTCACCGTCTTGTAGAGAATCCCTTGATGTATACAGAGAATCAGAGTCTTCTACCTGAGTATCGTTAGCTCGTTGCCCTGGCTTCTAAGCACCGCGAAAGCGTTATTCCTTACTCTCAGAGTCGTCGGCTACTCGATAACGAGGATCTTGGTGTCTTTTTGAGCGCCAAAAAGTACTATAATCTTGTTCGAAATCAGCCTGCAGATAAGGGGGATTTAGAGTCGATTCAGGGCCTTCTTAAAGCTCTTGATGACGCTGAATTCATCTATCATTAACGGATTAGCACTAAATACAACGCTGAAGGCAAATTAACAGGTCAACAACTTACTCAAATCTGGTTTGCTCATCTGAAGCAGCTTGCTACAGCTCAGAGATTCGTCGCCGATCAAGTTCTCATTATTGACGGTTCCTTTAATACGAATAAACTTCGTCTCCCTTTACTTGCTGCTGTTGGTATAACGAATTCAGGGTCGACTTTCCCTGTGGCGTTTAGCTACTGCCCCTCAGAGAGCAAGGAGTCGCTCAAATTCTTCTTCGACTGCCTTACTCGCGAATGCTTCAAACGCGAAGATAATATCTCTCCTTGCCGCGTTGTTATTGGCGACCAAGCTGCTGGTCTTATCGCAGCTCTCCCTGAGGTCCTACCACAAGCTATATTACAAAGCTGCGACTGGCATGCTGTTGAGGCGATGAAGAGGAGATTTCGAACGTCAGGATATAAAAAGGATCAAGTAGATATCCTAAGCAATCTTTGCTAGATCTATATTAAGAGCGCAACTACGCAGCAGCTTGAGGACAACCGTAAGAGGCTTATTAAGGAGCTATGGCCTACTGAAAAGAAGTATATACATGAAACCTGGCTTCCAAAGGAGGAGCGAGTGGTATACTACTATATAGATAAGTATATAAATCTCGGTTGTACCTCAAGCTCTAGATCAGAGAGCTATCATCTAGTTCTCTGTATGATGACTAATGGCTAGCTATCTCTTGAGCAGTCTGCTAAACGCCTTGCCAGCACGGTTATCTCTCTACTCAAAGCGCTTGATTTGGATGAAGATTCATCTGAACGTGACCGCCCGCGTTGGTTACAGCGTGATAAAGCTGCATTTCGATTTCTATTCGACGAAATCAGTCTATTCGCACTTGACAAGCTTGCAAATAAATAAGAGTTAGTTAAGGGAATAGCTGCTAATTTAGAGGATATAGATAATGAGCTGTGTCAGTGTCAGTTGCTCCTTCGATGATATTTACCCTGTAAACATTACTTATTTGCTATCGTCAAGAGTGGCCAGCCTATCCCTAAGTCCTTAATACACCCTCGTTGGTGGATTAAGGGCCCTATCATTTGATTCAGCGGCTGGGTACCAACAAATCAGGAGGCTAGTAATACAGGGATACGAGAGACCAACTATCTATCTCCACAACGTTGTCAACACACCTCCGTAGGCCAGCATCTTCTTGTCGTTAGAGACGCTCTCTCTAGCACAGATCAAGTTAGACGATGGCGAATCCCTACGATAAGGCCTAGCCCTGTAAACGCTCTCGACAAACATCAGGGTTATCGAAGACCTCCCTAGGCGTTGGGGTCAATAAGAAGGAGGGAGGGAAGGACCGTACGCGCGCTTCGAGCTCTGCTTTGATATGCTCTGGGGGCGCTTCTACTGCGGCAGAGATACCCCAATTTGGCTCTAGAGACGTTTCTGTTGTGACAGGGCAGCAGAATGAGATACTCATCATCAGAGCAACGCCGCCGCCGCCCACAGAGGAGTCAGTTGCTAGGGTAACGCCGTTACCATTCAAGGATAGCCTGCCTGCACCCGAGGAGGAGGAGGAGGAGGAGGAGGAGGAGGAGGAGGAGGAGAATCCATTCATTCTACCCGCCTCAACAGCTCCTGCTCTACTGCAGACGAATGCACGGCCAAAACGGGCTAGAGGACCTACTCTGGACTACAAGGCTATGCACGAGGGCAAGCAGGATCAGCCAAAACGAGGCAAATAGGCCCAGATACTAGATACAACACCATAGAATGTATCAAGAATCCCAAATAGGCAATAGATCTTGTGGCAACCCTCTTTAAAATGCATTCTGATCGATATTCTACGAGGGGGATTGAGTGATAAACTCCTCACCCAAATTTGGTGGGACATATATTGCCAAGTCCCGAAACGCCGACACGCCGAATCTGAAAATTCTGAATCTGGCGTTCGAATCTGGCTCCTCAGAGATAAGCCGATTAATTACTACGTGTGATGGTGCAGCCTGAGCAGAGGCTGAGCCGAAGTTGAGCCGGGTGACTAATTCCAGAGTCAGACATGTCCTCCAAACGGCCACCGAAGGTAGAAGATTCATTGCAGGATATTAGTACTGAAACATCACAGACTATCAAGTGTCAAATTAAAAATGGTGTCTTCTTTGTCATGTGTTGTATCTTCCTTACCCTCTCCTCACTGACCAGAAACACGCTTCTCATGCTACGATCGTACTTGTGGTTGTACATTGTCCTCCATATCAGGCAGGATGAATTGAATTCGTCCTGTCGTCTCTGTCTGCTCCCCTACATCGGATGGATAGTTGGTGAAGGTGTGAACGAGAAATTCGAAAAGGGCCGCAACGGACGACGCGCCTATCCTAGCAATGGCACATACAAGCCTCCAGCTAAGAGAGACGGCTACTTTCAATCCGTCACCACGGCCAATTTTCATCCTTCCACACTCGAAGTATGACTCAAAGGTAATCTCAAATGTTTCTGGGTTCTCTCAAGAAGAAAAGGATGGAGGTGGGGGCGAGCCTGAACCTGTTCGCCCGTGGCACAACCCTTGGAGGAAGGAAGAAGGAAAAGAAGAAGATCCTGCTACATCAGATCTTTACCAGTCGTTTGAGGGACCGTTGCAATGCGTCCTTCCTGAGGATCTGTTTGGTCGAGATCAACTTGACCCCGATCACGCGGCGAAAACCAGGCTAGACATGATACAGGATGGGTCCTACATCCAAAGGTTTCCTTGTTATGTCGAGTACTCACATCTGCAGAGCGAAGAATCACGCCGTCATTTCGCTTGTGACTTCAACAGTCGTGGGGCACCTCACTGCAGTCTTCGTGCGGTCATTGTTCATTGCGGTTCAAATTAAAACAGCCAACTTTCTGGACTTGCGCCATACATGCAGTTCCGCCTGCAAATCATGGATGACGATCAAGAATACATCCCATGATGAGCTTCATGTCTCAATGTGACAGCCTTTCTTCGGCGAGTACCAGGTCAATTTTCATTTCTCGCTGGGAATTTGCACTAATCTAGCTCCGTCCACTGCCATCCCGAATTTCTGCTGGCAAGAAGCTTCCATTATCGACAGCTCCGAAATACAAAGATATGGCGCTCTGGAAAGACATTCAAATGTTCTGGTTGTATGAAGCATATGTAAGGACGAAACATGATGTGGATGCACTGAGCGAGGGGGGAAAGGGACAAGTCGGAGCGGCACGATATAGCAGGAGGCCATCAAAGACTACCGGGTAGATGTGGGATCATGCTGCACTTAGTGTGTTAGTCTGCGGAGAACAGACGGATTGAGATTCTGTTGGCGTAACAGATCAGAGCTTCTGTCGCCAGTTCGTAGAATCTGGTGGTTGGGCGAGAACAACCATTCTCTTGGGCACCTGGCTCCAGACTCAGCTGTGGTCTAGACGGGCGCCACAATTCGCCAATTGGCAGCTTGGCGGTGCAATTACTCCGTCAATGAGATGCTTTTCGATCAATCGCATTGAAGTTTCTCGCATTAGCATCTATGGTAAGTTTCAGCCGCAAAAGGCGTGCCGTGCCCAAGGTAAAGTATATAGCTACGCCGTTGACCATTTTCGTTTGTTCGTTCGCGACCCAGCCCTCCATTTCTGTGTTCTCTTTGGCTCCTCATTCAAGGTGCTTCTTTTCATATCTCAATCAATATTGAAACAAAGAGGCGGATACTACGGCCATGGGTTCCACAGCGGACAATGTGACCAAGGGCAGCTGCATTTGCGGTGCCCTCAGGTACGAATATACCGGCGATCCCGCCATGACGGTAGGTAGCAAGTACACCCTGTTGCTGCCCAATTCCTATCCCATGTGACATATTGGGGCGTTTCCTCTCTCTTCCTTCCAACTACCGACCTTTCAAAGAATCCAGAGTCTACCCTGATCCCATCAGCTCTTCCCATCAACCAAAATTAAAAACGGCCATCAAAAAACATGACTGATCCTTCACTCGGAAACCAATTGGTCAACCAAACCAAGTAACTAATTAAATCAACCGAACCAGGCTCTCTGCCACTGCCTCTCCTGCCGCAAAATCGGCGCCGGCTCCACCACCTTTACTCTTGCCATCCCCTCCCCCAACTTCCACTTTACATCTCCTTCCTCCTCCTCCTCCTCCTCCCCCGGATCCACCCACAAAAACTTCACTGTCACCCACGAAAGCGGGATCCGCCTGAAAACACATTTCTGCGGCGAATGCGGCACCTTCGTCGCCAAGGAGGGTGCGGGTGAGAACGAGTTTCCGGGCTTGATGATCGTGAATGCGGGCACGGTGGACGGGGAGGGTGTGTTTGAGAAGCTAGCACCACCGCAGGCGGAGTTGTGGGTTAAGCACCGGGTGGGCTGGGAGGGGGAGCGGCATGGCCTGATGCAGTGTGCGGGCTTTCCGGACGGGTTGTGAACTTTTCCAGGGGAAGTTCGAGGCGAGAGAAAAAAAAGAGGGAGTACTACGGAGTACTACGTACGGTACCGTGCAGAAGTAGGTTATAGCTCGGCGCTAGTAGTACTACGGGGGGAGGCATAATGTTTGTCAATACAGTGCTAGTAGTGACTAGTTCTGATACGAGGCCACAGATAGCTAATTGGTTGTCGCAAAGCTTAAAAGATCAAGCGGCCATACAAACAAGACCACCAACTCTGATTAATCCATCTTTGGATTAGTACTGCTTAGCCTCACTTGTTTTGATAATTGTTTTGGTTCAAAGATACTAGTGCGGAGGTGATAAACATTATGCCTCCCCCGTACTACGTAGTAGTAATTTTCTTTCACAGCGCTACAATCTTGAATCTACAATCTTGTTGAAATTGGCCGTACGGAGTACGTGCAGAGCCCAACCCTTGTCTTGGCAGCACGGGATTCTTGGCGGCACCTGACCGCCTGCACACCTTCAGTAGATCAAGATCAACCTGTTCCTGCTTCTCAGATTGAATCTGGAGAGTAGATAATTCAGATCATCCACCTTATCGATTTGATGGCGCCTGTTTCAGGTGCGCTTGCGGCTGTATCAATCAATCAATTAGAAAATAGACCAATTTCACGCCAGAAGGTGGATACAATACATTACGAGCCTGCCGCCCCCTTCCGCCAAATAAATTGGTTTTTTTTTGATAATTGTGCAAGAGTTACTGCCGGCCCACTCTGTTCAAAAAGAAAAAAAATACTTCTCGGAAGCGTTCGAATAGCGAGAGTGGATTTAAAGTAGATGGTAAAGTGGTACGGAGTATATTCTATATCTCTGGATTGTAAAGATATATCAATAGCAATTATACATTTTAGCGTATAGAGTTAACTCGTTCATTATCAATGAATTTTACGTTCCGGAAAAACAATACTATATACTTGAAACCGATATCCAAGGAATCAGAAGGGACACAGTGTCGCTTTGACATGGAGTACATCTAACGAACCTCTACCACCACCACTACGACGTCCCAGCGACCTTCTTCAACAACGTGATGGCCACCGTGAGCGCAATCGTCTTCGCCAGCCCTCCCCCCGCCAGACCGCCCGCGGCGGCCCCAAACACGACATCGCCACTGCAGCCGCTCAGCGTCTGCAGCAGATTGTCGATGCAGAGGCCGGCCGTCTGCGCGACCTGCCGGAGGCTCTGGAAGCTCACCAGATCCGTGTTGACCGTGATCAGCACGGCCAGGATATCGGGACACTGGAGGCCGCAGAAGCCGTTGTCGACGTAGCATCGCGGGTGCGAGTCGAAGGCGGCGGCCTGGAAGGACGAGCAGGTGGCGGTGCAGGGTTGGAGGACGGGGACCATGGCCGTCTGCAGACAGTGCATGGTGCCGAAGATCCAGTCCTGACCCGCGGCGCCGAAGCAGTTCAGGTTGTTGGTGAATCGGTTGCAGTTCTTCTCGCCGTACGCGAGCGGGTAGCCTCCCGCTCCGCACGCGAGCTGGCCCTCGGCACAGTTGCGGTAGAAGTCACAGCTCTTCAGCGGCGGGTTGATGCAGCTGGCCTGGCACATGGGATCGCTGGGGCAGGAAGCGCAGTCGCCGCACTTGTCGCACTGGAGGTCGCCGACCTTGTCCACCACCACCGAGGAGTCGTACAGGCTGTCCGCCACATTCGACACTCCGATGTCGTACTCGACCGACTTGGTGTTGGCGGGGACGGAGAGCCGCAGCGTGAACCAGTCGGTCGCGCCGTTGGCGTCAAACGCGCCGAGTCCCAGCGCGTTCATGCTGTTGGTGACGGAGACGTAGGCGCCCGTATCGGAGCGGATGGTCACCGAGTAGTAGTCGTTGAATTGAGTTCTGGGATTGTGCAAGTTTGGTCAGTCGGTTGTGGGAGGAGGAAAGGATCCAAGTCAGGCTTCGCTGCTAGATACGTACCCGAAGAACCCACCCGGCACTTCCGAAGTGATGAATTTGTACCTTATGTACGCCGTCTTGGTGAAGGGGCGCACATTGAAGCTATTGCTCGCGCTCTGCAGGCTGGACTGACCCGCCGTGCTCAGCGTGAGCGTCGTGTCTCTCTTGATTTTCATCGACTGCGAGACAGTGCCCCCCGTCCATCCTGTCGTCCCGTTATTGGCGTCAAACGTCGAATTCCCAGCCGGCGAAGTGAAAGGCATTAGCTTGAGCGTGACCTGACCGGTGGTAGCGGCGAGGCCGTCAACCGCGATCGAGTTGCTCTCTGTCCGCGCCACGAGGCCGATCGTCGTCGCAGGCAGGCTGGTGAGTGTGCATTTGCCGGAGGCGTCCGTGGTGCATTGTTGGCTGACTCCCGGGTAGATGGTTGCGTTTCCGTAGACCAGGACGCCGCTGGCGGGCTGGTTGTCCGGGCCGAGGACCAAGACGGGCATGTCGATGCTTCCAAAATGGAGTTGATATGACTTCATGACTGCGTTGCCGTAGTTGTCCAATGCGAATACGGAGAGCAGGACGTAGTCGTCGTTGAATCCGGTGAAGAAAATGCTGTCAGGTGTGATAGTTAGATTGTCGATCTGTTTGGCTGCTAATTAGTTACGGTACCATAGAGAGAACAGGGAGGGAATGGAGGTCCACCGTGGCCATTGAAGGGAGACTGGGTATTTAGGGGGTGGGAAGAACTTACCGGAGCGAAATTAGAAAAGGCGGTGGTATTGGCGACATCAAAATTCGAACAGCTCACCATCTTCACGGAAAAGGCTACACCCTTCTTATTGAAGCCATATTCAGAGACTCCATCCAGCTGAAGTTCGGGCTCGCAGCCTGGAACGGTGGTGTTTGCGGGCAAGGTAGATGAGGCCGAAGTGGATGAGGTCGAAGTCGTGTTGGTGGAGAGGGTGATTGAGGTGGTATTGGGTGAAGAGCTTGAAAAGCTTGAAGCAGACGTCGTGGAGGTGATAGTTGTCTGCAAGGTAAAGGATGATTTGGGGGTGCACGACTCTTTGGAAGTGAAATGCCCTTTGTGGCAGGAAGACGTTTGAGAAGTGGAAGACGTTTTCGTTTTATATGGCTTTCCAGTCTTCGGTCCAGGTCCGTGACCACTAAAGTGGTATTCTCCATGATCATAAGAATAGGTGTAGGGATGGCGATTGCGATCGAAGCAAGATTTGTACTCTAGGGGAACTGGTGGCTTCTCAGATCCAGAAGTGGGCTTCGCATGTCCTGGGGGGGTTGATTTTGCTGAGCTGCTGGATTTAGAAGACAAGGTAGTCTTGGGCACCGTACCTCGCTCGAGCAACGGGTAATCGTTGACGAGAGGGGCCTTGTATCGTGGTGATAACCCTTCAGTATAAGCTAACAAGGTCAAAAGAGAGAAGACAAGTACAACGAGTGACTGGGTAAAAGAGCGCATTTTGGCGAGGCTGCCAGTGAATCAACGAAAACCGAACAAGAGACTGAAAGGAGTGATGAGACGAAAGGAACAAGCTGGAGAAGGCCATAAGTAGGGATGGTTCTTTTGTACTTTCATATAGAAGAGGCCGAATCTAGATTCTTGAGCGGCGAAGCGGGATCAAAGCCCCTGCTTCCTCCAATGAAAGTCAATCTCAAACCCTATCGAGACTGTCGCATCTCGCTAATGACGATACGTTGCCCCTGAATCGAAGCGGAACAATGCTGCAGCTTATCATGAGCCAGCCGCCGCAATGGATATTGGAACAGCTGTTGCTGGGGGTGGATAGCGTGACGAGAATCCGCATCGTCGACCACTAAATCGGTAGTACTAGCGTATCGAAATCTTCCACGCAACGCATATCCATTTCGATTCAATTCTTGGAAGACTAACATCCATAAGCTTGTCATAAGCTTGTCATAACCTTGTCGTGCGTCGTAAGGGCCGTTGGAGGTGTGTAGTAGGAACTGTGAAATAGGGGACACTGATGCGGAGTACATCATGTACCGTAACTTAGTACTAAGTAAGTTAGATGCGGCTTCAAGAGCAGCCAATGATCATCCGAGCAGCTCATCATCAGACTTCAACAAGTCAAACTGCCAAGTTATCGTTATGGCTTTCGACCCACGTTCGTAGTGACTACTATGTAGTAATCTTTATAGTAATAGCATGCACGAAAATGCTTCTCCCTTCACGTGTGCAGATGTACGATCGGGAAGAAAAGGTGCGACATGCATGCAGCTGTGGTCAGTCCAGATCAAAGGCGAAGGCTGACTCCTTACTACTACATGCCAAGTCGCCTATTACCACTTATGCGCCCCTGAAGCGCCCAGTCAATTCTGCTCTAGACACCTCCGAACGAGAAAGTCGAGTTCACGAATGACGTGGCGTGCATGTTCCATTGCAGTTTCGTACGTCTCATCAATTGGGCGTAGGTCGTGGGAGCAGATAAGTGAAGCGATGGGGCGCGAAAATGCGGTCGAGGACGTGGTAGAAGACGTAGCCGAGGATAACCGCGTGGATGTGAAGCGGGAGGCTGTGCAGGTGAAAGAGGTTAGTCAGGGGGTTGATTGCATCACGCGCAAGGAACGCGGGATGGCGACGCGGTCTAGCATCGAGATTTCGACGGAAGCTGAGGCGGAGATGAGGACTGTCCGGGCGTGGCTCTCGCGCCGTGGGACGAGGTGCAGCTCGTTGGGTGGGGAATTCTCCAAGCTCCAAGTTTTGAATGTCTACAAGCTGAGTCTCTGGAGTGTCAGATCGGAGAGCTTGAGGTGGGTGTCATCCGCAAATAGACATTTCGGGTCTTGGGTCCTCAGGAGAGAGGTGCATGCTATGTAGTCACAACCACTGGCCCCTGCCACGAGCCATAATTTGGTAGCTGAAACCAGACTGCATCTTCACTGAATGTCGTATTCCACGCGAAGGTAAAATAGCCCGCCTATCAGCGTCTTTGAAACCATTATTTTGGACATTGACATTGCCTAGTATAAACTTGACTGTCCTGGTTACGTATCAGAGTATGTTATCTTAAGTGGAAATAATATGCCCAGACTTCTCATGTTACTTAGCAGGAAGAGGCCCTCTAAAATTAATGCTACGAGAGCCATTAAAGTGCGCTTAAGATTGACCTAACCGTAAAATTGTTTAGCAGATACCAGAATTCGTAGCTAAGTCGTGGGTAATCCAATGAATTCTCTTATCATATTAGTATGGTCGTCATTTGACAGAATAGTTGCGATTTCCACTAACGGCACTTAGCTCGTAATCTTTAGCTACCTGTTCTCCTGGTAAGTACCAGGTCCTTACTTGGAGAAGGGCTCTGAAAATGACGCATTATTAGTCTTAACGAATTAGCAGACCGTTTGTCATCATAAGAATCATCAGAGGACTCGAATGACTATAATTTGTGTTTCATTAGGTGTTAGATGTCTACCTGTATACTTCTACACAAATTAGATCATATCATGGTTAGGCCTAAACTAAGCACACATTGATGTTAATTTAGGCATAACTTTCAGAGGGCCTCTTCCGGCTAAGTCGTGCATCAAAAGTTAGTGATAAAAAAATGCTAACTAGGATGAGTAAAAGTTAGCTCTTCTTGATAGCCTGCTCTTAGTGGTCAGAGGGGGGAAATGGATTTTGTGGCGGGCTCGGTACTTCTTGTTGAAGGCGGTTCGGGGGCATGGGGAGTTGGATGAGCTTATGCATGCATAGAACATGGAAGTGGTGTAGAGATTGATCGCGTGGGAACGACGTGAGGTGAGAGTTTGGGATGCGATTCAGATGATTGAGTGGAGAAAGAGGGTTAGACGGACAGAAAGAAAGAGATGGTATGGTGGTATACTTCTTAACGGCTAGGAGTATATAAATGGGCGGAACAGCTATGGCAGGGTATATAACAGAGCTGGAATAGATATGCATGGACCGGAGGAAAGCAAAAAGCACTATTTACGCCGGTCAACACAATACCAGCCTCCGGACCAGGACAAAGCACCAGACTCCTCAACATGGGAAGTCCAAGTCCAACTCCGATTTTAAACCATGCCGGGTATCATCGCAATTCAACAATAAATCAAATATGGTAAATGCCAGTAGCCGGGCAAACATGACAGATCGAATCTATCACGCAGTACAATAGCTCTCATCCAACTCTTCCCACGCCACGGACACAGATTTCCGATCCGTGCAAAGGCTGAGCTCCAGCGTAGGGCTCTTTCTGTTCCTGTCTGAAGATGCACTGATGGATGTGTGCAGACTGGAAACGGCGGATTTCAAGACTAGACGTGTTGTGTCCGCGGCTGTTTTGCAACACATACGTCGTATGCTTCGTCTTGGTGGTTTGCTCGGGGAGCGTGGCTGTGAGGGCGATAGGGAGGGAGCCGAAGAGGAGTCGCTATGCACTCTCTTTGGAAGCGTTGTCTGTAGCTCGGGAAGTGGTGATTTGCAGGATAGCTTCAACTCTGTGGTGTGAACAGTAAAAGATGAGATTGAGGTGTTCAGATCCTGCTTTGATGCGGCGCTTCGACCGACTGGGACCACTTTCCTTGGCTCCTCCATCCTCACAAACCGATCCCACATCTCTTTGTCACAATCAGGGCCTTTCAGAGCAATGCGGTATTGGTTCAGCAAGGATGCCCAGGTCGGCGTCAGGACGTCGTCGGATCCCCACGGTCGGTATTTTTGAATCCAGCCAGCCCAACTCTCGATGACTCTTCTCGCTTCTTTGACACCGATCTCGTACCATTCTATGTGCTGTTTGGAGCACGAGTCTTTCCACTTACACCTTCGTTCTTTCCTTCTATACTGCTTCAGGTGCTCTTGAACCAGTCTCTCCACTAACCAAGCATGAGGCATCATCTCGGTGACAAACTCAAGCTTGGCGGCGTAGCAACAGTCTTTGCCCCAAGCCGCCACCCGAGCCTCACCGGAATGGGTGGTAAACCCGGTCTTCAGGAGTGCTGGATCGTCGGGACGGGTGAAGATATACACCCGCCCGCTCTTCTTGGCCATGATGGTTAGCGGTCTGTTCAGGATGGAAAGCACGGAAGCGTTCGTTGCTTGAATGATCTGGGTCGGTGTGCGGGCTGACAGGTACGGGCAATATGGAACGTATTCTTTTTCAAGGTTGGTGGAGGTACCTGAGCGTGTTATCCGTTTCGGCAGGGGCTGCGGCGGCGCAATTGAAATTGCTCCAGATTGGGAATCAGGTTGTCGAGGCTCGCAAATAGGAAGATCTATAGTATCTCTGCAGGCGTTCTGCTCACTTGCCAGTGTTGTCGGCTTGCCAAGCGCAGAGTCATCTCCAGATGTTACTGCCATGGAAGGTTGTTCCACTTTGAGTATGATGTTGCACGGTGCAAATTCTGGACTAGTAGGGTTGGCGTTGCTCGTTTGGGTTCCTTCACCGTCAGAGCGGTCCACGACCTTCTCGTGTAGTACATCCGCATCGGACATGACTGCCTCGATGGCCAATTCCTCAGTCAATTGCTGAATGGCAAGCTGTTTCTTTTCGACATCGTTGCTCCACTTCTGTGCCATTCTCAGATACGGTGTGTCTGTTCCGTCATTTGGCCGGTGGATACGTTTACACAAAGCGACTTTAGCAAAATCCTGCAGTAGATCCTGCACTGGGGTAGCATTGTCGAGGAAGAATCGTATCTTGAGGTAAAGACGTCGTGCTTCCTGGCGGTCCTGTTTGTTGTTTGTGTTCCCGCATCTTCTGGATCCAGATTTTCTTGTCAGATGGACACAAGTGTAGAAATCTTCTTCAGGGGTCAAATCCTTGAAGTCGATAACTCTTGGAAGCTCCCAAATCGTCATGGTTTGTCTCCAAAATTGCAGGAAAGATAATTAGAACACAGAAGATCGATTTGACGAATGAAATATAGGTGAATTGTTGAATAAAAAGTCGGACTCCATGATGGGCTTTGGTCATTTTGTATGGCTCACTCACCTCGATTCAGCCAGTCTCAATCATGCAGGAGTACATCTTCTGCCTGGCCGCAAATGAGGCTACAGAAGGACAGCCCCAAGCTCTAACTCCTGGGCCGCTTGACTAGCTATATGAAGTACTTGCAGAGAGCCAATGCCAGTTCTGGACGGGATCATCCTTGCAATGTGACAGAGTTAAGGGAACCCTCGCCCCAAGACAGTCAGATGCATTGTGCTCATGATATAGGGTGTAAGGATGATACTGGCGAAGGTCGAACCCAGCAGACACATGAAACAGGGCGTAGCCAGGCGCTTACAGACGCAGACGAAGCATGACTGGCGCAGTCGATGATGTGTACCGAGTGGCAGAGCGCACGATTGGACATGATCGAGTCACAGCTCGCAAGCCAGGCGGCACGGACCGGCACATTGCAGACGAGGAGCTGTGTGCATGAATCTTGAAGGTCATGCCATGGCCTTTCAGATATGCTCAGCAGTCTTGGCAGATGGTCAAAAGGTCTTGATGACGCTGCAGAGTCGTATACAGTAGTAGTCGGTATTTGTAGCTCAGCAGCACGGTTGCTGAGGACAGGGAGCGAAGTGGTGGTTCATGGGAGAGTGGTTACAAGGCGGTTTGTCAAACTTGAAGTTTGCAAAGGCCGGTCTTGGCAATCGGCCGGCGGAGCGAATGGCAGAAGTGGAAGGCAATTAGAAGAGCATATCAGTGGCACAGCAGTGTATAGTGTTAGTGTATATATAGTATTTGACAAATACTGACATACAGGGTTGCAACATTGATCCTAGGCAACAGCTTCATTGCTTCTGAGTTCCGTGATACACGAGGTTGGTAAGAGCTGCGCTTACTACTTAGTAGGACCACAGCGCATTGTCATCCAGAGGTACGAAGATGACATCCAACAATTGATAATACCGCCACATGCATGCTACTCCCATCAATAGCTCTAGTCAACATTCTCACCGCAGTCAGACCATCCTCATTGTTTCTCAGCTGCTTAGCTTTGCCCTCCCCGCATGGTGAATGGCTGCTATTAGAGGCCCTATACCCTCATCTGGTTTCTGCCGAACGGAAGTGCACGTGTACCGCATGCCATTGACCTTGTCGTAGAAGGATTTGCTAGTCTTTGATGGGGCACCAGCTAAGAGATTCGGGTGACTTGGTGAATGGTGTGTACAGTGCTCCCGATCAGACCTGAACGTGGTAGATGATTGTCCCAACCACAAGAAATCGATTCTAGACGACCACTGTCCGACAGTACTGGCAGACAGGCATTTAGGTTTGCAAGAGACGAAGCGGCTGGCAGCGACCGAGTCCATCATTCGTGCTTGACACTCAATACTTCAGTCTCAAGCAACGAAATCTCTTGCATCTATCGGCCGTTAAGAATAGCCGCATGAGTGATGCATTATGTGCACTGACAGCTACAGCATCCGGCAAGGGGCCGGATGGGTTCGCATGAGCAAGGCCCTTTGGGCAGCAGCAGCTGCTGCTTTATGCGATGAGCTTCCTTCGCTCTGTTAAAACGAACCCTGGCAGCATCGACCTGAATATTCCGAGTATCTGAATCATGTGTAGTCTCAGCGCGAATTTGGCTTCTGCCCAGGGAAACAGACTCTGTCCCTCATTTGGTAGTTGCTCACTCTCACCTGAGGGAATCCCACTAGATGAATGTCCTTTGGAAGTTACTTGTATTGCGGTTGCGTTGACCATCCGACCCAAGTTCAACGGTAACAAGTTGTGGTGTATGATATTGTTGCTCACTTTGTTATAGCAGAGAAAGTCATACCTTGTGGCGACGTATACTGCATTGCTCTAGTCGACCCCAAAGATTTCCGGACTTGATTTTCTCGGAACTTGACTTCCTTTTCGTCCTGGCTGAGAGTGCAGCAGCAGCAACAGCATGCCCTCACAAAGTCGCTGCCCACATCACCAGGGATTTCATAAACCTTCCTCACCCGAGAATGCTGGATTGCAGCCAAAATGAGATTGCAGCCGCAGAGGAGCGCAAAGGCGGCACAAGAGCCGTTGAAAGCCGAATATCCCAGCAAGTTGGTAGGATCCTTTCTCCCGGATCGCTGCGAAAGCCGATATTGTGTCTTGCCATAAACGATGCAGGGGCACCAAGCACCAGTGCAGCAGACACCTATGTCTCCACAGTCACACAAGCCATATTTCCATGTTCCACCCTTAATGTGTTGGCTGGCATGCATTGCCTGTCCTGGTAGATGATTGTCAATGACTGAGTCGAATCCCATGTCCTCATTCTGAAGGTTCTTTGTACTGCTGGGGGACACTGGGCTGAGCGGATTCTCATCCGGACCAATGTGCATGGTCTTTTGTTCCTTGTGAAGGTCCATTCTTGATTTGACTGGGGGATACCCGGGACTCGTAGTGGCTGCCTCGGTTTCTGCTTCCTCTTTGCCAAGATACCGTGCACCGGCCTGCGTAATGTTGTTGGCGTATTGTGTGGAGTCTACAGGATGCTCCACATAAGTCCTGAAATCTGGCTTTCCGTGTGAAGAGTATGAGGCGGAAGTTTCGGGAACTGACTGAGGCGTTACTGGGAAACCCGGAACATCTGAGCCTGGACGATGATATTGAGGTAAAACCGTATGCATAGCGGCTGTTCCAAAGAAAGAATGGATTTACCACCCTTACAGACCGTGTGTGTTATCCAGACCGGAAGTGGTCAGTACTGCCTTCAATGTATGAACGCTTTCTTGCACTTGAATAATTGACTCGGATGCCCGCGAACCTTCAAGACGAGGTAGGAACCAATGAAAATGACTTTCTACCGTGCATCCGCAGAAAAGGAGCGAGAAAGTATATTCAATCAGCCAGACCACCAAGCAACAACCTCAGAGGTCGGCAAGGTTGTCTTTCCGTCAATAGCGGAAGGAAAATATCCGCTGTATTCCGTCATGCACGGGTAGAACGTTTAAGGGTTGACTGATGCCCTTTGACGCCAGATCCGGGATGGCAAGGTAAAGAAAATTGCTTTTTGGGTACGAAGAAAATATTCACAAGCGGTGAAATGGACTCCTCATAAGCTTTCACGCCGATTGAAAGATGAAAAGAAATTGTCAACAATATGGAGAATCCTTTGCGAATGAGACATGAGAGTATCTTAGAAGAAGGGATGCAGTAAGAGGGGAACAAGGATGGTGGCGGGCGCCCTGATTCGTAGTTGACTTGGAAGTTAGCGTTTGATCATCACAGCTGCGGAGTGGAGTGAGTGGAGTTGCTGCCGTTAAGCGCCGCAACTTAAGTGCGCATCACAGATTAACAGACGCTGAAACTCACAGCATTACTGCCTCGGATTGGTCAAGGATAGACAGCTGTCACTCACTGGCAGTTATCACACACGCCACCAGAGGCAGCACTTTTTGGTCAACACCCTATTCATCTCAGGGTCATCCTAAATGTCATCACTGTCCAGAGCGCTATTCAGAAGGTAGCTCCTAAATGAGTGCCAGACAGGTGGGTGCTACCACTCGTCTTGGAACAACAGGCTTGATAATTTTTCGCTGTGTTCAACACAGTTTGAGAAAAGGCCTGGTGACCAATACACCATAATCCCAGTGCTAGAAAAACTACGTACAAATTGACATTTTAGGTACGCCAGGGTTGGGAGAGAGATCAACAGTCGGCAATTCTGCCATGTGAAGTTTGGCAGCGCCGTATGGTTTCATCATAATTGTGAAAGGTTGTCCAGTGCAATTCCGTTGCCCAGCTTTGGGAGGGTTTGTGGCGTAGCCGTCCGTCCAATCCCATTCAATCTCGCATACTAGGGCTGATATGGCCACCGGCGGAGCATTCTCGGCAAACACCGGATTTGGCAGTTGCTCATCATGACTACTGTTAGACACGAATTGCAGCGAAGAAGGGTCGATAGCGACAGCCCACGTCGAGATTGGTGTAATCGTCCAATCTCGTGCCTCGGGCGGTGCTCCAGAACCTTCAGGATAATTTTGTGGTGGTCGCGGTGAGTACTCACCAGCAACTGATACGGCATACTGTAGGGCTCCGTGATATACAGCGACCGTATCGTTGGCTCTGTTGTCAACCCTGATATCCGCAGCAAGCTCATAGATCACAATGGTATTTCCAGCCGGAATATCCATGGTGTGCATTCCCGTGTAAAGATCTGGGCTAACGGTATAGGGAGATGCGCCATTGATCGAGACAGTGGATTTGTTCCGGATCGCCCAGGATGGAACCCGAATTGAGAAGGCAAAGTCCTTATCCGCCTCAATCGTGTAGTACAGGACGTAGTTGAAAGGGTAGTTGGTTTCGCAGATAATCTGGACCCTGGCTCCTAGACTAGTGGTTGCCCTGACTTCTGATGGCCCAAGAAGAGCATGAGCTAGACCAGAATCACCAACACGAACAAAAGAGGCCGACAGAAACTTTGGGTAGCCCTGAGGATGATTGACAGTACAGCAAGGATAGTTTGGTTCCGTGCCGTAGGTCTGGCCAAGATTGTTAACGTTCCAGAACGGTGACTTGGAGAGTTCGTGGGAGATAGGCTGATTGGTCTGAGCGACATACTGGTGAGCCCACCAATCGGCAGTAGCCATGACGGGCAAAGCGTTATAAGCGGCACGTTCGCATTTATCAGCAAAATCATTGTCGCCCATTGTTTGGTAAAGATAGCTCATCGAGAACATTATCTCGACTACCGCACAAAGCTCAGTGCCTCTGACGGGGCTAAGACCGGACAGCCGCTCATCACCAACAATGCTTCCAGATGGCGTGCCGTGGTAAGTGAAGGTAAGGTTGACCCCTTTGCGAGTACTGTTAAGAAGCTCGTCGTTCTTGGTCAGCCTCCGAAAGACCGCACCAGATTTCAGACCTTGGCCGGCATTAACCACGTGGATGTACGGGAACAATGAGTTCGTTAATTCCGCAGGAAGCGTGTCTAGATCCGGCTTAATATAATCCTCCCGGCTATACCAGTAGGACCAGTCATATGCCTGTTCGTAGAAGCGTCGCATACATGCAGATATGTTCCGTTCATTACCTTCAGGATACTTTTCGTACAGCCATTGAAGAGCAAGGACCATGTCAGCAACTCGGGATCGTCCCCACTGCTCGTCAAATGTATCGCCAGGGTGCCAAACGTAGCCTTGGTAGTCATTTGAGAGCATTGAATGCATCAAGTTGACAAAACTATGCATGGCGGTAACAATTGTCCCAGCGTGCGTCGTCCCTTGTTCTGCTTCAACCAATTGTATCAATCCTAGAAACACTGGATATCTTCCCCAGAAATTCCGGCTCTTCACATCCGTCTCAGGTCCAAGCCAACCATCGTGCTGCTGATGAGAAATGACGTAGTACGCGGCTCCAGGAACTTGTGCCTTCAACCGTTGATCGTTCAATCCGTAAGCCAAGGGTACGAGGCCGTAGAACCAGTAAGGAAATGCTTCGTTCAATGGACTATATTCTGAGTCACCTCCCAGCCACCGATTATCTTTGACCAGAAAATAGAAGTCGCGTTCGTGTCCAGGGAGGCCATCAGCCATCAGCTGTAATTGATCTCGCAACCATCCTGATGGTCTTATGGAGCCGAGAGGGAGAGGTTCAAAAGTGAAAGGAAGCACTATGCACACGATCAGTATCAGAGCATTCACTTTAGGGCGAGTCATACAGCTCTGGTTCCCAGAAAGCACAACTTCATTGTCGTTATGGTCCCCTTCGGCGACTGTCTTCATTCGCGATTTGCAAGATGGTGGAAACGACTCCCAATGATATGGATCAGCCGTGCCACACAGACCTAAGCATCATTATTAGAAGCTTGCGTATGTCCTAGAACAAGTTTGCGCACTAGTATCATCTGCTTGACCGGAAGCTGTACTCATCTTATGTACATAATGGAAGCCAGAATCATACTGGTCGCGGTACCCGAGGAGGCAGTAGAATAGGACCACGAACGCAAAGACCGAGGCTCCTATCTTCCACGGCCGGAATCCCATTGTTGGGGAGAAAGAAAGAAGGTTTCGAAGAAGACATCTTCCAAAGTTGAAGGAGCTACGACCACATTCTTTACAAGGGATGGTTTGCACAGCAGTCCCACCACGCGCATGATATCGGCATAGAAGCTACTTTGTTTTGTTTGGGTCATCGTAGTATTGTCCGGATGAACACTGTAAGCAGTGATGAAGTGGATGGATGGAATTCTGTTTACCTGCAGAATCTATCTCAGAAGGAGAAGGCTAATCTACTAGGCCCTGGCACGTGACCGCCGGGGACTCGGCTGTACGCGTACGAAAACGTGTTACATAGCGCGAAATATTGCTCTCCGATTGGACCAATGCTGATGTTCCCTGTGTGAGAAGTACCGACCGGCCTTTGTTCACGATACAGGCAGATCACTCCTACAGTATTTGGATTACAGATGACAACAGGAAGCAACTGGGCGATTTCCTTGAGGCCCAAATTAAATCGGACAGAGCGAGAATTATCTACTGCAACACAAGCTGAAGCGGAAACCTCAAATCCACAACAAGGAAGATTCTTGACAGCAGAGGCGTCCAGAGCTCCCCAGAGCTCTCTCCGCATCACCACTTGAACTCTCCTTCAATCTCCGCATCCATTAGTAAAGTGGATGGATGCCTACATGAAATTCGTACTCGACATCCTGTCCAATCCACGACATTCAACATGGATTGTCCCGGGTCTCCTCGTCGCCGAGGCGGTCTTGGGTGGTCTCATCATTTGGAAGATACCATGTACAATCCTACCTGCGCACCTCCTTTGGCCGGTCCATCAGCTGAGTCGCCCTTCCAGATACCGAGATCGATTGGACAACCTACATGCAACAAGTCCGACTATTCATTGCCGGCGAACGCAACTATACCTTGATCAAGGGTGACACTGGTCCCCTCGTCTACCCAGCAATTCATCTATACATTTATTCCGCACTCTATTATCTTACCGACAACGGAACGAATATTGCACTCGCGCAAGGCATATTTCTTGTCCTCTACCTGGTCACGCTTGCATTCGTACTGGCATGCTACAGGAAAGTCAATGCTCCGCCATGGTTATTGGCTCCACTTGTATTATCGAAAAGATTACACTCAATATTCCTCCTGAGACTATTCAACGATGCATGGGCGACGTTAGGTCTCTGGGTGGCAATCTACTCCTTCCAAAGACGTAATTGGATTTTTGGCGCAGTAGCCTGGTGTTCGGGTCTAGGAGTGAAGATGACATTGCTGTTGGCCGCACCAGCGGTAGGGGCTATCCTGCTTCAAGGTGCTGGTAGGAATCAGGGGGTACTGAGTGGAATGCTCTTGCCACAGTTACAGGTTCGGGCATACAAGCCAACTGAGTTGGTGCATTCGCTGATTTGAGACTGTTTAGCTAGCGAGTGCGTTCCCTTTCCTCATCGAAGGTAGGAGCAGAGAGTATCTGAGCCGCGCATTCGACTTTGGCCGACAATTCCTTTTCAAATGGACCGTCAATTGGCAATTTCTAGGCGAAGATGTGTTCATGTCACGCAATCTGTCGTTTGCGCTCCTGGGAGCTCATGTCGGGATTCTTCTCTTTTTCCTTCAGACACGATGGCTGAGACCTTCCAGCTCCGGTATCATCGACTTTGTGGGGAAATACACCCGAAGCAGAAATGTGAGAGTTGAGAAGCAAGTCTCAGAAAGTATCACATCCATCTTTGTGATGGATGTAATGCTTGGAAGCATGGCGATTGGCTTGCTCTGCGCCCGAAGTCTGCATTACCAATTTTATGCCTATATTGCTTGGGCAACGCCATATTTGCTCTGGCGATCCGGGTTGGGCCCGATATGGGTGTTCGTGAATTGGGCAATGCAAGAGACCGCCTGGTTGACGTACCCAAGCACGAATCTTAGCTCTGGGGTAGTTGTCCTTCAGCTTTTCCTAGCCACTGCATCCTTATGGTCGGGTTCTGGCAGGGGAACTATCCCCTCATCATCTGAGATAGAGGCAACCATGAAGGAACATGTGGAATGAGAACGTCACATTCCGTTGCTGCACTGAACAGCTTCATATCTTCTCATGATCCAGTGTCCTCCTCTTTCTCCTCATCCCCCAGATCCTCCTCATCAGAGCTCGGCATCTTTCCCACCCTCGACTCCCCCTCATCCTCACTCCTACCCCCCTCAGATCTCCTCCCCCCAAACTCCTCCGGCCAATACCCCTTCTTCCTCCACCTCTTCTCCTCCCTAACCACGTTCACAATCTCGCCATCAATCTTATTCTCCCTCTCCCCAAACACCTTCCGATCCGTATCAATTAAAACAAACCCACCTCGCTTGAGCCAGATAGAAGATCTAAAGCGCGATTGCAGCTCAACCAGTAATTTAGCCCCCGACGCGGTTTCTACGGAATAGAGATTGTTGCCTTCGGCTTTGATGAGGCGCGCGATCTGCTGGGTTGGAGGGAGGGTTGGCGGTGGGGTCAGCGTTTCCTCGACTGTGGCTTGGAGGATGCGGCGGGGTGGTGGCATGTTTCGCCTTTTCCGCGGTGTGAATCACACTGTAGAGGGATACCTGTGGATGGTATTGTACTACTAGTACGTAAGATGAGATGAGATGATTCTTGGTCGTGCCTTATGTAGCCAGAGATTGCGTAGATGTGCACTGTTCTAGAAGATATTGATGATTTTATGAGGTCACACTCTTCTATTTGGATATTTCTTTTTAACACGATAGACAGTATGTAGTGAGCATTTTCGATGAGACAAAAATCAGTGCTTAAGTTAGTGACTGCCAAGAATGAAATCTGGCGGCTAATGAAGTTGAAGTTGAAGTGCCAGGCTGGCTCTCTTTCTTACTAGCACGCTGACTTCAACGTCGAGTCAGCCTGTTCGTGGATCGCCGTCAGGAAGCCATTGAGGTCGTTCTAGCGCACGGAAGCCTTGATCTCCACTGTATGCCTCTATTATACGCTACAACGCTGAATGCAGCAACAGCTAAACGGGCTTCAACTGACATGCCTACAAAGTGGCTGAAGGAAGTAGTTGACATCGAGAAGGCGTAGATGACTGGCGAGACGGACGGCAGTGCCTCACCATTCACATATGCGACCCCTAAACTTGCCACTCCTTCTCGCGCGCCAACAAGTCTTTGACAGTATCAACGATGCTGACCTCCAAGGGAGTATACTTCCAATCCTCCCCGCCAAGAATCTGTGTACTCTTGGTTGTATCCCAGCCCGTCGGATTGACGCCGTCGGGCAAGATACGATGCGGTTCTCCTTCGGGTACCCTATCTCTGAGCTCGGGGAAATTTCGGCGAATAATGTTGGCGACGAGCTGCGGCGTGATCAATTCGTCTGCAAGAAGAATGCGTTGTCCTGAGGCTTGAGGACTTGTCAACGCCATGATATGGGCTAGTGCAACGTCACGGACGTCAACCTGCAAGGCAGCCGTAAGAGGTGTTGATTAGAATTTGAGATTCCTCACTTGGAAAGGCGGAAAGGGGGCGCTCACATGATGGTAGAAGGGAAAAGTGACGCTGTCGATCTGCTTGTACTCCCCATCCATAAAACTGTACACGAATAATTTATTCGATCCGTTAACGGACTTTGGACCAGAGACTGGCTGTAGCATGGGTCCGATTATGACAGTCGGATGGATGGTAGTTAGATCAAAGACAGGTTTTTTATCTTCCATGAAACGCCACGCGGCTTCTTCGGCCAGCTTTTTCGATGCGACATAGCCAAGCACAGGATTCTTGGATTCGATTGCTCGAGCAGCAGTGATCTACGTGCTGTAATTAGCAAGCCGTTCTTTGCCGAATTCTTGTCCGAGAGAGGGGACCATGCTACCGGGTTCCAATCTTTCTCCGTATAGTTCTCGCCAGCTCTACTCATATCCTGGAAGGAATTGAGGATAGTGATAGCACTACTAAGATATACAAAGCGTTTCAAGTTAGAGCCACCGAACTCGTGTGCACTCTTGAGTAGACCAACAGTTCTTGTTCCCACAGTCAGCACTCACTAGCACATAGGGAACATGACTTATCGACCTCACCCTTGGACGGCAGGATTGATGAGATCTCTCTGGAAGTCAGTGGCAGCGAAGTCGACTGGTGAAGCAGTGTGTATGATATAGTCGAAGGCGTAATCTGACTTAAGGAAGACATCATCAAATATCCCCTCCGCCGTAATGTCCGAGATGTAGACAAAGTTGAGTGCTCCCTCCCCTGAGGGATTTAGAGCTAGCATCTCTCGAGCCTTGGATTCGGATCTCACGCTCGCTGTCACGAGAAATCCTCGCTGTGCCATTGAATTATTAGCTAGGAGAGGACATCAATCTTTAGGACGAGAAATCAAAAGAACATTACCTCCAGCAACTTTGCCAGGATGTGTGATGCAACAAATCCATTTGCACCAGTCAAAAAGACTCTTGCAGAAGTTTCGCTCATCTTGATTATTTCCTCTTATGCTATCGTTCTGCTGCTCTGTAGCTGCTATCAAACCAGATGGTGTTCGGAACGGAAAAAAAGGGGAGAGGTGGGGGATTTGAATCCACGATGTCGGCGGGGAACCCTATGATAAGAAGAGCGGCATGGAGATGAAACAGAACCTACCCGCCTGGGAGTACTTGCAGAAAGGGCGCATGGCTGCTCAGATTACCAACGAGTCTTTCTCCGCAACCAATCAATCTATTGAATCTTCAAATGGTACTCGGATGAATAACACTCCGGCTCAGAGCTGTACTACAGCACATGCATGAATCCTGCGCTGCGCTGCGAATGACTTTCCGGCTGCACACGTGCTGGTAAGATGGAAGACGGGTCAGCTCAAAAGAAGCAGGGATGAAGGCCAGTGGACGCATAACGTAGTAGTATGGTACTGTCGCTTTGGCAAAGCCAAGTCTGCCAGATAAGATAGGAATGCTTCACTATAAAAACCGCAGTGAATTGTCTCGCTCTTTATGACACTCTCGATCATGCCAAGAGTAACACCACATACGTAGTAAGGCTTGTCACGTGAAATGCTGCTCAGCCGGAGCCGGCCGGAAGGAATAAGGATATTCTACATCGAGTAATTGTCACGTGCACGTTACGTTAGCTCTGCTTGGCACCACTTCTTAGATTAGCTCTTGCTGCTCATCGGCTGCTTCTTCTCATATTGCAGTAGTACTAGGAGTAGAAGAGATTCCATTCTACCATTCAAGCTTTTACCATAAATGCTGTTGATTCGTTGGACCAGGCTCTCTTGTGTGCTTTCCTTATAAAAACGTCCTCCGTTCCAAGCAAAGGTCGTTAGTAGATAGAAAGCGATCTCTCGTCTCGGCTGCCTTAGCAGGGCTCAAGCGTCTGCCTTTATCTGCGACTTCACTTATTTCTTTGAGCCACCTCTTACGATTATCTCCTGTACATTAGCTGGCAGCTCGCTGACCTTCACGCTCCACTTCGGCTTGCCTTCACCCTCGTCGATTTCGACTTTGCTTCTCCTGACATCCCAATTCAAGCTCCAACACGTCCGCCACGTTAGCACCCTTGGTGTCTCCTTCAACGGTGCGTGCGAAGAAGAATCGAAGGACTCCTTACTCTGCGATGATCCAGTAACGTCTTGCTTTTGATGCACTGATGGTACGGGAAAGCTCTGCCGTAACCTTTCAACGAGCTTTGGAACCTCCAGGGCTATCAGTGCATTGTTGATGCTGTTTTGTGAGAAAATGTTGGCCAAACTACCGGAAACGACAAAGGAGAATCCCTTTCGCTAGGATAGCCGTGGCCGCCTGCTCTCGGCTACTCCCACAGCCAAAAGAGAAGCCCGACACAAGGATGTCCCCTTTCTTTGCAACAGAAGAAATTGCTGGATCATAGTTTTGCATACAAGCTTCCGCCATCTGTTCGACAGGTACGTAGTCCTGATAAGTGAGCTTACCAGGGTAGATGCCATCCGTGTTGATGTTGTCAGCGTCACAAAAGACGATTTCGCCAGTAATCTTCTCAGGGAAGCCGGACAGAATGGACACAAGCTTTTCCTCGTCTTTTTGCGTTGTTGTTTCTGTCTCTATGTCAAAATCTTTCTCAGCGTTTGCCACTGTGCTATCTAGCTGGTCAATGATCTTTTCAAGCGTTCTATCGGTTGTGATCATGCGATCTGCCTCTTGAATGCCGTCTCCTTCGCCAAACTCGACTCCTCTCCAGACTTCAAGTTCCTGGTATCGGCCTGGTCCTGAGATTTTTCCGCTTGAGGCACGAGCCGCCACCACCTCTAGGCTTGCTAGGTACGCTTTGGCATCCGTTGAGCCCATTCTGCCTTTGAACTTCCGGTTACTTGAGCATTCCTACCTCTCCCGGCTGGAGCAATCCTACCCCAAGTCCTATGTCGTCCATGTGTTATGCATTGCCAGGGAAAGTTCAGTGCCTTGGCAGTGATTAAACTTAGGGTCGGACTGCTTGGCTTTGGCAAGCCACTCGGCTCTTGCTTTCCTTCTGCTACCAACACCCTCTAAGTTATTTGAACAAAATTGGTTGAGTCGCATGCACCTCTGGCATTTCTCTTCAACATTGGCTCGATAGCACGGCGTGTTCTCGTAAACGCACGGCCGGCAAGCGCAAATAACTAGGTCACAAACAGACCTCGGACCCACAGGAATCGAGCTGAACGAACTGCAATGGGGGCAGAAGTTGGATGGTCCTTCCGGAAACGTACTATTTAACTGAGATGCGCAGTACCCGCTGAATGTGTAACATCAGCTACAGCAAGAGAACTCGAGCAGAGCAATCCCCCTACACCCAGTGGAAACCATGCGGCAGATCTAATCATGAGTGCTTCCCATCCATCAATGAATAAGTGGAGAATGGGAGCCAGTTGTCTGATGGTCTTTACCCAAGGCATCCACGACTCCGCGCCCGGTGCGCTCATCCCATACTTGGATCAGAATGACAGGATCGGCTACGCTTTTGTGTCATTGATATTCATCACTAATGCGGTAGGCTTCATCCTAGCTGCCCCTTTAGTACAAGCTATCGAACATCGATTTGGACGCGCGCGGGCTTATGTATTTGCTAGCAGCTTAAACGCCCTTAGTTTCATTGCTATCATTTGCATGCCATCAATTCCTGTGGTCGTTGTGAGCTTCTTCCTTCTTGGATTTGGACTGAACAATGTCTTTTGTGCCAATCTTGCAAGAGGAACTGTTATTCTGGGTTTCATGCACGGCAACTACGGCGTTGGGGCTACTGTTGCACCACTAGTCGCCTCTTCAATGGTCAGCAAAGGCAACCAATGGTCACACTCCTACCTAATACCAGTGTCTTTGGTTTTGGTTGGTATTGGCTTTGTGGGGTGGACGTTCTGGGACTACGAAAAGGATACGCGAATTCGGTTACTGACAGCGTTGGAACACACAGCCTCGCGCCAGGGAGCTGAAGCAAGCGACTTCCCAAGATCTGGCTTACTCAAAAGAGCCATCAAGCACAGAACCACTTTGCTCGGGGCTCTCTTCATCTTTGCTTACCAAAGTGCTGAAGGTGCTATTTCCTGATGGGTATTTCGTTTCTCATCAATTATCGCAATCGAAATCCAGCGCAAGTAGGGTATGTGACAACAGCAGACTTCTGGGCTGGGATCACACTGGAGCGTTTTCTGCTCGTACAAGCCGCCAGCGGGGTTGGCGAGAGGGTCTCGGTCTACGCCCTCATCGTAGGTGCGGCGGCTTGCCAACTTCTCATTTGGCTGGTGCCGAACATCGTCGGCAATGCGGTTGCCGTGTCACTAGTTGGACTTCTACTTGGGCTGGTCTACCCATGTGCAACCATCATTTTCAACAGACTTCTCCATCGCAATATTCAGATGAGCAGTCTCAGCTTTATCGCGAGCATGGACAGCAGTAGAGGAGCGGTAGCGCCTTCCCTTACGGGGTCTTTTTGCACCGAGGCTTGGTGCCGTTATGCTTCATCCTATCTGTACTTGTATTGGACTTTATATTGTCATGGTGATGTCATGGTGATGTCCTGGACGCTTTTGCCAAAGGTCGTCAAGCGCTTGGAATGAAATGGTACGTGTCACAATCTATTGATAGACGCTGTCCCGTGATGGACCAGATAGAAGCACAAATTGAACCACACGTCGAGTTGATTGTCGAATGTTGGATCCCGATATCTGCCGGCACACTGTACAGTAGACTTCGTCTGGCCGAACGCCATCACGGCGATCCATCATCCTGTGGTGGGTGGATTTAATTTCAATGAATATCATGGTCAATGCTTTAGCAATTCCTCAGATACATCAAACGTGAAAATAATCTATTTTATAGATTATAGCGTGAATATGCAATGTGTTTGGAAAGGCTAGGTGATCACTTTCGAGCATCTTCACTTCCTGGAGAAAATGGACCATCCCGTCTGCCTTCACATCGAGTCTCAGCCAAAGGTAGCACGAATCTGAGCCACCAAATTTATTGAGACTTGAATTTTTCATTTGCTACGAGCTGCGGTTCAGCCGACACCCAATACCATGGGGCTGGATCGGCTCTCTGGGAAGTACAAGATCTCCCACGAGTCACGAAGGCGCACAACCGGCAGCAGAGAAACCCACACCCTCATATCTAACCTCGTTGCGTGCGTACCACTTCCAAAATGCTGCAGAATCAAGATCGAGCAATTACTTCACAGCTGTTCAGAACCTGTGGCACTAACAGCTGCGGAGGACATCCTCTTTGTAGTAAGTTCGTTATTGAAGAGCGTTGAGTGGTGATACAAGACTCGGTGATTGCATGTTGATTCTGCTCTTGTGACCACGGAAGTCTACTGTCTGGACCGTTGATCGATTCGTATACTCAAAGCAGCCTATTGAAAGTGCTTTGCGGCGTCGGAAACCGACGTATCATCGTTGGAGGCAACAATAGCTCAGCAATCATGTTCCTCATTCACCCTCCCCTATTCTGTGAACAGACCTCTGTTCAGGCCACAAAAGATGAAATCGCGGCTTTACCGCAAATCTCTTCACCCTATATATTGTCCTTCCTCCTCTGAAGGATGTTTATTTTCAACATCGTTCTGCACTCGTTCTTCAGGCCTTCTCTGTGATCATCATTCCTTCTTCCATCTACCCAACTATAAGATGTATTGGACTATTCTTCTTTGCCTTTCCTTGGATCTAATCACACATTCACAGGCTGGTCCTGTTCACAAACACTGCAAGAGAGGGCAACTGCCGGTTTCGGTTGCTCGTGCTGAGCTTCTAGGAAACGTCCGCAGCTTGACGACACATGTCAAGCGAGACTTGGGTTTTCAGGGCAAGATCGGCGACCATGTTCTGCTTACCTACGGCGATACCATGTACAGCGATGCCAACTACACAGACAGCTGGCGGGGTATGACTAGTGACTCCATGGCCTACGCCACGCGCAATCCTCTGGAAGTTCTTGACGTTGGTCTAAATAACGAAGGATTTCCTGCCCAGTTCTGCCCGATTGAGAAGAAATATAGGGAAAATGCGGCAGAATGTGCTATGGGCATTACCAATGTGGTAGAGACCAGTCCGGGGCAAGGTAATCACACACTTTCATCTCCAACCTCGGAACACTAGTTCACATTCACAGGAATACTCTATTTCTTGAAGAATCATCGTCCAGGCGGTGAGAACCACCTTGTAGGTGCTGGGGTAGCAACCGTCACCATGTCTGATGACTATCCCGCCATTCCTCAGGTGACGCGACTTTCCGAATATTGGTGGGATGGTGAGACGGAGCCCTGGTATGGAGATGTCGGAGCAATCCGGTCTGGCGACCATATTTATGCATATGGGCATGCCAAATCAACACCATACGTGTATGTCACTCGGGTCCTGTGGCAGAATGCAACCAATCTTTCTTGCTACGAGTATTGGAATGGCAAGACGTGGCAGAGCGATCGGTTGTACAATGTCGGTGAAAACGAAGGGGTGTTCTGGCAGGTCAACCAAGGCCAGGTCATCTGGTCCAACTATTATGGCTGCTTCATGTTTGTATATTCAGGTGAGTGATTGGCGTGGGCGGATCTGCCTTTTGCTCGACGCTGACCTTTCAGACAACTGGATGAACAACAAGGTATTAGCCCAAGTGGCCTACACTCCGACTGGCCCATGGTCAGACCCTGTCCTGCTCTATCAGGCAACGCCGATTACCAATGGCAGCTCTATCTATGCCGCTGTGCCTCACCCGTACTACGACGAGAGTGGGAAGAATCTCGTGGTCACGTTTACCAACCACCCCAACCTCATACAGGCTGTGAATTTAGTAAGTCCGCCCGGCGCGAAACTGGGTACACACATGGCTAACAATCAGTCAGACATTCACTTAAACTCCAGATCTCACAAAAAGCCGAGCCGAGAATCTGGAGCAAGGACGTAGTTACAAGGCTTCTTTGGTAAGGATGAGTCTTATTGGGTAGACAGTGCTCGAGAAAGAGGATGGTGAAATAGTGTCTTAAACATGACGCAGAAGCGTAATCTCTCGGTTCAATTCGTGGGCAGACATTCTCCGTTCCCATCCCTGGTGTGTTGAATAACTGGAAGCTCCAGGCCAAGGGTGAATGAGACAGGTCGTAAGGTAGAACTCTACTGTATCATGATAAACCGGTCTGGGTGTTTTTATTGTCTCTGTCACCGGGTTTGGGCCAAGCCTGTTGACGGCATCCACCTCAGCTGCCAGTGGTAGCTTTTGATATTTGTTCCCTTTTGCCTGCCAGAAGCCACTCAGACCACCTTTCCCACCAACTTTCATGCATGGTGCTGAATAGGGCTCCGCTTCTGTTGAGGATCAGAGACCGCATCTAGACGTTTCACTCATTTTCTGCCATCGCTCTGTTTCCCGGATATTTCCAAGCCGCGTGGCGGTGCAACTGACGCAGAAGAGTATTATAATCAACACGAACAAGCTGACCTGCGCACGCTTATCCTTCCTCCGGTGCACATGTTCGTCTCGTCTCGTCGATGTACTCCCTACACATGCTTCTGACCACTCCGAGACCAGATCAGAGGACAAGCGCCACATGAGGTCAACACAGTCTTCTTCCATCAAGTTCCGCATTGACACTTACCCGGTGACCCCACCATCCATCCCCAGACAAACTCCCTGCTTGTGCTCCCACAACAACAACAACCCTGAATCCAGGTCGCGCGCACTACAAAATCTGCCATACACCCCAAGCATCATCCCTTTCTAGGCGGCTGCTCAATTGAAATCATGGCTTCTGATCAGGATAGACTCATGGCGGAGATCTACCGCAAAATAGATCGCGAACGGGCCCTCATGCACGCCGCCTCCAGCATGCAGAGGGCAACCAACAATGCAACCGTGCAGGCCAAAGCCGACACATCTATTCGAGAAGGTCGGAAGAATATCGAATATCTTGAAGAAAGACTACGCACTCTGCAACTACAAATGCAGCCCAGCGGCCCGCCACCACCACAGCACGGTGGTCAGGGACAATACGCTCCGCAAACGGGAAGACCCACAATGGGAAGTCCTAGGCCTACTCCGCCGCCGAAGGATCCGAACGGAAGATCATATGGAGGTGAAGACCATGGAGATTATGGTGATCTTGGTCCAGGCGGATACAGTCGTGGTGGCTCCGGTGCCATGCCACCAAGAGCTCATTTTGCAGACACTGAGTCTTTTCAAACTGTGCCTAAAGCGCGCCCCAACTTCTCCAAGCTTGGTACGACCCAATAGGCGCTGTGTGAGCACATCATATCAGTAGCTGACCAATTGCAGATCTTATCAAGTACGATACGCCTTACTTAGGCCCCAAAATCCAACTTATGCTCTCACAGTTAGAGTTCAAGCTGAGTGTGGAAAAGCAATATAAGGCTGGGATTGAAAAAATGGTTCGATTATACCAGGATGAGGGTGACCGAAAGAGTCGAGCAGATGCCGAGGCCAGACGCATTGAGAGCAATCAGAAGATTCAGCTATTGCAACAAGCACTGAAGCGGTATGCGGATTTGCACGTAGGTATCGGTGAGGACGATGCCGGCGATGGTAAGATGCCCCGAACAATTCCTCAAAGCAACGAGCTTACATGTCGCAGATGATAGCTTAAATGCCCCAAATATGCGAAAGCCTTTGACAGGTCATCTACAGATGCGCATTCATGCGGTGCGGGATGTTGATCACGCAGTAGCTTCCAGATTTTCTCGTGGACCGGAAACTTTCGTCATCATGAAGGTGGAAGACAATGTGCGAGCGAAGACAAGAGCCACGCGAACGGACAAATGGACCGAGGAGTTTTTCAACCTCGATATCGACAAGGCGAACGAGATTGAACTCACCGTCTATGACAAATCAGGTGATCGACCTACTCCTATTGGCTTTCTCTGGGTACGCATCTCGGATATTGCAGAGGAAATGCGGCGGAAGAAGATCGAATCGGAGTTTCAACAAAACGGATGGGTCTCAGCTGATAAGATGGCCAATGGTGGAAGTCCTAACAAACCCGGTAGCCAATTCCAGGCTCCACAGACACAATTCATGGCCCCTGGCGATGTTGCTGGGCAGAATTTGGCACTTGGCCCATCCGGCCCTCAGCAGTCTTCCAATACTGCCATGATCGACTCATGGTTCTCCCTAGAGCCTGCCGGACGTATTCATCTGACGATGAGCTTCCAAAAAGAGATGGGTGCTCGCCGACCGTTCGATATTGGGCTCAATCGTCAAGGCGCCGTTCGCCAGAAGAAGGAAGAAGTCCATGAGAAGCAGGGCCACAAATTTGTCAAGCAGCAGTTCTACAATGTGATGCGCTGCGCACTCTGTGGAGAATTCTTGAAATATGCCGCCGGAATGCAATGTGCTGATTGCAAATACACCTGCCATCAGAAATGCTATCCGAAGGTCGTGACGAAATGTATCAGCAAAGCGAACTACGAGACCGATCCAGACGAGGAGAAGATAAATCATCGCATTCCTCATCGATTTGAAGGTTTCTCCAATATTGGAGCAAATTGGTGCTGCCATTGTGGTTATCTTTTGCCTATTGGAAGAAAGAATGCCAAAAAATGCTCAGGTAAGCCAGCGGGCTTCTAAGTCATCTATTCACAATACTGACCTTGTTCCAGAATGCGGTTTGACTTGCCATCAGCAGTGTGCCCACTTGGTTCCCGATTTTTGTGGCATGTCCATGATTGTTGCAAATGAAATCCTGGAGACCATACAGAGGACCAAGAATCACAACAAAACATCTTCGATAACTTCAGGCTCGGGGCTGAGCGGGAAGACATTACGGCCAGAGTCGAGAAGACCAGCAGCTTTACCTTCCAGCGCTTCAAGTGGAATGAGTCTCTCATATGATGCCGGAGCGCCTCCGCCTCCGAGACAGAACTATGATGCTGGAGGCATGGATCACCACCCCAAACAGCCTTCGATGGATGCCAGGAGCGCTGCTGCCAAGTCGTTTCAGCAACCTACTTCGCCTGTCAGACCGCAAGCTCCACGAACAGGTTCTGCGAATGATGCGATCCTAGCTGCCAGTGCTGCAGCTGGCAGACCTAGCTCGGTACAGACTTATGGGAAACAACCATCGGCGTACGAGCGACAAAGCACTGCTCCACCACCACAGATTGCCTCGTACGATCCGTCAGCCTACGAAAAGTTCAACAAATCTCCTCAAGCTCCTCGACAACAGCACATTCCGCAACAGCAGTACCCTCCTCGCACCGAACCGCCTCGCATGCAGCCACCACCACAAGCACAACCTCAAGCACCACCTCAACAAGCATTGGTGACCAAGCCAGAAACTCCCCCAGCAAGTGCTCAAGGATCTGGGCGAAGAATCGGTCTGGACCACTTCAATTTCTTGGCTGTCCTTGGAAAGGGCAATTTTGGCAAAGTCATGCTTGCCGAGACGAAAGCGTCCAAGCAGTTATATGCCATCAAAGTACTGAAAAAGGAGTTCATCATCGAGAATGACGAAGTCGAATCAACCAAGTCAGAAAAGCGTGTCTTCCTCATTGCCAACGAGAAACGACATCCTTTCCTCCTCAACCTGCATGCATGCTTCCAGACCGAGACACGGGTCTACTTTGTCATGGAGTACATTTCAGGGGGTGATCTCATGCTACACATTCAGCGTGGCCAGTTTGGCTTGAAACGAGCACAGTTCTATGCCGCAGAGGTTTGTTTGGCACTAAAATACTTTCATGAGCACGGAGTCATTTATCGAGATCTCAAACTCGATAATATCCTGCTGACTCTAGATGGACACATCAAGATAGCAGATTATGGTCTCTGTAAGGAGGACATGTGGTATGGTTCGACGACATCAACATTCTGCGGCACACCTGAATTTATGGCACCAGAGGTGAGACGAATAATTGTGCTTGCTCGAAAACTGTCAGCTAACATTCTGCAATAGATTCTCCTGGACAAGAAATACGGCCGCGCTGTCGACTGGTGGGCATTCGGCGTCTTGATCTATCAAATGCTTCTCCAACAATCCCCGTTCCGCGGTGAAGATGAGGATGAAATCTACGACGCCATCCTCGCCGACGAACCACTCTACCCGATCCACATGCCACGCGACTCCGTGTCCATTCTGCAGAAGCTGCTCACTCGTGAACCAGCACATAGACTCGGCTCCGGACCTACAGACGCGCAGGAAATTATGAGTCATGCCTTCTTCCGGGGGGTGAATTGGGAGGATGTGTATGAGAAGAGGGTACCGCCGCCGTTCAAGCCGACTGTCAAGAACGAGAAGGACACGAGCAATTTTGATACCGAGTTTACCAGTGTGACGCCGGTCCTGACACCGGTGCAGAGTGGTAAGTCTATATCTCTTCTCTCCCACCCCTCGCATCTATCTGTGGCTTGTGTGCTGACTGTATGTGCAACAGTACTGTCGCAGGCTATGCAGGAAGAATTCAGGGGGTTCTCCTATTCAGCGGACTTTGTATGAGACCTCGGGAGGAGAGTAGGGGAGGCTGGATCAGCAAGAGGACAGCGGATATGATGTGGAGCGTCCCAAGGAACCCAGCCTGCCCCTCGCAGCTCCCATCTTCGGCTTGTCTCTATCTACCTCGAAGCAAGCCTTTGACAGCACGAAAGCAAGCGACGAGACGGTAGCTACTGCCCATCCGCGAACTTCGGCATGGAAGAATCCTCGAGATGCTTCCATCTGATGGTGGTTGCCTGATGGCCAAAAAAGACACAGCTTGAAAGGATAAGACTTTCTCGGACAGACTCCAGGCCGCGGAAGACACACAGACAGACATCCTCACTCTCGCATACATCTCCCCGCTACGTGCCACACTCCACTTAGACGACGAAGCGATGGGGAGCGCGAGCTGGGCTGGTGCTGGTGCTAGATGGCTTGTTCTGATTGATATTGATACCGATACCGATACCTACTCAAAAGAGAAGAGGGGGGCGGTTGGCTGAAATGATGATGAATGTAGCCGAAAAAAAAAGAAAACGCAATGACAATGAAAATGAAAATGAAAATGACAGATACCAAAAGTTTGATGAGTAGATCCCCAGCGGTGATTCACGAGATGGGTGACTGAAAGTGTGGACCGAAAATGCGCCCGGTTGAGTGTTGGTTATACAACGCCCCATTTCCAACTCCATGCATTTAGAAAGGGAAAAAGGAGAAGGCTTCTCCCGCCTCCACTTGTCAGCGTCTCTTTCTCCCTCTCTACACACCCACACCCACCTATTGCCCTCCAACTTCAAGTTAAGTTCACAGCCTCCCTCCCTCACCCTCTCTCCCAACCCATCCACCCGCCCAAGCCCAACCCGTCTCCCCATCCCCAACGCATGACCTACCAAACCCCGACATCGCCATCAAACCTGCCCAACTCCCTCTCCCCCTCCTCGACCTCCTTCCTCGCCTTCATGCGCATGTAGAAGATGGGACAATCGCGAGAACTACAGAGGACCTCGGAGTGCATGCTGCCCTGGCAGCGCTGACACTGGGTCCAGAGGCGGGCGAAGCGGACCTCGAGCTCGCTGACGCGGTTGAGCTGTTTGGTGTAGAGCTCGCCGAGGCGGGGGCGACAGTTCTCGCACACGGCGCCGGCCTTCTCGTCCGACGCCCCCAGCGGCTTCTTGCAGCCCATGCACGTCAGGGTCTTCTTGGCGAACTTCATGAGCCCGCCCAGCGTCGGCGCCGCCACCGAGATGGAGCGCGTGTGGTCGCCCGACAGCAGCGACGCCGCTTTCTTCTCCCCCAGGATCGGTTCGAAGATGCGCCCCAGCGGGTTCGCCAGCTGGTTGTCCAGGTAGTATTTCGTGTCGATCGGCACGTTGTTTTCCAGCACGAAGATCGGATCTTCTGATCTCTCGTAGTTTTTCGATCCGCCCGCCCCCTTGACGATCACGTAGGCCACGCGGTCTCCCAGCGTAGGGGCGGAGCCCGCGTCGCGTTTTCGCATCCGTTCCGCCAGTTCGACGTGCGCTTGTTTGGCGGTGTAGTCGGATTTGGACAGGGCTTTGGTGATGACGAGCACCGAGAGGTCGATCTTGTTCTGTAACAACGAGGAGATGGTTTCTTTGACGTAGTCTTGGGCGCCGTCGAGGTCGCGGTCGATGAGGATTTTGCGGAGCACGGTCTCAATCACGGTTTGCACGAGCCGGCAGTTGTCACGGCGTACGGTTTCGATACCTTTGCTGTCCATTTTGTCATATTTGTCTGGGTTGGTCCAGTACAGGCCGGCGTAGCGTTTTTTGTTGATCAGGAGGTAGGGGAAGTAGACTTTTTCGAATTCGAGTTTGATGGGCGTGATGAACTTGGAGGAGACATATGCTGCCGCTTCTTGACCAAGTTCCATGGTCTTCTGCAGCTCCTTTTCGCCAAACTTGACCATCACAGAGTCAGTGTCGCCGTAGATAACTTGAGCGTCGTGAGAGTAGCCATTCGCGATGGTATATTTGCTTTCAACTTCTTCCTTGGTTTTCTCAATCATTTGTCGACCGTATGAAGTTGTACTTGAGGCGATGGCAAGGCAGGGCAACTTGCCTACTGTTGCTCCTGTAATACCATAGACCGAATTGGCGCTGACTTTTAAGGCAAGCTGTCGACCATTGAGTACAGCTTTCTTGAAAGGATCCGTCTCCACCGCGAGTTCTTTCTTGGCCCGTTTTCGAGCACCAAGAAGCTCTTCGAGAATCTGGGTGAGAAGACCTTTCCGAATATGCGATTTGCAAAACATATCACCATTCGGCGTGACGATGTAGTCCTCATCCTTTTTGAGATGGAGCTTCTCGACACTGGTCTTGTTGAGCAGGGTGGTGTAGCAGAGGTTGTGAGCTTGGATGATACTTGGGTATAGAGACGCGAAATCCAGGGTTGCGACAGGTACATCATAATAACCACGAATGGGTTCGATAACAGTGGCACCTTCGTATTGCTCATCAGTTGCTTCGTTTCGAAGATTTGGTATGACCAGTTGTTGTTCGAGAGCTTTTCGGAACAGCTGACTGATGAATTTGACTTGTTGACCTCTTGCAAGCAAGTAGTTAAATGGCACTCCTGTGACTCTTGCCATTTCTGTATAGTTGACGAGACACATCAGTTTGTCCATCAGCCGCTGGGGAAGATATGCATCCTTCAGGCAGTATACTGCCAATCTTCTTCTTGAGTCTGGTGTTCCGTTGTACAGCTCGGTGATCATGGTATGATGCACATCTTCTTTTTGCTCTCCCAAAAAATGCGCGCAAACAGAGTTCAGCGTATAGCTCCTCAACTGATGGTCTCGCTGTACTAGCTGCAACAGATCAAGTTGAATTCTTCCGTTGGTGTTTGTGGCCTTGGTATCTCGATTGCCCATCTGCTTGCTGGAGAAATTGGTTTCTTTCGCACTAGACTGAACGTTCTTCAATCTGGTCCAATACGGAAACTTCTGCAATTTCAAATGCTTCGCTCGATCCAGTAAATACGGAAAGTCGAAGTTGGCGATATTGTAACCAATAATAACGTCAGGATCCGCCTCTTCGAGGAAATCCTTCCACGCCATAAGCATCTTTTCTTCGGCGTCAAAGGGGAGGATTTGAGTGTTTACTATCAGACTGCAAGTGTCAAGGACAAAAACGTTGCGGATAAAGGGTTTGGATTCTCCATATCTTGTCACCACATTTGCGATCTGGATGACGGGGTCTTGATTTGCCTCTGGGAAAACCCCTTTCCGACCAGCGCATTCGATATCAAAAGACAGTATCCGTAAAGGCGCCATTTTGGCCCATTCTCCGTCATTGCTGTGGGCTATCAGATCGCGATAATGGACGAATGCTTCGATTTGGCAGTTCGACAAACGGTCCCGTTGGGGCATGACTGTATATTTCTGTGGAGGAACCTCTACCCAGGACATTCCAGAGATTCCCGTATCAATCATGAACCTCAACACATACTGAATGCTGTCAAAAGTCATGAGTCCCCCTTCCACATTTTTCCACATGCGTTTGTAGTTTCCGGTTCCATTTTCTATTGTAGTTCTCAATTTGTTGATGTACTTTGGATCTGTGACTGTTATTTTGAGATATGGATTTTTCTGATTGCCCTGAAAGCCAAACAAATTTTCTCTCATTACGATCTGGACTGAATGGATGGCAGGTGAATTTTGTGCCAGCTTCGTTTCGAGGTACGCCTTGAATGGTTCGCAATCCGTCCTCACAAAGCTCGTCGGCGCCGCAACATAGAGATAATGTAGGAAATCAGTGACATGCAAGAGCACAGAATGACCTGTCTATCACGGATCATCAGCAAGTAAAGTGAATGAGCAACGCCATGATGATCCCACCTCCGTCACACCAAACAGCTTTAAAACTGTCTTGCCACCATGCAGCGTACCCTCCTCACACTCGATTTGCTGGAAGCAAAGACTGTCTCTCTTCTCATCGAAGTCATCGAGCCCCGGCCGCTGCCACTGCTGATCTTTCTCTGCATTTGTCTGTTTCAAGCCATGAATGTCCTGGGTCATCCTCTCCAAGACCTCCGACTCAAATTGGCTCTTTGGCTGACTGGACCCATATTTGCCCTTAAGTCCGTTGGGACCAGCCTGCGATGAGCTGAAGGAGGGAGCATCGTTGTTGAGCTTGCGCTTTTTCGCAGATTGAGGGGACTTGACAGTGACTCCATTTTGGACGGCTTTGCTTGAGTCAGCGAGGACTCGTTTCGCGGTTGACTTCACTATTCCAGGCATGGTGATTGTGTCAAACTCTGTCGATGCCTGTTAGAGAACTTTAGAAGTTGATGACATTGTGGTTGAATAATGCTCGTTGTGGAATAATTGGAACGCGACTCTTGACGCGATTTGGCTGCAGCTGCACGTTAACCGCTACTAGTAGCAGATAACGATAAGACGTCTTGGCAGAGGAGGAGCTTTAGGAATCCGCGAATATGTGCACAATAACGTAACGTAGTAGGTTCTCACTTGAACATGTTCCAATCTCGACATTTCTCTATCTACTCACCCTGACGCTCATCTCTATCTAGTCCTCCAAGTTGAATTTCAGACACTGTGCCAGTCCCCATCCCTTGACATGAGACCCCCGGCTTGACCATATGAACCTAAAGAGGCCCCAGTTATTCACTGCGTCAGCCGGCTTTTCCTCCTCTCCACCATGCCTATTCTCCACCCCATCCTTATTCTTGTGCTGTAACGTCTCTCCTACGCTAATGTGCTCGATTTGTGCAGAAGAGAGCCTTTTCACTTGAGCCGCAGTGAACAACGACAGAAGAAGCTCACATCAAAAGACAAGCAATTAACAATCGACGATCAGCGGCAGCTAAGGAAGTCTACACAGAGACGAAACATACGTAGTAGTTAAGACCTAGAATATCGAGAGCACTAGGACAGGAGTACTCCTGTTAAAATCTCCTATTGAAAAGCCAAAGAACTGTAGAACTCTACCACTATTAAGTTTGAACGATTCCCGTGATAACATCAAGATCCCGCCAGTGGGAAGTGCTCCTTCTCTTTCCATCATACCATCCCGTTCAGCAAAGCCAAAGTCACAACTTTTTATCCCAAAAACGGAAAGCGGGCTCAATCGAGGTGGATAAAACTTGCCATTGAGCAGTTTGTGCATCAGGATCCGGATGGATATACTCCGTATGTTTATTTAATAAATATTTCAAATCAACGTCTTTCGAGTTGGGAACAATGGGTAAACCAGTGATAAGTGCCATCATGAGGCTGGTTATCCCTTGAGGCAGTCAGCTAGTCTTTGGGTCTTGCGCTGGAAGCCAGCGTGAAAGCATGAGGGAAATCAAAGCCTAGAAGAGGTTGATGGAAAGAGTAAATTATGTCTCTCTAAGCCGAGATAAGGTAATGCGAGGGGAACGCTGATATAGAGAAGACCTCAGAAAGAGTCGGTCCCACGTCAAAACAGAACTCGCATGCCCCTAGTTAGGAGTCCATGTACAACCATTGCAGCACGCTCGCTAGACCCTTCCGAATGGTTCGCCCAAGACGCCACATGATGCATTAGAGCCCCTGGACTTGGAAATTTCCGTGGTATTGTTGCCATTCCAAGGATATTCCCGTTCTTAATGGATGATCCAATACTCCAGCAAACGCCTAGACACCCCACTTAGCCTTCAACAAGCGTCGTCTTTGGTCCTTTCCCCAATAGCTCCAACGACCTTCGAGCGAGGGCCACTACCTCCCCTTCACCATCGTCCGCATCTTCATCGTCTGATTCGATATTCTTTTCAGAGATCGTCTTGACCATCTGAATGATGTCTTCCGATTTGGCGACAAGGCTGACGAGTTTGTTGTCATCCGACTCCAGTAGTTGCAGAAGAGTCCAGATGGCGATATGCTGAAAAGTTGGGTCGCCGCTGGCCAGGAATCGCTTGAGATAGCCGTGAATGCCCCCATTGGGACTAGTCCAGTCCCGAACGAATATCGAGTAGTCACCAACTACGAATATCAGCACAGGAAGGAACCCAAAGGACAGAAATGCGTTACCTTTAGAGGAGAGATTGCCTAACGCCGCGGCGCTGTTGCCTTGTACTTCAATGCTCTCAGAGTCAGTCAAAGGAATGAGAACCTCAAAAACGCCAAGGTTCAGTAGATGTGACTTCAAGTCGTCACTGAGTGCAAGAACAGCAATCGCTGCAGTCATCTCGGACTGTACGCTCAAAGGTACTTGCAAGACAAGCTCCTTGCATTTCTGGACAGCACCTGCTTCGAGCACAAGCTGCTTGTTCTTGTCTGAACTTGCAGCAAGGTTTCGGAGGGTGGAGATGGCATGACATTGGATTTCTTCGTTATCAGTAGAACCTAGCAGTTCGACCAGAGGCTTGAGGAAGCCAGCATCGATGATGGGTGACTCGTTGAGAGGATGTATGGAGATGTTTCGGATGCATGCAACGGCGGAGAGAATGAGGGGTAAATAAGAGGATTGAAGAAGTCGTAAAAGTGGTTGTAATCCCCGTGCACGAACGATCTCGAGCTGATATTTCTCGTCCGAAGCGAGATTTCGAAGAGCAAGGGCGGCTTGACACTGGACTTTGGGCGTTCCCGAGTCCATTAATTGAACAAGAGATTGTACTAGCCTGGACTCAGTTTGCGCTAGCTTCTTCCGGTTCGCGGCGTCCACGGCGATGTTGCTCAAGGCGGTCGTGCAGTAGTACTGGACATCCATATCTGGTGAGGAGAGGAGCTGAACGAGAACTGGAATAGCACCGGCGTTGACCAGCTGCTGCCTGTTGTCATCTGTGGCCAGGTGATTAGCATTATCCAGTTGAGGATTTCGTGCTGCTCACCTGAATGTGTCATGTTGAGCAGCGCGCCAGTTGCATTTCGCTGGACTCGCATATCTTTCGATTTGGCCAACCTTGTAAGTGGGCTTAGAGCCCCGGACCGGGCGATCTTTGCTTTATTGTCCTCATGGGTAGCGAGGTTGGTGATACAACCGACAGCATTGCATTGAACCTCAACATTTGGTGACATCATTTGTCGGATTAGGGGTGGCAATCCTCCGAGACCGACGATGGACAGTTTGTTTTCGGCTGTGAGACATTAGCAGAAGACTGCGGGAGCCAAAAAGGACATGCACCATTGACAGCCAGATTGCCCAGCGCAGCACTTGCTGCCCGTTGAACCTCGATGTCAGGGCTCTGTAGTAGGGAGAGGATGGGTTCGAGGGTATCTCGGTCGACTTCTCGGACATCTGTAGTCATGAGCGAAAGTAGGATGGACGATCTTGAGCAGGTCTACCTCGTTCGGTAATCTCAGCAAAAGTCAAGCTGGCGCTCCTTTGTAGATCCACATTGTCCGAGTAAACCAAGGTAGTGAGTGCTCGAAGAGGTTCACCGGAGAAGAAGTCTGTTTCATGTCGCTGAAAATGTTATTAGCAACGTCCACTGAGCAGTATATGTTGGCCATACATTTTCGAGGTATTGTAGAAGATCTGCGACTGCTTCCCGTTCGCTGTCTGCCAGCACGGGTTCGTATATGCCATCTCTTGTTCGGCCTACACAGCATTTAGTAATCATCGCATTGCGAGTCAGGACCCTAGACAAACCCTTGCAGCATGTAGACAAGCTGTTGCCCATGACCGAGGTTGAGTCCCCAAGGGACCAACTCTGGGTGCTCTGGGTGCTCTGGGAGAGGTTGGGGGTATCCTATCGTTCGGAAGGATAGGTGGGTGGGATTGAAGCGCTTTGGATCGATGTGATGACGGGGAGTAATGTATCTCGAAGATGTGGTGGTGCTCTGGTGAAGAATACCGCGAAATAAGTGTCAGTGCAGCTGTCGAAGCTTGTGAAAGCCAGGAAGTCGTCCCAAAAACTAGCTCCAGGGAAAGGAAAGGACGACCCACTCTGCCGTAGGCCGAGCAATAACGTTGGACTTTGTCATGAGGTTCACATTTCAGAAAGACACCACCTTTTTGATACATATTAATATTATACATTCTACGTCGGAGCATGATCAGAATATCACACAATTAGCAACCCAAATCACGGCCAATCCATGTGGTAGAATTCGAGGTAGCAACATTGCACGTGAGACAACATAGTGAAGTACTGTGCCTCTTGGAGCCTGAACACTGCCGTGAGTGACATGACACGGCGACAATATGCCCAATATAGATTCTGCCTACACCTCTCTACACTTCTCACTAATCATTAAAGCAAAGACGACGGTTCCTCAGTGCAACAATGTAATTGCTTTGATCCATTGCGGTCGATAAGATGGGTGACTTTGACGCCATCTGGACTGATATCCATAACCTATTCAGGGAATTCCTCGCCTTGGGGTTTTCTTTAGGTAGGAAGGAGTCGGTCTTTTGGGTCACAACTTGAAAACATTCGAGGCTATCTTCTCCCTTTCCAGCTTGGTCCGCCACCTCAAATAGTCAAGATCGTCACTCAAGGTTACATATTTTCACCTCAAGTCTTCAGAGCCCCGTCCTTGCTGTAGCAAGGACTTAGACATCTTCTGTTGTTCATGCATAGACCGAGCAGATGCTAAGACCTAGTGAATGTGACTCGTATGCTTTGTGCTGACACTAGATAAAGGTTCATCTTTTCATGTCGGTGTTTGGGTTCCGTCTGACGATGTTCTACTGATATATCCTCTGCAGAATAGATTGTAGCGGGGCAGGCAAGATAGTCTGCACCATAATGTATTTTTTTCTTTGTGATCAGCGCAAATCCCAGCATTCGGAAAGTTGCTCACCGAGTCTCTTCCTATTTCTACCAAGGATCAGTCGCCCTCAAGGTCTGGTAGGTTCTCGGGCTCGGTATGATCGAAGGTCCTCTGATAGTGACATGCTGCTGATTTGGTGCCTCCATTCTTCAGTATCAAGGACAAGTAAAGTGGTGATAAGAATAGTCAGGAATGTGCACACGCAGAAACTGCAGAAGGATCTCAACGTGTATCTGCCCACTAAACACGATCGAGTCTGCCCTATGAGATTGCCCACCGTGCATGCCGCCAATTAGCAAAATGCCCATTATCCCTACTACTAATTCTACATAGTAATGTATGCCGTGGGCCTGCATCGGGCGTTTCCATGGGTCTGCTGCTACCTTCACAGGACACCGGTATCGACTCATCTTAAGACTTGGCGTTCTGGCTGGATCACGGCTGCACGTCTGGTGTTGCTGAGAGATTGCAATGTTGACCAAGGGTAAGCAAACCAGTGAGAGCCCTGGAGCGCAGTAGACGTTCTTGAGCAAAGGTCACAGATCCATGTCGTGTGGCTTGTTGGCCAGAAGGGCCTGGAGTCCTGGAAGCCGAAACGCAGATAGGTAGAGTGACAAGCCACTAATGTAACGTGCACATTTCCTTCGACGCGCCCGAATAGTCAGAGCGGTCAAGGTTCGACGATGAGGCGGGAGAGATCTTTCAGATAAGGGGAACGATGGTGCATGTTATCGCTGCCTCTTAGAAGCGGAGCGGCCGAGCAATTATTTTGGGAGCTAGCATTGCATCTCCAATGCCCTACCGGGAGCTGCGGTACCGCAATTCGGAACCAGTCATAATGAATGCTCAATTGCCCAGGGTGAAGTATGGATTTGGAAGTGAACGTGATGGAAGCATGGGTGCCTATCTGGTGGACTGTAAGAATGGCGGTGGCTTGCTCAGGGTGACTCGAGGATTGGGCACTGTTATTCGTTCGCAGGTTTGAAGTATTTTCCTCTTTGGGTAGTTGGTGGATGGATTGCCTACCACAACTCCAGGACTCCTTCTCCAAAGAGTCACTCTAACAGATGCAAGATTATGCGACTTGCAGATGGACCACCAAAGGTAAGGCGTGGATGGTCTGTATGGTCTGTATGGTCTGTATTATGTAGGCGGGTGGCTACGTTGCATTCTGCTCAGGGCCGGGGTAGGCAAGATGGTCGTGAATCTTCTGTTCAGCAGCGCATAGAAGCTTGCCCGGCGGTGTTGTTCGATCGGTAAGCTCTGGGGTTGTGCGACTTGAAGTTGACCTGTTGTGGGAATAATGATGCGGAAATGTGGGCTCATATGCAGTCTGATTGAGGTGGCTTCTGGAAACTTTCTAGTTGGAATAGAGGCAGCGAATTGGCTGAGGGTCAATTTCACGGCATCTCCGGCTCGTGTTTCTGCGTCTCAGTGACTTGCCGTTGGTTGATGTATAGTTGACCATCTCTTCTGGCTCTTCTGGAACCATAGTTTGCATCAGGCTTGCATCCAGCTGGATGAACCCGAACCAGGGACCACGAAGGGTCGGTCAGGCGGTCGACAGGTCGACAGGCCGCCTGGTCGCCAGGAGTTGCAGGCATCGGGGGGACCCAATCACGCTATTGCGCACCACTAAGCGCTGCTGTTAACCACGTTATTTAAGCATTATTGTCTGATCCATCCCGCAACACTGTCCTATGCCATCCCCAGTTAGCTACAGTTAGCTACAGCCAGCTGGATTCCCCGTAGCTCACCGCCAGAAGATCCGAAGCTCTTGCTGACCCCAGTCGTCTCAGCCTCGTGGCTTGCACATGGTTACTTGGGGTCGGAAACAAGTGGTGACAACACCACTGCCAGGCCAATCACCGCTTGCCTTCCCTTGCACCCCCCCTGGATGGTCTGCCAAATCCACCTCTCCAGTTCCCCTTTCCGGTCTAGCAGGGAAGCACACCGATGCTACCTTCTGAACCCGTCCGACAGATCCAAATCGGTCAGTCAATCTCTCGTCTGCACGTCAGCGCGTTGATGGAAATTCCAAACATTCCCTGTCCTCCTGGTCTCCTTGCAGCAGCAGCGACAGGGCTGCTCTGGTCTTGAATCTACATTCATCAGGCGAGCTATCCCTGCTTGGACCAGTTGTGCGACTGCAGGCTGGTAGAAATGCTACCGCTTTCTACCCAGTACCCTGGGAATGAGTACCCTGGGCAGTTAACGCATGCTCTCATAAGTAAGGTCTATGCAGCTTACACCGCTGTACCTGGAGGACCTTTGGATCCCATGTTTATTTGTTACTACTCGCGTCCAATCCAGTCATGTCACCTCCTTTTGGAAGGACACGGTCTTCAAGCTTGATATAATATCCTACTCCTATACCCTTCATCTAGATTCGTCGTTTTCTCCACCAACACTTCCAAAACAAAACCAATTATACAACAAAAGCCTTTCTCCCTTCGGCCAAGCCATCAATAGTCAACATCATCACAACGTCCATCAACAATGTACTCTCTACAATCACCCACCATGTCTCCTCACCAGCGCACTCCTCACCATTCCCGCTGCAAAGCCAAACGTCTCCTCCTCCGCGACATCCGTCCCACCCCAAACTCACGCAACCAATCCCTCCTCCGCAAATCCGACCTCTGCCCTAAACAGTGCATCTACTGCGACATCTGGAAACTAGCTCTCCTTGTCTATTCGCGACAAGCCCAGCCCACTTCTAAACCAAACACGCCGACTACTCCTTCCTTTCCAACACGCCAACAATCACAATCATACTACTCGCCCCGCCCGTCCCCCACCTCACCCTATCCACCAAATGACCACCAACAAGCTCTCAGAGCCGTGGAAGCAGGCCACACCCTGCAACGCGCACAACTATCTTCGATCCTCTCCATCTGCACCGTCGAAGGAGCAGAAGAGTCCGAAGGCCTAAGAATCGCGCACGATAGGTGTCTTGGTGCGGTGTTGGAGCTGGTGAGGAGGGAGCGCGCGATCAGGAGGGAGATGTCGCAGGAAGAGGAGCGGGAGGAGCAGGAAGAACAGGACCGAAGGGAGAGGGAGAGCCGGCAGAGGGAAGCGATGCTGAAGAGAGAAAGGGAGCGAAGGGAGAGGGAGTTCGAGTACCGATATGCTGGGGAGAGCTGTGGCTACGGTTCTCTGAGGAGGGGCAGCGGAGGTGTGGTGGTCAGTTGTGCCATGTGAGGTGCAGCCCTGCGGTTTCCAAAAGTTTCTTTCTCTGGCCTTTTCTATTTGGAGCGAGCGCAAAGCGAGCCGTTGAGTTGAGCGAAGCGATTTCCTACTCTGAGCGAGTATCGTGTATTTGGACTGTACTTGTACTACTAATATCGAGGGGCTCTGTCTGATTATGGAAGAAGGGGGAGGGAATGACACGATAAGCTATGAGAACAACACGCTGTACAATCACGATCACGATCAACATTACCAAAGAGACCGGGCTTACTTAGCTACAATAATGTTTGATTCTATTATTTCCCTTTCAACCGCTGCACAGTGAATCTAGAGACGCTTACGATCGTGCAAACAGAGGAGCGCCCCAAACAATCCTAAAAACAAGAAGTGCATGTAGAGGAACGATACGTTCAGATCCAAAAGTCGTATTCTTTGCGACTCCTATTCTTGACCAGGAGCCCTACCTCACTGTTCCTTCGATAACTATTTCATCTCATCAGAGCGGTAAGCGAAGACCCCACCCCAAAGCCTTCCCAGCAGATCAAACGGCCGCTCCGAATATCCTCCTTGTTCTAGACTGCAGCCTTCCCCCGTAAATAGTTGGAGCTTAAGCGAATAAGGAAGGAAGGTAAGTTAGTTAAAGCTACTTTCTTTGCTGGGGGCTGAACTACACGTGGTCAGCTTTCCGACCTCTGCAGGGATCATTCTCCCATTTTGGATCCCTGTCTCGTATGATGCTAGTCTGAGTCACGCAATCCCACGTGGTGGGTCTTCGAGCAATCCACTAAGTAACCGAAACGACCTATCCGTGGGGCTTCTTCCTCCAACCGCCTGGAGAGCAGATACGGTTCCTCTGTTACGAACACGAGAAAAAGAATGTAGCAGCCTTGCTGAAAACTTAGGCTGATGGCTATAGGGCTTAGTACCGGGCTCTCGGGTGGGTCGGATGCAGCTGAACTCGAATTTGAACGGGAAATGATGTGTGCTGGTTCGTGTGTTTGTCTGCTCGCAGGGTGGGTAGGCGTTTTTTGGTGACCCAGAAGTCCAGGTAAGACAGCAGGGATGTGTATGACAACGCCAGGGACTTGGAGCGAAATGGCGGGCTGAGGCCGTTTTTTGCTAAATGATGAAACAGTCAACGGTGGTGCCACTCTGGTAGAATTTCATCTGACGCTATTTGTCAGACCTTTTTGAGACGATGACTGCATCATGGGCCGTCAAGCAATGCCTGCTGGCTCCATATTGGGTCTGGTCAATCCCGCAACGACCTCTTTGAGGTCTTTCGCCGGACGTGACCAGTCCTGTGTAAGAATATCCCCATTAGGCAGCTCGGTGTACAGTGCATCAGCAGCTGCCTTCCTAATCTGCATGTGGCTCAGTCAGCAATCATGCCACGAATTTTGTTGGGACTGCAGAGTAAAGTCGCATAGCATCTTACACTAGGGTATGGATGTAGCAGCAAATCCCTCAGCTTTCCGAGGGCATTGCTCCTTATATCCTCTCTTACTGCTAGTGCTCCGTATATTTTGACAGCAGCCTCTAACTTGCGGATATTGGTTGATTTGAAATGGGCTTTACGGACAACATTCCATAGTTTTCGCGCTGACAGCCTAGGCCCAAACTCTCCTCCTGGCTCAATGCCTTGCTCTAGTAGAAAGGCGATGGTTTCGAGTAAGGGCGTAGCTTGACGCTCGTCCGTGTATAAGGTCTCTAACAGAGTGACCAGCATTTCAAGAACTCTTCCCGCCCGACAATCCGAAGAAGCGTTGACTATACTCTGAATCAAAGTAAGACGTGATACACGCATCAGTTCTTCCGTACCAGACGTGGTAGAGTGTACGACTCCCTGAAGAATACAAGACTGCAGCCAGGGCACCTGTAGATATTGGAGAAGAGCGGAAAAGTAGCGTTGAGAAGAGACGTCACTAACGTGGGAGAAACTGGTTGGGCGTCAGTATAATCCAGGAAATAAGAAGCGTACTCACAATTGAGGTGAGTTGATACTCAATCCCCCCAGGAAAACTTGAATACATTTCCATGCCTCAAATCGCAGCTTGTCAAGCTTTTCTCCAGCAAGTCGAAATAGTCTTTGTACGAGTTGCTGTACATCATGTTCAGAAATGGCGTCTGGTCTCTGCGTCAAGCTTGATAAAAGAGCTGAAACAGTTTTGACAGCCTCCAGTCGTGCTAAAGAGCCCACGTCGCCACGTTGATCATTGGTATAGTTGTCTAGTGCTGCACACAGAGGCCCTGCACAATCCTCTTCCCCCAAGTGCGGTATGATCGATGTGAGACTGCGAATAGCTATGACGTGTGTCTCGATCGGCCACTCGCCTTGGATAAAATCCCTCAATCGTGCAAACACTCTACTTCTGGCACTCTCTTTCATACCCGTCTGGCTTGCCGGCTTCTCTTTAGGCATAACTGGGTATGTACTGCCTAAAGCGAGAATACGGCCTTTGCTGCTAAAAGAGGAATGTCGTTGATGTTTAGCATTAAGCCAGTTTTCAACAAGGCACACCTTTCGAGTTTCAGGGAGTCTTCGTAGCAATTCGAATGCAGCATCTGCGCAGGCAACAAGCGCAATATCATGATCGGCTCGAGTGAGGCACAACTCCAAGACGTCAATTAGATCATCTGAAAAATTGGAGGGAGTTTCAGGCGCTCTGCGCATAAGTGAAGATATTAGGCTGACAGCTCCCTCTAAAACAAGCTCGGGGATGAACTTTCCTTTAAGACTGCCTAACAGTTGACCGTCTATACTAATTCCTTGCAGTAAGAGGTGTAGGAGGGATGCTATTGGGGTCCTGGGCGTGGAATTGAAATCAATAGTGCTACCGAGATCCAAAGTGTCCAATATGCGTGACATTGTCATCAGTAATCCATGTCGCATTTCTGCTATAGTCTTTGAATTCTCTATAGGCAACTTGCTCGATTGCTTCTGAAGGGTTTCCAATACGGTGAAGCTGTCAGAGGATGATTCCATGGAGGCCAGCTCACTGATTGCTGTAGCGGCAGACCTGCGAGACTCCTCGTCTACAGCTCTGACACCTCGCCATCCAAGTAATGCATTTAAAAGAGCCCACCTGTAGACATCAGCAAGCTTGGCGGCATCGTGAGCGACATCTAGCATTGCTCGTGACCGTCTGGCAACTGCATGATAATCAATGACTTGTATTAAAGCAATTCCCGCGGTGACTGTGTCAGGGTGTCTCCCAATCAGTTCTTGAAGTGCTGCAGATGAGCCTCTTCGAATGTTTCCAGAAGGATCAAGACAGGCCGAAACAACGAGCTGGTTTGCAACGATTTGAAGAACTGACGTTTCGCCGGTGGTGGGAAGCGTGGTCCCAAGCGCTGGCAAGACGCTGGCAGGCTCGATACGTTGAAGCTCAGGCGTAGCGTATTTACGAGCCAGTGACCAAAGACCGAAGCATGCGGCATCCCTGACGACTCCACCGAGCGAAGTGCCACCTGCTGATCTCTGTTCGAAATCTAAACCTGAAAGGAGGGATCGAAGAATTGGAGGCAATTGATCTGGTGGAGCTGTTCTTCGAAAGAGCAAATGACCTAGGGTCAACAACAGACCCTGCCACTTGAGTGAATTCACAGCTGTCACGTTGCGCAACATTGTTTGCATATCTTCACTCATCAAAGGGCTGAATGTCACTGGATCTCCGGAATCCGGCTTCTCGTACAAAATATCCTCTTCCAGAGTGTCTAAAACTGCTTGGACAACTTCGGCCTTCATACCTTCATCGAGTTTGTGGGCCAGCATGCTTAGAGCCTTGCTGGCGGCAAGTCTTACAGGGGTGTCTTTGTCACCTAGAGCATTGAGAAGATACTGAACCATGCCCTCTAACATCTCATACAAGGTATCGATAGATATAATATCGACACGGTTGCTCGAATTGAGTGAAATGAGATGCAGCATGGATGCACGCAAGATAACCACCAACATCTTCCGAGCAGGTGCTGATGCTCGGATCATGCTGAACTCCGCCGAACCTGCTGTAGCAGCCTTGAGGCCAAAGTCAAATGTACTGATCAAGAAGGGAGAAACATCATCAGCTGATCCAGATTTCATTATAACGGATAGAATAGAAAGATATCCCAGACATTCATATGTTGTTGCTGTGGGCCTCTGCGCGTAACCGAGTAGACTTGTGAGCATTAATCTCGCCAACTCATCAAGCAGTCCCACGCGCTGCAAGTCAGGACGAAGGGCGAGCCGGACTATCAGGAGGCTGGCAGATTCCCTTTCCTTACCTGCAACGCCTAAGTTCTCCAAGCCAGCATGAAGGAGCGCTTTCGAAATGATAGGAAGACGAAGGTGTTTGAATTCTTCATCAGCCCATAATTTGAAGCACACATTCTCATCAGAGGATGAAACCGATTGTAAGTCAAACGGGGTGAGGACGAGGTGTGAGAGCCATAACAAAATGATATATCGTTCTTGCCAGACCAAGTTCGGCTGGTTCAGTAGCAAGGCTTCAAGCATCGGTTCGAGATATCTCGGCTCATTGTTCAGGAATCTAGTGATCACCTTGACACCACGAACTTTGCATAACGTATTCAGAATACAGCATATTGCAGATGGTAAGGGTGATGTCTTTGGAACAGGGGTCGAAGCCTCAGGCCGACTCCCATATCGCCCATTCACTAGACAACGTAGAAATGCGCCTATCAGAGGGTTGACAAGTTTTGGTAGAAGAGGGTCGAGTAATTGGGGCCATTCTTGGAAAAGATCGAGCTGATATCGACTTATCAGCACAAGTCCTCCATGTCGCCAAGAAACCGCTCACAAGGCTGATGATCCTTTCGACTCGGGAGTCAGAGATCCACAACTGGTGTTCTGAAGGCTTCGTGGCATCGGACGCATCTTCTAGCAATTCATTTAGCCTTCTCGATATGTCCAGGAGCAGGTCGGCAGAAGCGCGATATAGCTTGACGTCCCTGTTGCCATCTGGAGCATCCATGATTGCGGTGCATAGATCATGGTGATTTTAGTGAATAGGTCTCTTGTCCAGGTATCATCAGATTTCGAGATACTGTTCAATATTTCTTCTGTGATGGTTACAAACCAAGTTAGTGCACGTGAGAACGCGATAAGCTTGCTTAGGTTAGTTAAATTAGAGCGGTTAGTTACGCGTGGACTGGTGACCTATCTTCGGCGAAACTTCGGCCCCAGCCTCGTCGACCTTCTGGATACCCAATGCGTCATTCGAGAGACAGAACAAGGCAATCAACAAAGAACAGTCACTCAATATGGATTCTTAAGTCACATCCACAATGCGATCTGCTTTGTGCGAAGCACTTGGCGCTATCCAACAAGTACCAGAGTATTGACAGCTTTGGCTGCGCAATTGTGGGACAGATACCCTGTACCATCGACCAAGGTTCTAAGCGCCCTGGTGCCGGAACACATCACTCTGCAGACATAACCATTTCGAGAATATCTACTTTACGAGACAACATGAACTGGACAATGCCGCATTTAGTCCGTGTATCGCAGACTTTTACTTCGTTCCTCACACCTCAAAAGCCAGCTCTCCAGCAGCGATACCCCACACCCCATCCACCGTACGTTCTCAAGCAGCGCTTGAATGAAGAACCTTTAGCTCCGCCCACGAAATCCAAGGACTGGTTAGGTGCTTCTGGGGATGAGGAAGACTCGGAAGATCTAGAAGGAGACACTCTATTCGAAGAAATCCAGAAACCTGAAAAGCGCTCTGCGCCGTCAGATTATCTCGAACAGAGACCAGCCAAAAGGCTTAAATCAAATGATGAATATCGTCCTAAAAAGAATGACGAGCGCGGTGACTTCGAAGGCGAAACGCTTCTTGCATCCACGCCCCATCCGGAAGACCATGCGCCAGCAAATAAGAAGGAGCAGGAAGATCGACAGGCTATGCCACCACCACCTAAACCTCATATCAGTCTCGATGATAAGCCCTATATTCCGGAGAGAGACTTGATCGACCGAAACCTTCAAAACAACATTATTCGCAGCCCATCCATGTCTCACGATTCTGATTTCTCAGAAGACGAAATATTTACCAAGAAGACAGCTGTTCGGAGGGAAGATCGATCGGAAGTGAACCCTCAGCTGGAGTATGACCGTGCGAAACGCTTTGCTGAAGCCCAGCAGCTGCCAGAAGATGGTTCCACCTGGACTGAGGCAGAAAAGGACCTATATTTCCGTCTTGCCATGCGTGGGTTCGAAGCGCTTATTCCCGAACACTGGGCCATGGATTTTAAAACACTACCGCAGCTTCTGTTTTCGACCGGGGGGCGAGAACCGCTTATTGTGCCCTTTGACAAACGAGAATTCCGAGCGAAACATTACCTAAGGACACTGTTTGGAATTGCTGCAAATGTAAGAGATAAGCGTCTGGTGGGCCTTCGAGCCGAACCCACTATCAAGCGTACAGTGCGCCAGTTCATCTCCTGGGCACTCTTTGATGCTGGCGTGCATCCGCTGCAGCGGCCGAGAGCTATTCCGGTCCATGCGCTTGTGTCTATGAGACCGAGTGAGACGACACATGATGTGTTCAAGCGAATGTCGAGGAGGCTCTTCAAATTAGCCCGGCGATATCAAGACGCCCATCGTGTCCGCCAAAGCATCGAACCTCCTTCTCAACACCATGCACCTCTTCCTATGCCAGCAGAAAGCTTCGAATATCGACCTGGCGTATCAGGATCCGGCTACGACGACGCAAACATGCCTACACTCATCGGCTTGATGATTGCCTCCTCCGTAGTCGCAGTCGTGACCCTCGACTCACGCTCCACCACGCTCGAATCGCACTTCGAACAAGAGGCTGCAAGACGACACTCATCTACCTCTATCGCCTCTTCAAACCACGAAGAACGCTCGTCCCCGAAAGACGAGTCCCCACTCCGCTACATTGCCAAATTCGACTTCAGCACTCATGATGGCTACGATGTTTGGGACGGCTTTGCGATGGCAATCTGTGTCATGAGAATCAGGAAGACCATGCTAGAACTATGTGAGAGGGCTGAGAGCGAGGGACAAGCTGGTAGAGGGTGTCTATGGGAGAGGGTTCTGCCAGCAAAATTAAAGGAAATGGGGGACGAGGGTGACGGGTGACGGGTGAAGAGGAAAGATTTGAGATTTCTGGGAGTCTTGCTTGATGGTTTAACACTTGCCGCTCGATGGCAGCTCTATGCAGGAGCTTTTCCGGATTGGAACGAAAGAAGTGCGTCCAAGTGCATGATCGCGCGGCATGTAGGAATGCATAGTACAAGCGATGGAATGGACCACTTCTTGTCTTCACATGCATGATGCCCTCTGCTTGCTATCTATATACTGTACAGCAATTGCGCTTGCTTGCCTAGGGGAGTCCAGACAACCCAAGCACACAGTACACTTCCTTGTCCGAGATGCTATGTTCTCGGTGCTACAGGGCAAGGCCTGAGCAAAGCAGATCCAAAAAGAGAATGGAAATGGGAGACAAGGATGGTACTTGAGTACACCCATTTCAATCGCATTTGTAGAATTCAAAGGATCAGGCCACTGCCATAAATACCAGTCAATAAACATACCCTCTTTCCAAGTCATAATGCCATTGACTTGATGTTGCAGCTAATTCCCACGATATGTGAGCTTTCCGTGCAGTGCTGTTATAGGCATCGCTAATTCGAGCGCGCGGATATTGCCCTCCAAAATATTGGCTTTGCTTTACTCAAGGCCAGTGACACAGGTCGACCTCCAGCATTTCATGATCGATCGTGGTAGAAGCATCTATCTTCTCCTTCTGCGGGTTCTCCGTACCGCGGCAATACCGGTTACGACCAGGTGTATCTGTACCGCCGCTCACAGAGATTCAAGACTATCAGAGGTCTCGAGGAGCTATTGGGGAGCTGTTGAGGAGCTGTGTCCTAAACCATTGCAGGTGCCAGGATGTCATCATGTTCTACCAGGGTCACAACTTAGGAGTCGTCAACCTAGGAAGTCAAGTCCCGGGTTCATCGAACGACAACTTGATCTTCTTCTTCCTGGACTTCATCTTGGCTTTAGAGTCGTCGTCTTTCTTTGTGTCAGGGAGGCCATTTACTAATCCCGAATCCTCAGGGCCAGGTTCGGGTTCGGGTTCCGTTGCAACAGCTTTACCCTGCTTTCGTTTCTTCAGACCACCACCACTGGTAACAGGTCGCTTCTCTTGCTCTTGCGCTCTGTTAGCGGTGCTATCTGACGCAGGCCTCTCAGTGTCCGAATTCGAATCTGGCTTTGCGAGTGCAGCTGTGTCCTCTGGACGGGAGGCATTCTTTGTCTTTCCCAGAAGGAGGTCCTGATACTCTTTCTCAGTCACCTCCTCGCCCTGTTCATCAACGATGGTTGGTCCATCTTCGTCACCAACCTCTAACCTCGGCTTTCGAGGTCGAGCAATGGAGATGTTATGCCTATCGCTGGTATTTTCACTCCTGAGCCGGCGTAGAAACGCCGGTTCTTGCTTCTCGTAGTGCAAGTTCTTAGCGTTGAAAGTCATTGGGGGAGGAACTGTTCCGGCTGAAACGGCCGATGATCAAGAAGTCCAAATATTCCTCCAGGACATGTCAGCAAGCGCTTGATCAGATAAATGAATGATCAGGCAGCACAGAACAGCAATGAGGCGGACATGGAATTGGAGAACAATTGAATTGGCATCTAATTGTGGAGCAAGAATACCGAACCTTTTTAATTGCGAAGGGGGAGTGAATAAGGGCTCATTCCCAGCCGTAGCCTGTCGAAAGTGTTGCGAACGCTCGGCGTTGACAGCCAAATTTGCCGCCCCTTTGAGATCCTGGTACTTATAGGGCCTTTGCCATCGCAACACCTTCAACCCTCGCTGTACCAAACCTTGAACTTATTTGCGGCCAATTCTACCACTCGTATGTCATTTCAACTGCCCCGCCTGAGGAGAAGAGGCAGCGTCAACTTCCAGCTTCCAGGAACGCTCCCGGATACGTGGGGGGTCCGGAGGTCCTAGGGACTGGTGCATTAAACCGCTCTGTTGTTTGACCAACCCGAACGAGCGAGGACGAGGAAGTCGAAAGGGCTGATGCCGTTCGTTAAGCGTTCAAAAGTATGGCCTAGGGCTTGCTTACAATAATATGTCTTCTTCCACACTTCCTTACCATGAGCCTGGAATCGTGGACATTCTTATCTTCTCATCGTTCTTGTTGCTCCTTAACGTTGTCAACTCCATTATAGATCGCTACCTTTTCTGTGGTCTAATCGGCCAGATCTTGATCGGTATCGCCTGGGGTATACCAGGAGCAGCGTGGCTATCGGTCCCCTTACAAGAGACCATAATGCAGCTTGGATATTTAGGTCTCTTACTACTCGTCTTCGAGGGGGGACTTTCAACATCTTGGGCCGCTCTCAAGTCGAACCTGCTGCTTTCTGTGGCTGTTGCATCAACCGGCATCCTCATGCCCATGGTCTTGTCCTTCTCCTTGATTGGCATCGCGAATGCAACACCTCTCCAAGCCTTAGCTGCTGGCGCTGCTCTCTGTTCTACTAGCCTAGGTACTACTTTTACTCTATTGAGCTCCAGCGGATTGGTCACAAGCCGCTTAGGGGTTGTTCTGTCAAGTGCAGCAATGCTTGACGATGTAGTCGGCCTTGTCATGGTCCAGATCATCTCAAACCTCGGCACTTCATCTTCGTTCAGGGCAGTAACTGTTGTTCGACCAATCTTGGTCTCTACGGCCTTCGCTACATTGGTTCCAGCAGTCTGTCTTTTCATTTGCAAGCCCGTCATTCATTCTACCTCCTTACTTCGGCAGCGCAGTATCCCAAAATGGATGCAGTATGCTCCGAATCGCTCACAGCGGGCATTTCTCGTCCACGTGCTACTCTTGATTGCTTCCGTCGCTGCTGCTAACTACGCCGGAACCTCTAATCTTTTTACTGCCTACCTAGCTGGCGCGGTCATCAGCTGGTGGGACTCTGAGCATGCTGCCACCCGGCAGACACACAACGACGAATTGAACATACCTGTATCAGCCACTGCTTCGGTAACTGATAGGAGAGAAAGCCGCAGTATTAGTCCTGCCCCTGCACAGTCTCCAACGGGTATCAATGAAAAGAAGGTGACGGACGAGCAGCACGTAATAAGTGAGATTCCTACTGGATCCAAAGTATACATTGAATTCTTCGGAAGCGCGGTCCACCGAATTCTGAAACCCTTCTTTTTCGTAAGTTGTTCCCTAGTCCGATGCCGTCAGTGTGTTGCTCGCTAACGGGCTCTAGGCTTCCATTGGATTTTCTATTCCAATATCGAAGATGTTTTCCGGGTCCATTCTCTGGCGTGGTATCCTATACTCCATATTGATGATGGTCGGAAAATTTGCTTGCAGTCTCTGGATACTGCCCCATAGGGAGTGGTTCCTGGCACTTCGCACAGGTAAATCTTCTGCTAAGCACCTCGGTATCCAAGATCTTTATCCGTCCGCCATCTTAGGATTCGCCATGGTTGCACGGGGCGAAATAGGGTTCTTGATCTCGTCAATCGCGGAGAGCGAAGGCATCTTCAGCGCCGACAAAGATTCCCAGTCCAGCGCAGCTCCAGAACTATTTCTAATTGTGTCATGGGCGATTGTCCTATGCACCATCATTGGGCCTGTCTGCGTCGGACTGTGTGTTCGCCAGATTCAGTCTAAGATGGCATCCCAAGGAACGGATAGACAAGATGAGGACTTTGACAATACATGGGGCATCTGGGGAGTGGAACACACCTAATGTTTTCCTGGAGAGTCGTTGCTATTGAATGTTTGTCCAGATGCTATCATACGCTTCCTTAAGGTCTGCAGGCAATTCTTCCAGGCTTTGTGGACGTTTCGACAACGCCATGGTGATGGGCAAGGAATGCAGCAAAGGAAACTACTATAATACGTCTCCGGCTTTGTCCGAAGTAAGTACCGCTGCGTCAGTTGGAAACAACACATCGCCCATCCAAAGAGCCAGTGGTAGACAATCGAAGAAACCAAGACACGAATATCGGGCGGAATGTTTACATGTTTAGAGGCCAAAACATCACAGAAGGTGGGAGCATATTTCAAGACAACTTAGATGCGAAGGGTGTAGCCCGTATTGTCGTCGCTTTACCAAGGCGGAGAGCAAAAACAAAAAGGATAGCAAGAGGAATATTCGAGGAGTTCCTTGTAGTATATTCTAGACTTTATAATCGAGTGGAAAGGAAGGAAAGAAGAATCATCTCATTTAAGCGAAGAGGGGGGTTTGAAGTGATGTGATGTAGAAACCACCGCTTGAAGCCATCCTGATCAAATGGTACCGAGTGGTTTGTCGGTGAGCTTGTGATAAAAGCGGCGTTGGGGTTGAGTGCGGAGCTGATTTTATTTCTTTATTTCTGTTCAAGTGCCAAGCTTGTTGTTCTCCAAGGCAAAGGGGCCCGTATGCACTTCCAGAAAAAGGCTCCGGCACCCTGAGTAGATCGAACTGATCTCTGCAAAGTTCTTTCATTGGCTTCAGAGAGCCTTCAGCAGCGATGCTCTGCGCAAGTATGTCACTCCTATTGAACCAGTGTCAATTGTTTTAAGACTGATCAAGCATCCAGTCTCTGGAGAAGCACCTCAGGTGCCTGTCGCATCACGAAAGAGTGGTACGTGCTATATCATCACTGTGCAAGATCAGGCACTAATGGGTTAGGGACCATTTATGAAAAGCGTCTCATCGAGGGCTACATCAGCGAAAACGGCACCGAGCCTGCGACTGGGGAAGATCTGACTGTTGATGATTTAATCGAGCTACGAACGTCGCGTACAGTACGACCACGACCACCAACCCTCACTTCGATACCTTCATTACTTGGCGTGTTTCAAGAAGAATGGGATGCGTTGACCCTGGAGACATACACGCTGAAGCAAAATCTGGCACAGACAAGACAAGAGCTCAGCACAGCGTTGTATCAGCATGACGCAGCTGTTAGAGTCATTGCAAGACTTACGCGCGAACGAGATGAAGCACGAGAAGCGCTCTCGAAGGTTAGCATTGGATCAAGAGCTGCGCCAACCAACGGAGATGCAATGCAGGTAGATAGTTCTGGGCTACCGGAGGCTTTAATAGCGAAAGTGGACGAAACCAAAGCCATGTACGTCGATCATGAACAGCTGCATCGTTATCTGCTCACTGGAACAGGCTTGAGAAAACACGACGAAAAAGGCCCATCCCCGAAGAGTGGGCAACTAGTGAGGAGATCTCGACATTCAAGCCGCAACGCACGTCTGAATCTCTGTATCCAGGAGGCAGAATCCTGGCGATCAATGAGAAAGACGATCTTGCCCTGGTGGGTGGTTCTGATGGAATTGCTGGCGTCTACTCGATGTCAGACAACCGCGTCTTACATGCCCTGAAGGGTGGTGGAGGGTCAATTACGAGTGGTGTCTGGGCCGGCCCAAAGGCCGTGATATCGACCTCAGCTGGTAGAGTGAAGGTATTTGAGCGACAGGAGGAAGCGGCGTCATTCAGCACGCATGCAGGCGAGGCCACTGCCGTGGCATTGCATCCAAGTGGTGATATTATCGCATCCGTTGGTGTGGACAAGAGCTATGTTCTGTACGATTTAACCACCTCCGCTGTTGCCACACAAGTGTACAGCAATTCAGGTATGTCATCCATGGTATTAATATGCGACACCGCTAATGATGCTGGGCAGCTCTTGTTTGCGTACAATTTCATCCGGACGGTCATTTACTGGCTGCTGGAGGCGAAGATGGACAGATCAAGCTCTTCGACATTAAAACAGGAGCGCAAGCCGCTACCTTTGATCTAAACGCAGCTCTAAAGGCACTCTATTTTTCAGAAAATGGAATCTGGCTTGCAGCTGTCACAGACTCGTCGACTACTATTTCGATATGGGATCTGCGAAAGATGGCAGAGATCAAGAGCCTGGACACCGGGAGCGGCAGGATTGATTCAATAAGCTGGGACTATACTGGTCAATTTCTGCTAACAGGGGGTCCCGGAGGTCTGACTGTTCAGCACTATTCGAAGGCATCCAAGGCATGGTCAGAGCCGCTGAAGAGTGCAGTACCTGCGGTGGCAGTCGCTTGGGGGAAAGGAGCACACAATATAGCGGCGTTGGATGAGGGAGGAGTGGTGACAGTACTTGGCGGGCCATGAAGTAGTTTCCGAATCAGATGGGATGGTGCGCAGGCTATCTCAAGACATGTACTGAGTTCATTTAGACCTGGGCACAAGCGTTCCACTGTCTCTATGGTCTCTATGGTCTCCCAATCTCCCTTGCTGTGAATGCACATGAGCACTTAAACACATTGAGCAAGAGATATCAAAGATTTGTATCTGCTCCAATTTGCATGCTGAGATCATTTCCTGAGAATGTCAACAAACCAGTAGCGCTGTAGGAGTGTACTGTCTGACTAGAAAGAGGAGTGTAGCTGAATGCAAGGTGGGTCGATTTGATGATTTGATGATTTGATGATTTGATGCCGAGGGAGAGGGAGAGGCTAGATGTTGTGCCAGCTGGAGCCGCCGCCGCCACCGCTTGACCATCCCCATCCATCCATCTCTGTCCGCACCATGTCCGAGTCTTGGACTTGTAGCGTCAACACCCAACCCTTCACAGGTACTTACAATCAGATTGCTCCTCAGCCTTCCACCCAACAAATCTTTCCCGGGCTTTGTAAGCAGTCAGAAAGAGAAGGTTGACGAATGATCAATGATCGGTTCTACATGACAAGTCACAATGCCTACCTTCCACTCTCATTCTTCCGGGACATTGTTGGAAGAGCCGTCCAGGAGGAAAGTAAGTACCTTCGCCTCCCGCACCTTCAGAGGAACAGCCACCACTACCAGTCGCTTGGCCACTAATTGTTACGTGACTGGTGACTGATGCCGATCTCCAGAGATCTTACCACGATTTTCTTCATTCTGAAAGCCGTACCACAAGTCCGTCATCCTCACCACCCCGCTTGAGGTTCAGCATAACTCCCTCACCTTCCAACCTTTCGAGCATGTCACGGCCTTCTCCCATGCCTCCCCGAAGATTTATTGGTGATGGCTTTGACTACCGCAGACCAGTCATGTCCACCAGCGGAAATCAGCAAGCAGCACAGACGTCGACACCAACACCTGATGTGATAGATCTCACAGACGATTCCGACAGTCTCCAGACACAACCGATCTTGCGAAGAACTTCAGCTGAGAGGAATGTACCCAGGTTACAACGCCTGACCAGGAGACGTCCTGATCCATCTGGGCGGGGAAGGCAGGATGCTGGACCAGGGGCAGCTATACCGGCGCTTAGAGCCCCGATCATAGACCTGGAGACGTTAGAATTTGGGGATGCGGCAGGGGGCCAAACGGGCCATTGATGGTGAGCGACAATGAATTTCTAGCACTCTTCCAAGAGCCTCCTAGCAGTCCTGGGTTTGAGATTTTGGGGGAGAGATCTGTACGTCCTGAGCCACCGCCGCCGCCGAGAAGAAGCGTTGCCGAAAGGAGACCGACTCCATACGTGACTGAAGAGGAACAGGAGGCTGCAGAAGCACCTCCATTACCACCAGCGCCGGCATTTCGTGGTTTGCCTTATGGGCTAGCGAGTTGGATTGTACATGCAGGGACGCGCCTTGCTGGTGAGCGCAACGTGCCGCAGGAAGGCCTATCGAATCGTTACACCTATTCTAATGGCGTCTATACCCAAGTTCCTCAGTACAACAGTGGAAACAGCTGGCAGCAGCCCCAGCCCCAACTTCAGTTGCCTAGAATTTCTGCTCTGGACGCGTTCCAGCGACCTCGCCTGAACTACGAGGCTCAGGGTTTCGAACTTATTGGTGCTGCTCATACGTCACCACCACCACCACGCCCATCATCTCCGTACAAAGCCCCACGTACCTCCGCCCCCGGATTCACTCGGAAAGTTGAAGAGGATGACATCGTGGTGTGTCCGCACTGTGGCGATGAGCTGGGAACCGGTGATGGTGACCTGAAGCAGCAAATCTGGATCGTCAAGCAATGCGGACATGTAAGTATATCAGACACCCATGTCTGACAGCGTTCACGCTAATGGCGGATAGGTCTACTGTGGTGAATGCGCTATGAATCGTCATGTGGGCAAGAGCAAGAAGACGGCACCCCAGGCCCAGGGCAAACCGGAGCCTTTCAAGTTGTGCGTGGTGCAAGACTGTAAGAAGCCTGTCACTTCGAAGACCGCTCTGTTTCAGGTCTATCTGTGAGCCCAGCTTTGAAGACACTGATGGCTGAATTATGATATTTTTCTGGCGCTCGCATCAATCCATGAGTGTTACCATAGACCTCCATCCGACATGGAATATGATGGATGGCTTGCATAGCTGATAGCCTCAGCTGCTGAAGACGTTAACGGACAGAGCTGGTCACGATTGGAAGGTTTGTGCCATGAGAGATGAGCATGCAGTAATGGCCAATGACCCGCAGATCGTTCCCATTGCCACAACTCACGTTTTTCTCCATAGAACCATCCTCAATCCTCGATGCACAATGCGCTCGATATGCGATGGGGACGGTTGTATGCAAAACACCATCAAAACACCATCCCTATGTACATGATGTGATATCTCTCCACCTGCAAACGCCTTCCAATGTAAATGTGATACTTCTTGACATTAGCACACCATGAGCCTGGCTTTCTCAGACAACTCCTTCTCAACGTCCTCAACCCCGTGCACTATTCCCGTCACACATCCTTAATCCCACCATGGAACGGACTCCAGATCCCTCTCACGCTCTCATTCTCACTCAGCACGTTCCGGCCCCGAATCTTTCTATTCTTACCACCCTGACTCTGGACCAGCAATTCACATTTCTGCATGATCTGCTCCTTCTCTAAATTTCGGACGCAGACGGCCTTCTCCCTGCCGTTGATGTAGTGGGCGCGCAGGACAGGGTGTTTGTTCGGACGGGGGGAGATGTGGAAGCTCACTTGGGGATGTGTTCGGGAGAGGCGTGGGAGGAGTTCAGAGGTCAAAAAGGAGCTGGATCGAAGCCGTTAGAGGGGAGGGAAGAATGGATGGTGGGGACTGTTGTACTTCATTCCTCGAGAGCTCCCGTACCAGTCGCAGTAGTGAAGGTCGAGGCGTTTGCACTGGAGGATGAATGCGCCCACGCCGTTCTACGAAGATAATTAGCTGGTGATGGCTAGGAATGCCATCGCCGTCGCTATCGTGACAGTGTATGCATACCTGGTTAGTTGCCACGGTCCTGATGCCTTGAAGAGGCATCGTGGCTTGCAGCTTGCGTATTATGTGACTGGTAGAAGAGCAGCTCTGAAGACGCAGTACCTAAGTTACAGTACAGCAAAGGTTGAAGCTCGGAGTTTCTGGGGGCAGTTGGTCCGAGCTTTAGGCGCTGCAACAACGCGATTCCTTGCAGAAATCTGTCTCCATTCTCCTATGTAACTTACAACTACGTACATACTCCGTACTGTAAGCAACTCTCTACCCAGCACCAACCACGATTCCTCAACCAAATCGCAAATCAGCATTCAATATTCGCGGCATATCTTCTCCATGACTTCGTGAATGTGGTCACAACCTACGTCAGGCCACATCTGCTTCTGCTTCCGTCATGACGGACAAACTTCCTCACCAGCTCCTGCAGCTCTTCCAACCCCGACCACCTCTTCGCTACATTCCTCCTCAAGACCCTGCGCCCGAAGACAGGGCCTCCGGTGGATCTAAAATCGGCGGTATCGCTGACTTTCTACCCGCTCTCGCCACCTATGCCGCGACGGACGAGTACCATCCGACCGAGTCATGGCTGCAGAGAAAGGACAGGCTCAAACGCGAGAAGATGGAGAGACTAGAAGAAATGAAGAAAGAAGGTTTCGAGGGCTACAAGCCCGAAGAGGATCCGCAGATACGAGGAGATGCTTTCAAGACACTGTTTGTGGGCAGGTTGAGCTACGAGGCTAAGGAGTCAGATCTGGAGCGGGAGTTTGGGCGATTCGGTCCCATTGAGAGGGTCAGATCGATCTATCCGAAGGTCTTTGGAAATTGCCTTGCTAATTTGATATCAACAGATCCGCATCGTCAAGGACGAGAATCAGAAGAACCCGAAGAAGCAACACAGAGGCTACGCGTTTATTGTCTACGAACGAGAAAAGGATATGAAGGGTACTGCCATCCCCTTCTTACCTCTACTATACTCGTTAGGTATATTGCTTGACTGACGCGGGGCTCTACGTTTCAACTTTCACAGCTGCCTACAAGGAAACCGATCGAGTTCGCATTAAAGACCGCCCAGTCCTGGTTGATGTCGAACGCGGCCGTACCGTCAAAGGCTGGAAACCTCGTCGCTTTGGTGGTGGTCTTGGAGGACGCGGATACACAAGACAACAAGCCGTTCGACCAGGTGGATTTGGCGGTCCGCCCGGTCCTGGCTTCCAGGCTGGTGGCTTCCGAGGAGGGTTCGCCGGCCGAGGAGGTGGAGGAGGAGGAGGATTCCGAGGTGGCTTCCGCGGCGATAGAGGTGGTGGGTTCGCTGACCGAGGTGGAGGGTTCAGCGATCGAGGCTTTGGTAGCAGAGGTGGTATTGGATATCAAGGTGCTGGTGGATTCGGAAGCCGAGGTGGGTATGCCAATGGTGCTCCTCCGCTCAATGCGCCCAGTGGTCCAGGTGGTGGTGGTGGTGGCGGCCGTGGCGGTTATGGCGGTTATACAAATGGGGCTGGCGCAGCTGATAACAGCGATCGTGGCCGTAACGGTTATGGTGATCGTGATGGATACCGCGGAGGCGGTTCGGCCCAAGGTACCAGATATGACAGCCGTGATCCACGAGGAGGTATAACTGGAAGCAACCGAGAACCAGTTGTCGCTCGGGACCGTGGCTATGGTGGTGACCGCGACCGTGACAGGGACCGAGAGCGAGAGCGAGGCGACCGGGACAGGTATGGCAGCGGCAGGCGAGACGACGACTTCGGATCCAGAAAACGATACCACGATGGCGATGGCTATGAAGACCCAAGAATCAAAAGAAGGTATTAAATCCCAGGTACTGCACCGACTGTGCTCTCAGCACGAATACCACAGTTCGTTGGTGGGTACTTGTGTTTCACAATTTTGCGACCTTCATCTATTCGACTTCTCGCTTGTCTTTCAACACAAGCTCAACGGTTTGTTGGTGGGTACCTACGTCTTCGTCTTCGGCTTTTCGAGTCCATCTCCTCCCTACTTCTCTTTCGAGGGTAAGAAAGGTATTGGAAGCAGGATACGAGCTTGCTGTTCGTTCGTCAGCCGCGTCCTTTTTTCAGCAGGAGATGTTTCGATTTCGGCTCGCCCTTTCCGAGCATTTCGCCTCGTGGATTCTAGCAATAACCGCCGCCACTATCGTCTCATGGGTGCATCTGCTTCACCTACCAAGGTGTAATGCAACAACATCCGCAGCTCAGTCCTCACGACTCAGGGTCATGAAGCTCCTAGAGATGTGTTACCGCTCTCCGGAAGCGCTTTGGTTATGGCCAAGTCACTGCTCTTACAGCCCAAGTCGGCTACTCGTACGGCATACTTTTCTCACGATTCCGGTCTACTCCAGGCCAGCTCCTTTGCTGCTGGTAGGTATGTACTTGTAGCTCAGCTCCCTACAGAACAAAATTGTAATATGTCCATTGCTCGATCGGCCTCATGCCACGATCTGAGCAATTCGCGAATGATTGATGTTCGTAAGGTGGGACAGGCAGGCTCATCCATCACCCTCGGGCGTGGTGCGCTCTGAATGTCTATGTCCATGTCCATCAACAGTGGGGCCTCATTATGGTTCGATGCGCCTCGGGCGCTTCACCTCTTGTACCCGTAGACAGCCAGCCGAGCAGGGCGATGGGGATTCTGTTAGAGCCCATGACATGATACGAACAGCCGCGGGCTAACTATACACTGCTTGAGGTTGTAAGAAAAGAAAGAAAGACAAGCTCCTTCTTTCTATTCTTTCTATCTATTACGGAGGAGCAGGTGATACGGAGGAGAGGAAGAAGAAGAAGAAGAAGAAGAAGAAAAAGAAGCAGAAGAAGCAACCCGCTCCACTGTAGTTACAAACAGCGGAAGTCGGGATATCGACTATTACTACTACTACGGAGTACTAATCTTACTACTGCCCCACGCACAGCAGCGAGTACTCCATATTCTGGTCAGTAGATGCCCTCGGCCCTCCTCTCTAAAAGATGGTTGGGTTTGGAGGGTAGGTTCGTCGGTGGGATTGGGTCGAGGTGCAGAAACACGAAGCCGAAGACAAAGGAGCTTTCGCTCTGGCTAGAGGTGGAGATTACTGCCATGGTGCTGGTATGTTTCGATGACGACTTGGTTTTGCGAACTTGGGAGCGGTGCAGAAGAGAAGAGAAGAGAAGAGAAGGGAAGAGACAAGAAAGGAAAGGAAAGGAGAGGAAAGGGAATATCCATGCATGGCGTGTGCTGGCGATTTATGTATATGTGTATCATAAGACTCAGTTGTACTCTAATACTGAAAGTGGGCATCTCCCTCCAGACATCGGGGGGACCGCCTTTCCGTCTTCTACGCCGCGTTGCGTCGTTCGTATCATCCAATTCTCAGCCACAGGTGAGAAATGATTCAGAAGCCGGGTGAAGCAGAGCCCGCCCAAGTCGTCTTCCGAGTTCTTCTGGGTTGCTGACATTCCATCTTATCTCATTTCATCTCGTCCTGCTGCCACCTCACTGCAACCCCATGAACGCCTTCGCGTTCTCATAGACGACGTAACTGATACTGACCGCGGGCGCGACCTTCAAGAGATTGGGGGTGACCCCTCTGAACAGCCCCAACACCCCTTCTCCCTTCAGCGTCTTCCGCGTCACATCCACAATCCCCGAGTATGTAGGCGGATGCAACACCGTGCCCTGAGCCTGCAACCTCGTCCTCAACAGATTGAGCGGGTAGACCACAGTTGCGCTGACCGCGCCGCTCAAGGCGCCGATAGCACCGGTCGCGAAGTTGCCGATGGGCACGTCGGATTCGTGGCAGCGGTGGATGCGGGCTTTGCGCGCGAGGAGGAGCCGCTTGAAGTTCTCGAAGATGAAGAGGTCAATGGCCGAATAGGGGAACATGCCTGCCAGGCCCATGCCGAGGCCGCGGTAGTAGGAGAGCATGCCGGAGGGGGACGAGAGCATTTTGGCGGCGGTGGAGCGGATGAGGGCGTTGCCGTGGAGGCCGCCGGAGACGGTTTCGCATTGCATGCGGCTGTGCTGCGGTCAGATAATGGAGAGAAGTATTGGGAAGGACAGCATAGGAGAGGAAGATTTGTGCAGAAGGTATGGTGTGAGTAGGGATGAGGCGTTATAAAATAATTTGTCAAACCGAGAGACATACAATTTCAAGGTGTCTAGAGGATAGACCACGCATTGAGACACCACGCCCCCAACGCCACCAGCCAGGAATTGGGATGCAGGATGAAGATGCTTCGGATCTTGATGGCCTTCAAGCCTGGCGAGAGCTCGTTTCGAAGCTTCGTATGCACCAAACTTGATGGCAGATTCTGGCATGACTTTGACGACATTCAGCCCATTGCCGGCAAACAGACTTCGGATCCCTCCAGCCTTCCATAATTCTTTCGTCGCGTCGATTAATGGTTGGCCAAGGTGTTTTATAGCCTGTATTGGTGCTCCTTCCTTGGCTGCCTCAGCAGCAGCCGCCTTCGTGCCGGTTTGCGCAATCAAATACACCTTTAGACGATCTAGGGGTGCCGTTGCTGTCCGTGATACCATGCCCGCAACGCCACCAGCGACGAAATAACCTGTTTCGGAGAAAAACCGTTAGTACTTTGCTATACGCTGGGACAGGCCTCTTCAAGCAGTCTATATGCTGGGAAGGTTGAGATGCGAGCCTGCTGCTGGCCACACGGTCAGAAATGGTGCATTGGATGGATGTCTAGGGAGGAGAATATTTTACCAAAACGATAAATGCCACGCGGAACGCCAATCTCAGCTTCTTCTTCCATATCAAGGCCCTCCCCCAAATCTGGAGAGGAAGCAAGAACAGTAACAAACGCCATTGCGAGCAGGGTATTGGAAGAGCAAAGATAGGTATTGAGCAAAGTGTCGTAGAAGTGAGTGTTCTGGAAGTGGATGTAATTACCAAGGCCTTGTAGACTGTCGTTGATATGGACATCTCCCTCAGGATTGACAGTGGCAGTGGACGTATAGTAGGAGAGCACCGCGCGAAGATTTGGAGTGCCGGCGGGGATGAATAGCAGGAAGTTTCTGTAGCATGTCCTGTCAAACACCGTGCGGCCTGTGATCCTCACGATCTTTAAGCTTACCTCCATTCGTCAAAGCTTATCACGCCGTCGTGGTTGACATCCACTTCGTTGAAGAACTGGTCGAGCTTGGCGCTGGAGATCGCGAGACCAGCTCTTCTGAACGCCGACTTCAGCTCCTCCTTGTCGAGTTCGCCGTTGTGATCGCGGTCGATGCTCTCGAATAGCTGCCGAAGCTCCTTTTCCGTATGCTCCACAAACACCTTGAACTCTGGAAGGGAGAATGAGCTTGAGGGGTCCGGTACACAGTGTGACAGAGCGGCGCACCGTTATACTGTATGTGACCATCTCCACTTGTATCAACCGCTTTCAGAACATCGTGCAGGAGCGCATCGGCATTCTTGAGAGCTGTAGAATGGTTCAGCTTCGCCTTTCTGGTGTCCATCAAGCTTCATACGATGGTCCATCTTCTTCAATCCCTTCTTGAGGCCCTTGATGTCGATCTGTCCATCACCGCCGGAATCTAATGTATTCCATAGCTTTTCAAGCCGTTCGTCCCGCTCTTTATCTGTCTCCTCGTCCATCTTCCAGTCGTGCCTCGGCCTTCTATCTGTGGGGGCTCATGGTCTGTGTGGATATGCGCTTGACCGAGCCAATCCCCGGCGCGCAATTGAGAAGTGGACGATGGAGAGGCAGACAGCGAAGATTTAACATGGGAAATGTGTTCTGATTTGTCCCAGCATTACCGTTTGGCTGACGTTCTGGACAAGCGATCTCAGTGGGCTTCTTCTGCTCAAGCTGCTGCTTCTGCCAATGCATGGACGTGGGGTTCGGCACCGCCGATCTATGTATCATGTAAGCATTTCAAGGTCTATCAACTAACTTATTTATCATTGCCAACCTTGCTCCAAAATTTTCCCAAGTTTCAACAGTGGACCTATTGTACTATCAGAAGAACAGCAAGCCTTTCGCATCCAGTTCTCTTGCCTTGAACGTCCCTTCTCCATCACAGCCCTTCGAGATGGTCGATGAAGAAGTTCTAAGCTGATCTGCTACATAATCTACAGGCCTTGGATAACATTACTGACTCTGTACACATAGCAGTGCTTCAACTCTAGAATTTATGATCCCCCTGATGATGTGCCGTATCATTTCGGTTTGTCTGGTCTGCTACTAACGATATCTGGCTATGGCAGCCAATTACTGGACCTCAACCCAACGCCAGTTCTGGCATTTTACTCCCTCACAACTCGTGTCCATTCGATCAGCTTTGGCCGCCCAGCACGCGGCTGTCATCAATCAATATCCAACCTCAGACCCTAGGCATATTCTCATCTTCCTCAAGGATCAACTTCTCCGTCTTTCTCGCCGTCAATCTCGACAACAATGTCTGGCCACAACCCTGGTCTACATACACCGCTATCTTCTTACCCACCCTCTTCAAACCATCAATCCCTACCTTTTGCTCACCACAGCCTTCTATCTAGCCTCGAAAACTGAAGAAAGTCCTCATCACATTCGCGCCGTTCTCGGTGAGGCTCGTCAGTTCTGGCCCGAGTTCCTCCTAGGCGATGTCTCGCGCATTGGCGAAATGGAATTCTCGCTCATATCAGAGATGCGCTCTCAGCTCATTATCTGGCACCCATATCGGACGCTGATCGAGCTGAAAGGCCCTGAAAAGGAAGGTGGACTGGAATTGAGCAACGATGAAGTTGGCATGGCATGGAGCATTATCAATGACAGCTATCTCACCGATCTACCTCTGACTTGTGCTCCTCACACGATTGCCATCATGGCTATCTTCCTGGCTGTTGCATTCCAACCAACCAACAAAGTCACGGCTGGGGTTAGTGGATTACCTACATTCCAAATTCCCAGTACACCTAACCCGATCATCAACAACACATCATCTGCGTCATTTCAAGGTCTTGGTGGTAGACAAGGCATGTCCGCTGTTATCAACGGCGTGGTGAACAGCTCCGCTAGCATTGGCCCCATCGTGAATGCAGCCACTGATAGTAAAATGAAGTCCAATACCAAGCCAGTACCATCAGAAAAGATGCAAAGAATTATCCGCTTTCTAGCAGAGTCTTCCATCGACCTGGAGCAAATCATCAATGCAACCCAGCAGATCGTGTCTCTGTACGAGGTATGGGAATCATACAGTGAGAAGGCAGTCAAGGAGTCTCTTGCACGTATTATCAGAGGGAGAGGCTTGGACAAATGAGGAATTTGGTTGGCATTTCGACAGGTTGATCAGGGCATCCGAAAATGAGACCGGATCCGGTTGTTTTCAGCTGATTGTCCTTCCGTATCTTCTCCCGTTCACATCAATCTTAGCCATTTGAGCAAATCATAACGGAATGCCCTTCGATGATATGCGGACCGCATTGTAAGCTGCAGAGTCATCTGCATGACACCATGTTGCCAGCCATGTCTTATTGGTCGTCTACAGAAAAGCGGCAGGAGTCCTTCCCGTGCTTATCCAGCATCAGCAGCTAGATAGGATTGAAGAGTAATCGCCCAGAGCTTCTGCCTGTGCTATTCATGGCAAAGAATGTGTATAGAACTTTCTTCAAACTTCACGCTGTCTGTATCATTTCCTTGAAGGAGCTCGCTCTCCAGAGCAGAACCAGAAGTCTGCATTGGTAGCACTCCATGACTAAGGCAGATCCGACAACCCTCTTCATGCATGGAGCCTGGTATAGCCCGAACCACTTCCAGCCCATCATGCTGCTGTTCGGACATGCTGGCTACCCGACCGTGTGCCGTGTCACTCAACCTCCAGCGCAAACCCGCTGATAATGAAGATCTTCTAGGACGCGAAGGACATCCATGGTGAGCTGGAAATGCTCGTGGAGCAGGTAGGCCAGGAAGTTGTCGTTGTAACGCACTCCTACGGTGGCATGGTCGGTACTGAGACTATACACGAGCGAGCTTCTGTGAAGGATCAGATCTCAACTGGAGTATGAGCCATTGTGACCTTCTGGCTGAATGTTAGCCCAGTCTAAAGTATGAACTTCAGAGCATCAAGTCGTCGCCATGGCCGCCCAAATAGGAATGACTTGCGCACTTCACGAGAAATGTAACACAACTCGTGGTTATCGCAGTGGGAGCAACGAACGAAGATCTGGACCCTCGTTGTTTTACTTGAGAGTGATAGATAGTGCAGAACACGAAACTTAGCACTGGCATGTATCAGAACAATCTTCAACTGTACATACATCCCTGCCAGTTAGCATGAGTTGAGCTACCCATCTTCCATCATTGACATCGTGTCCATCAAACCAATAGTAACCAATCTTGCATCTCCTGCATCATTGACCATCTTAAACTGCTCCATCTCAACGAGCCTCTTTCCTCATTGGGTAAGCCGATCAAGTTCGTCCTTCCAGAGATACTCAGCAAACAATCATCCCACAACGCAGGCATAGAAGAGACGACGTACATCTGTAAGCTTCCTCGGAGCGACAATGATCCATTTTCCCAGCTTGATCTGGTTTAATCGAAGTATCAGAATAAGGTTGGGCGATAAAAAAGTGGGCATGGTAGGGAAGTTTGACGCACATGCAGACTGAAGTTCTCGGGTCCGAATGTCTGTCCGAGATACTGTTTGAGGAGGTCAAAGTCTAGGTATCTGTCTCCGATGACTTGGGTCACTGTTGAGGAGGGAGATGGAGCTGGGAGTTGGGCAACTTGGTTGTAATTCATCCCTTTGAGAGGATAAATTGAAATGGTTATGTAGTCATTGGCTGACATTAGGTAGTCCCGAGACTTGGTTGCATTGAGCCCTGATTGTCAGAATCCCTGCGTATATGATACGTATCTGTTACGTATTAGCATGATGGTACAAGGGTCCCCGCATGCAAAACGCACGAAACGCTCTTGTAACTGTTACGCCCTGTTATTTATGGCAGTGACCATTGCTATACGAATTGAACGCCAAATGCTGTTTCTGAGCTATTACAGTAATGCGCTTCTATAGCTATTAGTATGAGCAAATGCTCCTCTTGATAGGTGTAACTCAATCAAGTGAATTGGCACTTCCGTACGCTGTTTGCTACTACTTCTAACAACTTCAGTGGTGGCCTCGCTCAGCAGATGCAACGATCTACAGATCGAAGAAGTGGTGGATTTCTGATAGAAAAATGACGCTCCTTCAGCCTTGCACAGGGAATCTGCTTCACAGGTCGTTGGTGTGTTGAAGAATAGGATCTAGCAAACTCTCTCCCAATGGTCGCCTTCCTCAATAAACATCGGTTCAAGGCTCATACGTCTCAGAAGCACAAATGTGAGGATCGGACTCTTCAATGTCCTACTAAGACTTCTCCTTGAGAACATGTCGAATTCTTCACACGAGAAAGGAGAATGCAAGCTTCTCTTCTTACGGCGCGGGCCGTGACTAGCAATCCAGGCTTGGCAACAGATTGTCTCTTCCTAAAGGAGAAAGCGTTCCTATCGGAGGATAGATCGAATCGGTGTCTCATCGATGCACATCGATTTTTGTCCGGACCGGCGCTTGCGACTGTGGATAGCTGCGCGAGATCACCGGCGGACGACGTCGCGCACCAACATGCTGTTCGCTTCAAATGCAAAAGCGAAAATAGCAATTTTTCGTCCCAGAAGATACGTGATGAGTCCCAGCTTCGGGACTTTTTGCGGGATAGATGGTCCGATTATGAGCGTCCAAAGAGGGCGGTGAGGAGCAGTTATGTTCTGTATGTTGGCCAAGCGAGGATGCCACTGCCCGAGAAGCCTTGAAAGTTAACTCTGCCAAGTTTCATCGACAGAACAACATCGGTGAATGCCTTGAACCTGACTCGAGATCTAGCTGAGGCGGTGCTTTCCTCCCTTCAGATATTTGCTCTTCTGAAGGACTTCATCCTTCTTTTCGATCGGGGTGAAGAGAGTTGAGAGCGAGAGCTCTATCCACCTCCTTGTGTATATCGCGAGTTCCGGTCTAGGAAGCACGGCTTTGGTACGATATCATCCACTGTGCCGAGACTAGCATTCCGTAAAGCCAAGATGCTGACAACTGGTCTTAGAATGCGCTTATGCTTTCTCTCATGTTGACCAGGAAAAGAAGGACGAAAATATCGGTGTGAGTCCAGACACGTACTGGCCCGTCCGACGTACGGTTATCTATCACAGGTACTCTTTCGTGAAGGCAAGGAAGCAGGAGATCTGGATCGTCATTGGTAGCAGAAGTGGATCTGAGCATCTACGAAAGCATATCCTCGACTACCAAGCCCGGAATATTGGGAGCAAATCTAATCCGTCGCCATTTGAGCTGCATCTAATGATCCAGCACTGCTATATGGGTAACTGGCGACCTCGTCTAGGGTGGATGGCAGAAGAGATATGGCGTCAGGTTTGGAATGCACCTTCGAAACTCCCATGCTTACTGACCAGTTGAGAAGGTCAATCCCGCCATGACAACACCCTTTGAGCATTCCAATTGCTCCAGCCGCGAGAGGTTGATTCGAAAACTTCTACTAGTGGACCAGAGTCAAGCTCGACAGAATATTTGGGAGAAGCTGGATGACTCAATGCTCGCTGTCGAGGCTCTCATCGAAACAATCGAACTGCTCAAAGTAAACTTTCTGCGCTTCGAAGGAGACCCCAAGCCAAGGGCGATGACTCGTTCTCAAGAGACTATTGCGCGAAGCTTTGACATCAAGAAAAGGGAGGCTGAAGCAGTGCTGAAGCAGCTCAGGGCGCTGCGCGGAAAGGCAGAGAGTACTTCAAGCCTGGTACGTTTTCCTATCCGGTCGCCCAACAAGCATTCGACGGCCGGCTTGCGGCATGAATCTCCGCATTTTTACTAAAATCAACCATAGTACGCTCGGCTCACCGCGCTCCAAAGCAAATCGATCGCCGATCAGAGCGCTCACAAGAGCAGAATCACGACAACGCTGACATTCCTGACCGCCTCCTTCTTGCCATCCGCCATTCTGGGCGTAAGTGCTCATCACCTCCATAACCAGTCTTTGCTAGACTTTTTTCGAGTCCCTAACTTCTTCCTAGACATTCTTCTCTGGCACCAAGATCTTCGAGTCCCCACACGGACAGGTCAAATACTGGGCCGTCATCTTTGGCACCACCGCTGGTATCATGCTCCTCATCTGGGCTCTAGGATTGCTCTATGGTTGGTGGACAGTGGAGGATCTGACGGAAGGTTTGAGGCCGCTTGGAGAGTGCTTCTCATGGATCATGGAAAAGTACGCCGAACGGAAAGAGAGAGTCAAAGAGAAGGCGGAGGCGAGGCGATCAGAGGCAGCCAGGATGGAGACCAAGAGAGGTTACGTCGAGCATCATGAAATCAGTCATTTCAGATGACCATAAGTTTGCAAAAGGTGAAAAAAGTCCTTCGCGGAGGCGCATAACCTCACGGGGTGCCTCATAGAGTACCGAGTCATGCTCCCAAAGTAGTTGACCACCGCTAAATTCTAGGCTAAAGACTAGCCATCCTGACACTAGCTTGAGTTGTTGGCGAGCTTGAGAGACTAAAGTTGAATGGGCTACCTCTAAAGAAGCTTAACGACAGAGCGAACCCTAAACAGTCACCTTGAAGCTTAAAGATGGCGTATCCAGCCCCTAGAGCTTCGGCCGCCAACTAGCTCAGACTAAGACGATACTAGTTAGTGAAGGCTCACTAGCAGCGCTATGCGATTGTTACACAAGGGGAGTCAACTCAGCGACTTTTGAAGCTCGACTCCGTACGCTGGTAACTTATCTAGTGGAGGAATTGATCAGTGGGAGATGATAGCTCAACTCCACAAAGCCCACGAACGGATTTGCCGACTGGAAAGAACATGATCAGCAACGGGTTTGCCTGGTGCTTGCCACGACTCAGAGGAAGGTTGTCAGACCGTATGAGCGCTCATTGGCCAGTTTTTCTACGTGTAATCACTGCGTTTCGCCTGCTTCTGATTGGTGAATTTCCACCGCAAATTCGCAGCCAAATTCGCAGTACCGTACGGCGAGTTTGTACGTATATCTACCTACGCTGTCCCTAATTTGATAGAACAACTTTGCTTTCTGCGCCCTCTCCGCAGAAGGTCACACAGAAGGTTAATCCAACGGCTGGTCGGACAGAGTACCACAGAGCCCGGTAAGGTCACAGAGAAGGATATAGTTGAGCAGGACACTTCGAAATGAGAGAGCGCGCGTGCGACTGGTGGGGTAGAGGATTAAAGAGCGGAATAATTTCTTCGTTATTGTAGTTTTTGAAGTGTTCTGAATGAATTGTTATCTGATTGAGTAGTTGCATTTTCCTACCTCACGCTTTTGGTTTTCCAACAAAGGTGATTTCCACTGGTTTCCAAGCTAGAAAAAGATGTCGAAATGCTGCCATGGCCAGGGGATCATATCTAGACATGGCTCGGCTGCCAGAGCGTAGAATCTTCGTCCAATTCTCCCTTCAGTGGGGGGTCCATCAAGAGGTAATTCAGATCTGGAAATGCCCCAATTGGGGCATCGAGCACTAAGTTACTAGGAAAACTTAATATCTTCCTTATGCTGATATTACACGTGTAGGTAGACAAGAACGTGTACTAGCTGCTCATCCCAGTTGCAACTGCAAAGTCCCATAGCCGGGAACCTGAACGCTGGAGCTCAGGTCGCTATCCTTCAGCCACTCGATCTCGTCCTGATGGTGTCGGCCTTGTGTCAGCCGACGTTGGAGGGGCTTATTCGTGGGCAGTGTGTCTCTAACGCACTTTGTTTGGATATCTCGGCGCAGTGATATGGTACGTGCCGTGTTGATGCTGCCGCCCACAAAGTTAAGCCAAGGTTGACTCCGGTGTGGATCTGGGCTGGCTTACAAACTGGGTTGCTTTTCCGCCAAAGGTGCTAACCCATGCATTGACCTTGAAGCGGATGTAGTAGCGGTCCTCCCAAGTCCAAGTCAGCGGCTGGGCTTGCATGTCTAGTGTTGCTCAGTCAAGCCGATTGCAGTAGGCGTGAAATGTCACTTGTAGGGATCTCGATTAGGTGGCTTGTGGGGTCCACAAGAGGCGTTCTGGGGCGGAAAACAAACACAAGGCGCAAAGGCCGTCCGGAGCCTCGAGTTTGAGGCTTCGCAAGATCTTATACATCTCAGGCTGTTCAATGGAGTCGTCACTTTTACTGGTTGTACGACTCGATTGCTCTTATCGTGGTTGAATCCACGGTTTTGTGCTCCCGAGCGCCGTTGCAGTCGGGTGTTGGAGACATGCTTATAGTCTGCATATTAGACAGCGCCACTGCTTGGGATTGGTGATATGGTTGGGTATGCATGCTTCTGCAGTAGCTGAAGATGTTTGCGCACGAGAAGTGCATCAGCTGTAAAGGGCGACTAAGTATGATACGCCGGGCTCCTAACAAGGCTGTGAATGATATATTGACTGACGCGTAATGACGCCGAAGGGCCGGCCCCGCCTTCCAATTGCAGCGCAGAAACGTTAGTTGAGTGCGGACAATGAGGATCTAGAACCTATAGATTGAAGATAAATTCCAGGGTTCCAGCATGAAGAAGAAACAGAGCCTCAATACTACTCCCAGTACTCTAAAGCAGCTCAGAACATCCCACTTGGAAACGCCTTGTCGTTCCGCAAATACAACGACAGAGAAGCTGGTCCTTGAACTCGATTGGAGCCCGAATCGATGCACATCCTTTGACCCACGTATGCCATTGCGTATCATGAAGCACTAAACCTTATTTAGCCTTGTTAGGTGTTCTGATGGCGGAGTCGCGACTTCAATTCAGGGTATCGAAGGGTGGGGGGTAGGCGGCAGGTGAGAATCGGAAGCAGTGGTGCTTGGGACCGCGGTGCGTGCTTCGGCAAAACGATCACGATCTGGAGATATCATGTGCGAGCCGTATAATGTTGGCGCAGTCGTGCTATTGAGCTCCAGGGTGTTACAGTCCGAGATGTGGTCGCAGTTGTCGACGACCAGGTGGGGGTTGTTCGGGCCGTTCTCCGTGAGGTTTAAGTTCTCGTTCAATCCCATGCATATGAGTGTTGGGCTGTCTGATAGCGGATTTCGCGTCCTGTTCCGCCCTGAAGCCATGGGTGCTCTCAAAAACGCTGTGTTGTCCATCATTAGATGGCCAAGCGGAGCCTCCACTGGAACTTCATCACCACCCGCCTCACCAGAGGTCTCAGACTTCGAGGTTGATGGGACTGATCCAATTAGAAGATTCTGAATGTTCCAATCTGGCTCTTTCACAGCTTCTTCGGCCCAAAGTATCATTCTCTCCATGTCGTTATGCACCTCGTGCGGCTTTGGCCTCTTCGAAGGATCCATTCTGAGCATTTTACTGGTCGTCAGCACCAGTTCCTTGAAAACCGCCCTGCCTTTGTCGGAGTTGCATTGCTCCTCAAGTTCATGAAGCCTTTTGCTGACATAAGGTTTCCAGTGGGTTTTGTAGCCTTCGCGATTACGTTCGACGTACCAGAACATAGTGTCGTTACCAATTTGGCCTCCTTTGATTTCTCGTCTTTGCTTGGAAAAAGTCTCTAGCTCGGAAGGAAACGAACCGAACGTCCAAACAAGAAAATCCAAAAAGATGCATCCGAGCGTCCATACGTCGTAAGGGCGTGAGGTCTCACCACGAATGACATAATCTGGTGCCTCGTAAGCCGAAGTTCCTTGAGAGTAATGATCCGTGGGAGAACTCTCGTCGCGTGGAGCTGAACGTCGAGCACGGATTTTTGCCGACCCAAAGTCTGCTATCTTTAGAGTCGGCCCGCCACTGTCGCCTTCTTTGAAAACTAAGATGTTCTCGCCTTTGAGGTCGTGGTGCCACCCACCAAGATTGTATATGAAGCGCAGACCGTCAGCCAAACCCCGAAGCTGCCTCAACTCCCATAACACGAAGTCAGGGTCACTCAATCGAGGTCGCTCCTGCTTCCAATATCCCTTCAGGTTACAAAAAGCCAGAGGAGACAGCATGAAGAAATGTCCTCCCTGGCGCCAAGACGCATAATGAGGAGTGATGTGTTTGTGCGGCACGTTAACCAATTTTCGAAGGACTTTGGACTCTCGCTCAAAATCTTCGAACGCACAACCGTTTTTGAATTCCTTCAAAGCAAAAACGCTTGTTTTGTCCTGTGATTATAATGTCAGTTCAATCATATCTGTATCTCTTGAGTCGAACGGGATCATACAGCTGTGAAGCGGTGGTGTCCTGGCTGAATCTGAACCTCGTATACAGTTTTGAATGCGCCTGATCCGATTGGTTTTGTTTTGCCACAGCCTTCAATGGGAAGTATATCGTTATCTGTGAGGTCAAAGCAGTGGACTTTAGCATCTGTTGGTTTCGGAAATCGGTAGGCGGTGAAAAACCATTGTTTGAATATCAGGTTGTCAAACTTAATCTTTTCAGCTGCAGGCGGTTTGTCAGAGATTCCCAGTGGAAATTGAGCAGGTTTTGGCCCAAGATAGAGCATCTGCCACAAGCAGATCAGAGGAAGATCTTCGTGTACACAAAGCGCAAGTAAGTGTTTGTGATAGCTTGCAACATCGTCGATAAATTTCTTCTTGTTCATGGCTGGGCTGTCTCCAAGACCAGCATGTTCTGTGTTTGCCAAAGACTCGTCCTTGTTGATCAGGTGTTCAATAACAGATGGTGACATGATAGCATGAAGATCTTTCTGTGGTATGAATTTCCTCCCGCGCCAATTGGTTTTTATTCTGGAGTCGATCAAGTCTGCAATTTCCCTGCTGTACCTCCTTTTCTGAGTTTTCTCAGTGCCGGGAAGGTCCACTGCAGCATACGTCCAAGTTATCTCAAGATGAAATTTTGCATATTCGTTCCCCGGTATGGTCACGAATTCTGCAATGATAAGATGCAAGACCTCGGACCACTGATCCTCAGTTTCAAGTGCTTTGGAGGAACATTCTTGCTTCTCTCTGAAAAGCTTGCAGACACCGTCTGTGCGCCAGACGTTTTTGTTGATCGTTTCAGGAGACGCGTTCAAACAATTCTGTGCAGCCTTATGGACTGTCCCATAGGAAGCATCATCCTGCCAATCAAGTTTCTCAAAAGAGGTTCTTTCCGAAAGGGGTTTGCCGTCAAAAATCACCTTGAGATAGCAAAGTATTTCCTTCGGGATGACCCTGTCTCTATCTTGGTCATAGTACTGTCTTCTGGCAGACCTATCTGAAGTTCGGTGCTTCAAAGTATGTGGCGTCTGAAGTCGATGAGATTTACCTGGGGAGCATGGCTCGTGGTGCAGACGAGGAAAAGGCTCGGGTGGACTTGAGGCTATTGACATTCGGCTGCCACTGTCGTGACTCGGAGACTCCGGACCAGTTGTCCTCGGGCTCGGGGGCGAATGCTCCATCTCAGGTTTACTTGCAGACACATCAGTGAAATTTGACGACTCTGTGGTAGGTGGAACAAGGTTATGATCAACAAGGGAAGAAATCGGCTTTTGCACCACGTTCTCCGCTAAAGGGACTTGTGAACTGCGCTCAGGCAGACCTTGATCTGGGATTTGACGTTCTACTGCGTCGACTGGCGTTATAGAAGGGTCGTGGTGCTTTGTTGAGTTACGTCTCCGGGCCTTTCCTCTCCTCCTCTGGTAATGGTGTTTGCAGACTCGCATGAAGTCCGTAAAAATCGACAGTGCCATGGCCTCATCTCACCAAGAAACCAAAGACAGCAGACTGTAGGTACGGTGGAAGGGAGCAATTCAGACACAGACGGAGTAATGTAACAAAAGAATCAACGAAAAGAAGCTGAATGAATAGAGATAGCAAGACAGGGTAGTGATCCATGGCTCGATCCTCAGGCATTGGATGGCTATCCTGTTTAGGGCTGTGTCACACACCAGCTAGGCCGAATGCTACACCCATTTCGCGGCTTCTCAAGGCTTATTCCCTATTGTGGCTTTGTTCGAACGCCTGGGAAATGCCTTGCGTTAGCGCCGGAGAAGGGGAACCAGAGCGGCTGAGTATAGTGCTGAGTACGATAGGAACCGCACCGCTGTAGCCTCAGGCAAAGCAGTAATTTCTCAAACCATAGTATTGTTCCTATACCTGTCTCGAGAAAGCGTAGCAGCTGCTGCGTGAAACACTCCGCGTGATCGAGGGTATTCGTAACTATTAGCTGGAGTACCTCTAAAGCGAAACATTTTGAAATTGTCGGCCCATGAAGACATTCCCATGAAATCATTCCCATGAATTTGGCTTCTAGCCGGGGAAAGAAAGTCATTGAGAAAAGCTTCGGGCAAAAAAGCATACAATGACTCTTTCTCAAATATCCTCGGACTGTTAGAGCTTTTCGTCACAACTAGCGATAGTAGCTGCCGTACTAACCGGGTCGATACCATTCTCTTCGTCAGTTTGGGAAGTGGTCCTCGCCCTGAATATCAACTTCATTCTCGCGATCTTTCTCCACCATGGCGGATACTTCCCGGTGGCCTGCAGACCAGCAAAAACCCACCAAACATAGAATGTCAAAACGGTGAGCGGAACGGAAATAGCTACAAATATCCACCAGTTGGCAAGGATAATGAGGTTTCTCGAGGAACCAGCCGAGGTGGTGTTATCCACAAACGAGGTTGAAAAGAAGTTCTTGAAATCCGTTAGTTGTGTAGGGGCGAGGCTGCAGGTTAAGACCTACCAATACCACAGTGGCGGGTAGGTATACCAGCATCATGATCGTGAGCACCTTGACCGCAGCTGCATCCTGCGTGCTCTTCTTGGTGAGGTTATGGATATGAGAATTCTCTTCCCGCGCTTCTTTGCCAAGATCTTCTAAAGCGCGCCCATTTCCTAAGGACATAAAGCTGGAGACCTGTCCGAGTAATCAGTGTTGGTTCAGGTAAGAATAAAGGTGACATTTATACTAGGTGACTAATCCCTAGTAGCTTTTGCCGCATCCCATCTGTCTGCTGTAAAAGCCAGTCCACCTCCCGCGAGAGCTCGAGAAGCTGGTGGTAGACATCATCTTCGAACTCGTCTACAGCAACTTCGTCCTGGACGTCGGTCCCTGTCACATAGTGCGTATAGCTGGCTGTAAGACGGTTCAAGGCGTCATGTGTGGTGGATAAGGTCAGTGTAGCATCCAACATTGCGTCTCCAAGTAGTTTCAACCTCTGCATATCACCGCACTTATTGAGACTGATTGGTCCATGTCCCGCAGGAGCAGCCAGGAGGACTGTGTTTGCCTTTGCACGGTGAGTTCTGACTATCGCAATGCATGATGAAGCTCACGTGTTGATGTACTTCCTCAGCCAGGTGGACGAGGTACGGCCGCCAGCTTGATATGGCAAAACTGAACAAGAGTGCGTGCACTCCGAAAGCGTTCATCGATGCCCCAGTGTTTTGCATTTCGAAATACTCGTTGAATGCTATTGTAACATTGGGAGGAGGCGCCACCAACAACCAAGTGGCCAAGTTACACCCTACGTCTTCCTTATTGTAAACGGCCAGCTGGCGAAGGGAGTACATCCGCTGAGGGTCACCCTTATTGTTCGGCTGGACAAATCGTAAGCCATACATGCACTCTGAACAAAGATTTAGCTTGCGTCTCGGGATTGAGAACGAGAAGCCAAACCGAAGCCGTTGCTAGAAGCAGATAACCGTGGTCGCTTTAGCCGAGCGAAGCGGAGTCGAGGTGTTGCCACTTCGACCTCGAGGTCTCTCGATCCGAAATAAGCGATAATATCCTGGAACTGGGCTGGAAGGCCGCACTTTGAGGAGAGGCATCCGAACAGGTCCTTACTAACCGAGAGCCTGCTATGGGAGTTCTTTTGGCGTATGACACTGTTCAATGCCAGGTTAGGAGTCAGTCCTCCAATGTCCGGATATGCCTACACAGCACGAAATTGATGATCGTCCTACACAAAATTCCCTCAGCAAAGGGATATGATATCAAGTCTGAGGCACGTATACTAACCCTTAGATGCCGTTCCATCTCTACTGGATTGTTCAATGGCAGCCATTGTGAGCCGAGATCACATTGCTGTGGGCCGCTTGTCTGTACGGCGGCGGTGCTTACTGTAACCTTTGATTCTCCGAGTTCGTATTCTGCTTTGTTCTCTACCTGATGCCGGGCGAGAGGGATGCCTTTTGAGGCCGGCTTAGGGGGCGACCAGTCATCCGGGTGCTGATCATGAGGTTCCCTGTCTCGTGTGAGCAACTCCACTTGCGACAGAGGTGAGTCTTGTGGCAAAAAGAGCGCTGTGGTATTCGTTGCAAGCAGAGTCATACTGATTGACACTACCGGATTCTTGGAGATTGTCCCAATGTTATTGCTGCTTTGATCAAACTGCTTGGAGCTCAACTACTTACCATTGCAACAAGATAGCAATCAGAAAGGCTGCCAGCCTTGGTCCAGCGAAGGACACACAAGGCTGTACTGCCTTTCTAGGGAGCGAACCGATTCAAGTGCCATCAAGACTTTTGTCGGTCTGCAGAGTTGCACACACAAGCCTGACTGGATGCGTTTGAGCCGCGTCGACAGCCTGCATGAACATGCCAGGGCTGAGAGACAGCGTCCACGCGTCGGTAAGTGGAAAAAAGGCAACTGATTTTATCTTCCTTGAGGTTTTTGCCTCGGACCAACCCGTCCCATAGGTTTCAGCCCCTTAGCGCTGGCCAATCAGCTTGGCGCTTTCCTGTCCACCCAGGGCCGCTCTGTCTGTCATTGCTTATCTGCGCACCCTTTGCCTCACTGCCTATCCTGTAAGAGGATCAAACTATTATCAGCCTCCTGTGTCAGCTCTCAACTGGACTACAAAAAGCCGACATGGTGTTGTCCTTGCTCCCTCCATATTTCTACCAGTTCCAACTCTCCAAGCTCTACAAGCTTCATTCTAGTCCTTCAATATCCTCTCGGTGGTGATCGACCTGACGGCCACCCCGGCATGTCCACTCAACGAAGCGAAAGCGCAATCCCAACCTCGAGGCGGCAAGCATGTCCGCGCTGCCAAAAATCCTCCCAAGTAATAGACGATGACTACATAGATCGTCCCAAATTGGAAATGCTGCTCAACAACCTTTTTCCGGAGGAAGGGAGTCAATGCGGACTGAAATGGAAACGGAATCAGTGGATTATCAGTTCCGCGCCTCGATGTCTGAATTCCGTACGTCTGCAAAGCCCCCATCGAACAAACTCCCTGATGTGCTAATGCCTCTTCCTATAGCAAGAAATCGCACAATTGAGACACTACTAGCTTTGCTCTCCTTTACAGCCGCCCCAAAAAATAGCACAGAGACGGCATAGAAGATTGGGAGTTGCAATGGGTATTTTATGATAGTTAAATCCAGTCACCAATTTTTCGTCTCTCAATATCGTTCATTCTATGTTTCTTGATGAAAACCGCAACCCACGTCTGATCTGTTCTTTGTTGCCATTGACTCTTGCCTAACATCCTTGAGACCAGACGTCGCACGACACAAGAATCGGAGAAGAGAAACGAAGGCGACACCGCTTTCCTAAACTTAATGGAAAGATGGCATGCCATGCATAACATGTCTGAACTGTAAGTGTTGGCCTGTTGGTCAATATAGCTTCCTGGCATGACTACCAGGAAATCTGTACATCTCTGTTCACGACGTTCGAAGATACGACAGAGAGCAGTTCCAGAGCCTTGTCTCGTTCTAGTTTACCGGACTATGTGGCTGCATGATGAAGACGGCGCTGCGAAACTTGTAGTCTAATCTAAAGCATGGCCACCAGCAATACTAGTCCCTGTTCTATCCCTTTCAAGAGCCGCTTTCTTCTTTCAGAAACAGCGTCCAAGCTATGTATTGCCATTTACGAAATTTACCTATCACGTTTCTTCTCCTCAACTATGGCAACAGGGGAGACCACACAGGGCGAGATGTGTCCTCACAAAGGTGTGATGTTCTTACCATTCGAGAGACAGCGTATTCGCCAATCCAGATTTCGCATAATGATGAGTTCAAAGGGTTATACTCGTGTTTGAATTTGCTCAACCTTCTTCTCGGTAGCAGCATTGCCTCCCATTATCCGACTCGAATGCTGTCATTCAAGAAAGTGTGGACGTGCTTGTACTTTAAATTCGCTTTTGGCTTTCAGGTGGAATGCTCTACCCGCCCAACATGTGTTCAAAGCTACAAAACCATTCCGCTAGACAGCGAGTTCTGTATGTAGGGTGTGTGAACCCACAAAGGAACTCTTCTGTCAGCCAAGTGATTGCTACCTTGGACTTGCTGCACTGGCTGCGTTATACGGGTAACCTATAAACTCGATCTCGCCAGTAAGAAGGCAAAGACTCATCCATGTTCTTCTGTTTGCACGTAGCACAGCTCATGCAAGACTTTCGTGTGTAACACAAAGTAGCAACCTCTTCCTGTTGTCCAACTCACGGTACAGCAGGCTTTCAGGGAGGATTAGCCAGAACATGTTTCACGCAGAACAGCGCTGTCATTCTTGATTATCCGACCCTCGAAACCTTTCCCAAATGAAGCCTCTCCAGTGAATACTTCAAAGTGATACAAGTGCAAGATAGGCCAGATCGAAATTAGGCACCAATCATCTCATGAACATAAAATGTAGGATTTGTTCTGTGTAACTACAACTTCGGCCTCTTGTTTGACCTTGTGAAGTACCTTGTGCAAGTACGCTGAGTAACTTCTTGAAGCGAGGAACGGCCAGCGAACTTGAGAAGGATATAAGAAGTTTTCAGTTGCACGGATCTGGAAGTAGAGTTTTGTAGGGCCTACTTCAAGTAATGTATACACAGCCGAGCTGTCCACATATGCTTCGACCAGCTCCCAGCCTCTGTTCCTACCATTCATAAGCAGCAACCAGGAGTCGGGAGAATGCTCGATCCTCAGACTGCTTGCTGCTGGTACGACGGTTCATGGGGAACGAAGCACATATAACAACCAGAAACGACAAGCAGGTCCACAGCTACTTGCAATCCCTAGCTATCCACTACATAGAACATGCTATCCATGGACCTGGAGACATACAGGTGCTTAAGCAAGCATATAAATCTGATCTTGGCCCGTCTTTGGGCTTCCCAGGCGCACGATTCGCTGCCCCGGATTGGGGGTCCACCACCGCATGTCTGTCTAGACCCAGTCAATCACAGTCTATTGAATGACCTTCGCTTGTGCTGAAGGTACATGAAGACTGTGGTGGAAAAACCTCTTTACATAAGAAAATCGTACGGAAATTTGTTGGCTTATTACCGAAGCGAATGTCGAGACGACCAAGATAATATCTGACCACCACTGAATGCGGAAGCCGTGGAAAACCTCGTGGGAGACGAAGGGCGGACGTCTTCTTGAGGCTTATCAGGATAACAATGTTCAGTACCGCCAGAGAGGTTATCGAGCCAACAAGACGCCAGGAAAGAGAATTGAAACCAATTCCTACTTGCCAAAAGCCCAAGGACCGGACTTCGTCAATAAGTGTCTGCGGGTCCCAGGTATAAATCTCGTAGCCCCTATCATTGAAGTTGTGTATACACGATATACAACAAAGTCCAGTGTAGATGATGATATGAACAAAAATTCTCAATGAATTTGGGCGATGTGCGAAGGCCTTGCGAATGGAGATGGAAATGCCTTCGTCGACGAAACACGATGCGAAGTCAGAACAACTAAAGTACTCGAGACTATTTGAAAGAGAGCAATGGCGTGGGAAGTCGAGTGAGCCTGAAGCCCCTCAACCAACCAGTCAGAAAGTTTGGCTTGAGAGAGACTCGAGAGGCAGCTAACCGGCGTCAATCCGTGAACTGGGCCATGGAGGCTTACAGGTGCAGCGGAGAAAGGATAAGAATTCGATCCTTACCCGCAGCGCTTAGATGAACAGCTTTGTTCGGGCCAAGCAAAACCAGACGAGAAAGGAATAACTAGCAATCCTTGCTATCTATGTCACACCTAGACTCCTGGCTGAAATTCCAATGTCCTGCAGCGAGTCAATGTGTCTCCAATAGACTGGTAATTGCAGTAATCCTATTCACGATCTTCCAATATCTTTCGGTCATCTCCGCAGTTGTGGTCTGATGCTAGTGTTGACAGCAACCTGCATTGGGCATTGGGCGTGATGTCTATATACGGTTTCGAGTGGTTGAAGAAGCGTGCACTCCGACAAGTCATGCCCCACCACTTCTGACATAAACACTAGTCAGACAGCAGCGACGTTTTGCATAAACCAGCTATGGCAAGATTTGGCATGTGATGGAGAGTTGTGCCTGGTCTTGTAGACGATGCAAGGATTGTCCACCCTGTCTATCAGATCCTGGATAGTCACTCTTCTGGCAAGGCTCTAGATCACTGACCGGCTGGATGTTGGTGCAATCCGTCATGATTGTCAACCATCAGGTTCTCAGGGGGATTGCTCCGTCAGCCATGGATCCGGAAGAGAATCAGAGCACCGTGACAAGCCCGATTGTGATGCATAAGCCCGTAGTGACAGTTGAAAACCAACAATACGCAACGACAAATACGGAGCTTCCTTGTAAAACCTGCCGACGTAATCCTGAAGTGTTGATCCGCATCGTTGTTGAAGCTGCATCCTACTGACTTCGGCCGCTTGATGGTCCATCGACATCGACATCGACCACGACCATACCAAAGCAGGTTTAGCTAAGTCTATGATCCGATCTATTTATGGGGTCGGAACAGTTCCACGGAGAGCGCTAGCTGGGCGCGGACAGGTCGACGATGCCTGCTCTCCATGTGAAGGGCAAGTTTTAGTATCAAACTCTAAAGCTCCCGCGGGCAGCCAGCGTGCTCATACTTCATATTCGGACCTACGAGGTGACGATGGAACATCCAACACATCTTTTGAGCATATTCAGCCTCACCCCAAACTGGTTGGATGACTACGTCGATGATGTTGTCCACCAAAGCAGGCTGCTACGTTAACCTTCCGGAAATTGGATCTCAATGGTTCTCCATCACCCAACTACTGCCTAGCCACTTCTTCGTAAGATTCAGATTCGTCTAGCTTGAACCTAACGCTGGATCTGCTGAAGTCATGCATCAGCTCCAGGGGCCGATCAAGTCTGGTAAGTCGCCACCCCTGAGCAAGACATGTACTGGCACTTCAACCTCATGATGCAGGCATATCTGCTTTTACTTCTATGCCTCGGCTACCATGAGCTTCGGCCGACCATGTGTTCGCCAGGCCATCCTAGAATGACATTCTAGAATGCAAGTAGAACAACTTTCCGTTAACTTGACTTTCCGCCCCGTTGAGCCATGATCACGTGGAAATACACTTCCCTCGTGTATCTGAACCAACATCTCAAGGAGCGACTTGTGGCAGAAGCCTGATTCAGGATACAGCTTGAAATACTAGCCAGGTCCTGGAACCAAGACGGCTACTTGACCGACCACTTTCCTCGGGGCGTCCACTCTGAGAAAGCTGGCCCAACTCCTGCTCAAGATTGCGGATTGCCTACTGCAGAATAGCATTAGCAGCCTAAAGCATACGACACAACCGGGTAACCTCGACCCGAAGGAAAGACGCGCTACGTAAGATAGACCACGGTCGTCTGACAGCGAACCATGGCCATGTGTTCGTTAGTGCCAGCCGGTCAAAAAGCATTCGGGAATAGCTATTGCTACCTCCTTTGCAAGGCACGTCCGCTGCGAAATCACAGCTCACCGTCTACCATGTATCCGTTGACCACCTGTCGCCAGGGATATATAAAACACCCACCCATACCTCCCTCTTTCGCATCCAGGCCACTCAACAAATTCACTTCTTGGAGCTTCCTCATCCACACTTCCGTTCCTTCAAGCACCAGACCATCGTCTATATAACCTTGAATCCACCCTTTCCCTCCCAGCCACTTCCACCAGTAACTACCACATCAACCAACATGCGCGGCTTTCTCTCCATGGTCACTCTGGCCCTAACCGCTATATTCTCCATGTCTGCCATTATCACAGCCACCCCCATCGCCGTGGCCGACGCTATCGCGGACCCTGCCGCCGAACCCGTGGCGGACGGCTCCATCGACGTGTCGGAGAACACCGGCCCCGTGCTAGACGCCCGGTATAAGGTGGTCCCTCTATGTCCAGCTTTGTGTACTAAGAACGCCCAATGTGGAATCTGCAAAAAAAATTACTGCAAATATTTGTCCAAGCAGTCGTATACCATTACTGGCCAACCGAAGATCCGATACGGGACTTGTGCAAATAGATAGGCAGGACGTGCTGTGCCGACGGCGAACCCGTCATTGACCATGGTGAATTTCGCGACTTGTGACGGGGAAGCTGGACTTTCTGATGGGCGTAGGCGGAACCCGTTACATGGGAACGCTGCAGTGGCTTGCCGTGGTGTCGATCAGGCAGACGCTCTTGGGAGGTGTGACGGAAGGAAATTTTGTATGATAGCCAATGGAAGGGCGAGCTTAGAGAGAGGAGAGATAGAAGATGTGGTGTTGGTATTGTATTCATGGCGAGTTCGCCTTAAGGGGGTCCTTCTCGGTCGCTTACCTTATTGGGTATACCCTTGGATGTACTCCGTGCTAGTGACGAATCCAACCTAAATGTTACCTCAGGTCGAAAAACCGATTCTAATTTGCTTTTTCTTATAGTTGGTGAATGGAGAAGATATTGATTTACCCACTGGTATGAACAGTATTCAAGGGAGCGGCATAAGCAGTGCCCTGAAGTATTTTTCATGGGGAAAGATCTGCTCTTCACTTTGAGTGTGAATCCGGTGGAGCTTGTGTCTCCTGCGAAAATGTGTGCTCTTTGCCATACATTAAAGAGGTGACACTAAATAAGACTATGCGAGAGGATGGAGTTCTGATCAGCTCGCACGTCCCAATGGGGTGGTGAATATGATTGTGTCAGACATTAAGCTCGTTTACGGTCTACTGGGGGCCGCGGTCCTTTTGGTTCAACAGATTTATCTGAAGAATATGCGTCCCGTGGTTTTTCTTACTTGTCAGCGGGTGAGCTATGTACTTTGCATGGGGCCTATCGATCTATACGTCCTCTGTACTTCTCGAGTGCTATTGTGCTGATCCAGGTAATCAGTATAAGATATCTCTTTGAGAGCCCCGTCTCGGCTACTCAGCATCACCGCCTTAGTCCAGGTGAGGATCAACATCTCCTCACACCCACCGTTCATGCTATTCACCTTCGCTCTCTTCCTTCGATGCACCAATATGCCGGTCGTGGACCAGTTGTCCTATTATAATTGCTTCGTCAATATTAGACAGGGCGTGTGGGTTGCCGAAACGAGAACCCTAGGCACCCCCGACCATATACACAGACGGGATCACGCTTTCATCTTTGGTTTCATGTTAGAAACAAGATGGCCATCACCCTGGTTAAGAGGTTATCCAATTACTGCTCACTCTATACAAACCATTCCCCTTCTGCTACCGTTGCTTCCAGTCCTAATGCCAGGGAATGTTAAGACTCCTGCCGATGGACCCCCCGGCGTTTCTTTCTTCCTAGCGACTCATACGCTCCTTACCTACACTCGTTATGACCTGAGAGGCAGGAGCATCTGAGCGACCATCGCTTGTATACTTTAATGTAGCTTATCTGTTCGTCACAAGTGCTGCCCGCCTGCGGTTTGGCTGCGCTCTAACAGCATGAATGCCGATGTCGGTATCAATACCACTCCCAGCACCAGCACCAGCACCAACACCGACATCAACGACCATCGTATCGCTAGCACGGGACACCAAAAGGAGCTGAGGTAGGATGATACAGCAATATCTATCTACATAGGTATGGGTACACTATAGAAAGAGTATATCGTAAGCAAAGCATATCATCGTTACCAAAACCCAGAAACCTGACCGAATACGGATACAGCCTAGAACATGTCGCCAGAAAGATCATTGTCGTGAGCAAGGCTAGGCGCCAGGCTCTTGTCGCTGAAAGGAAGCAGAAATAGGCCAATGAGATATGTTATCTCTCCTCTTTTCCCTCGTAGTCCCGTGGACTTTGTCTTTTCGATTACTCTTCTTCCTCTCTAGACTTGCGGATTCCTGCCCGTTGGGAGGCAAGGGATTTCCTCTATCCTTAACGATATCTACACCGGATATTGATTGGCAAAATAAACGTTCAATCTCAGGCACCAGTCTCTGATAAGAACTTCTTTCAACTCGACCTAGAATAACGAATCGTACTTCCTGCTCGACGTTCCAGTGCTCTCGCAAGTTGAGATAGATGTCCGGCTGGAGTGAGAAAGGGGTGTTATTGTGGCGCAGGTTGATCTCGAGGCGTGGAAGACCGATGTTTGGTTGCTGGGCTTGAGATAGCTGGGGGGCCGTTTGCTGGCCCTGATCCGTGTACACGAGTGCATGGCTATGGTTGAGAGTTTCGCCACTGAAGTCTGAGTGGCAGCAAAAGGACAGGCAAGTATGGGAGAAGGGCTGATTGTGGAAGAGGACCAGCATAACGCGGTCGTTGATGCGGGTGTCTTTTGCGGATGTATCTTTGATGTAGATGACATGGCCTGAGTCGACAGGCGCTTGGGTGCCGGGCACGTCTTTAGGTTGGTAGTCTTTGTCGATTGTCATGAATTCGGAGAGATGGGGGAATTTCCCTGGTCTTTCGTTGGATGAGTCCTGGCGCAGGCTGGACTCCTGGCCGGTGTCCCCTGCACCTCTAGCCTGGCTGAGCCAATTCATGCTGAGTGAGTGGCACTCACCGAGTGCAAGCGAAGTGTAAGGTAGAGACAACAACTGTTGTGCACTACAGCCAAACACTAGGGAAAATCAAGAGGATATGGGGCCAGGCTGAACTGCAAATATTGGTGGGTTGTGTCGTGAAGGCTATCAGATCCACCGGAAGAGAATCCATTGTGTAGTAAGTGCTCCCATGAGTCCCATGTTAAGGCATGAGTTAAGGATGCCCTATAGCCAGAACAAGGCGACGGCTAAGAGCAGATGTATGTTAGCCAGCCGCATTGCCAAACCCTTTGCGCTGCTCTGATACTAGAGTAGGGCAGCAGGCGACGTTTTAGACAGCCCAACGGGAAGTCGAGATCTTTGGTGCTCTGAATACCTCATGCATAGTGGCTGTCGCTCGCCATGTTCTGATCAGCGTGGGACTTGCTGCGACAGGCGTTTGGTTGTGTGGATTGGACGAGATTACTGGGCAACGACGGCCAGGATGAGAAGGCTGCGCTCAAGGCAGATTTCATTACTGTTGGGAGTGTTTTAGACATCCAAAATTCGGCCTTGCCCTACCCTTATTAACTATGTGACTGCATTGTGTAGTACTACTACAATATCAAGCATAATTATTGTAACTAAGCACGTTAGTATCTGAAGTTGATGTAAAATCAAGTGTTACCACACCAACATGCTCCACTCAGCAGCCAATGATCCAGACAGAAATTGGATAAGCTTTTAGAAAAACCAATTAGTAGGCTGATGTGGCGTCGCATTCCAACTATCCCTGCGTCATGCACGTGCTCCATTCCCTTTTGGGAATGGCGTTTCCGCGATTTAGTACAATGATCCTGTTCCAGCCTTGGCATCTGGAGCATCAAAATCGCGTCCAATAGGGGGCAGTAGACTGGGGCACCATAATTACGGTGCTGGGACATCACAAATCTTCGTATGTGGCCAGTGACACTGGTTAGTACTAATAAGAAGTAGTAGTATTTCTTATACATCGATAATTTTTAACATGACAGGATGGATGTCAAACATTTTTAAACCGTATCTGTTAGTTATGACTACTGATAAGCTGAGGTGCTGGAGACGACAGATCTGCCTGCAGGGAACGCTCCTCGCTCCAATGAGGTGTGGAAGGCGGATGGGCGTATTGGTGACTCTGTTGGGCAGTTTCTGGGCTTCATTTGGCTCGCGAATGGTTTAACTTGGCGAGAAGGACGACGATTTGAATATACGGTGAGTCCAATCGGCATACGACCAGTGCATCGTCGCCGCATCTGTTGGGAAGAGGGAGACTGGGAAGGTGAATCAACGTTAGACGAAGGGTAGGGCCGAAAGGCAAGGGGTTGGGGTTTTATGAGTGAGGGTGTATTGGTGGAATTATGGCGTTGTGGGTGTTCGGACGGGGTTCAATTTCCGAAAGCTATGATTATGGCCAAAGACGTTCGTCGAGGGAGGCTAGAAAGGGCAGTCAATGACTAATTGCCAGTCTTTCCAGATCACTATGACATACAGTTGCTCAAGGCAGGTCGGTGCAATCAGATTATGAAACAACAGACCAATTCAGTACCTATTGCTTTTTCCTCATTCCGAAATCTGCCTGATTTTAGATCTACTTCGCGGGATCCTCCGGCCCGAAGCTTGGCGCCAAAATTTACGGGAGTTCTCAGATTCCTGCTATGCTACACGCCCCTTTAATAGGGGATAGGACGCCCATTTCGCTTATTTAGGGCAGCTACTCTATCTGGCATTGTTGAGATAGCCCTATTAATCTCATCCAGAGTTATTTTATCCCACTCCTCCTGGATAGCCCTGCGCAGAACAGCTTCTTCGAAGATAACCCCCCTGGACTTCAAGCGCTGCTTTATTATTCTCCAGATCGTCTCAATGGGGTTGAGATCAGGCGAATTAGCAGGGTTCATCTCCTATTTGATCCCTAGAAGGTCCTTGAGTGCTTTAACCTTATTAGGACCCTTGCCCTTGGTACCATGAGGCCCGTCATTATCTTCGATTAGTACGTGATCTTTATCCTAATTAGGAGCGATAATTTCTTTCAAAATAGCTATATAATCACTCTGAATAAGACGTCCTCCTACTCTGGAGCCTGTATAGAAGTGGAGCTGACCCTTGAAATTCCATCCAATAACTGCGTACATATAGATTGACTGATTTTGACGCTTGAGCTTGAATTGGGTCTTTGATAGGGCATTTCGTGCTTCAAGCCCTGGTCGACGATGAATTTGAGCCTGTCGTTGCAAGCAAGTAGCAAATTGAGACTTATCACACTATTGATACTTCTTAAATTGATCTAATTGCCAATACCGGCGCTCAAATCCCTATATAATTCGAGCATCAATATGCGTTTGTAAGAGCATTTTTTTTTGCGCGGCCATATAGGTCCCTACGCCAAAATCCTTCATATTTCTTTGAATAGCACGTTCAGAGCCATTAGCTATACCAATAGTCTTTGCCACCTTGAAATGACTAGAAGAAGCGAAGCCAAAATTAGCATCTTCTACTGCCTCAATTGCTTCACACTCATATTGAGTAAGTACTTGCTTTCGACCTCGATTGTGGACTTTCTGGCTGCGGCGCGCAGTTCCTTCTTTGATGATTCGATAGCCAGTTGTTTCAGATATATTATGTATCTTAAATAGCTCTGTACGAGGTAATTTGCCAGCTGTGTGGCGTGCATCAGCGAGGAGGCGCGCGCGGCGCGGCGTGTCAAGCATCGTTTTAAGCGTTCGTGGGGCCGCAGGAGAAGGAGGATCTATCGAATAAGACTTCCGGCAGACGCGCCGTTTATTTCCCTGTTCAGAACTCATTATTCCTTAAATTTGAGTGAGTATTGGTAGAGAAATAGGGGGATGAAGAAGGGGGGGAGAGGAAGGGGATCTGAGAACTCC